TGAATCAAAATCGGCAGTGAATCAAATACTTGCTCTCCACACTGTACTTACCCTTTAAGGAACCCATATGGTGATGACCATTACCATGTCCTTCTTCGGTCACTGTGTAAATTATGTCAACTATGTCAATTTCTTTTGGATAATTTGATAACTTGAAACAAGCATTTTGCAACATATTTTGTAACTCTGTGTTTTTCAAAGGGAAAGATAACTGGAAAAGCAAATCATGATTGGAAAGATTGAGGGTACAAGGTGCAGAGAAGTTAAATGGATCGTCGATCACAACGACAAAAGGACGGATGCTGGAGAATCTCATCAGACTAGCACAAAACTGAATTCTTTTTAATTCTGTAGTCTATCAAGTCACAAACGCTGCATCCGAAATCTAATACTTCCCTACTACATAGTATGCGAAAAACAGTACCCCAAAGAGTATTGAGAAACGGCCCACATTTGGAAGATGCTTAAATTATCTGTACTTTGTACCTGCAGAAATGACCGATTGTCCATATCCCTATAAATTAAATATACTATAGATTATTCTATGCCATAAATCAGCGATTCCCAAACTGTGGTCCGTGAGGGTACTGCAGGTGGTCCGTGAAAAGGCTAAATAAAATATTAAATAATATGTATTTTTTTACCTTCATTTTACCAGGAAATTCCCATAAAAAGTAAAAAGAATATGTAGGCCTATATTTATATAAAATGTAAATTAAATTGTCAAGTTATTGTGTGATTACTAAAACAGGCTAGTGGCGCTCGCCTGTGAAGTTCAAGCTCAGTGTCGTCAGAACCACAACATGGATCGGTGGATAGCTATGATAGCAACAGGTTAGGTGAGCATTTATTTAGTTGTTTGTTTTTAATATAGGCCTATATTAGACAGACAATACAAAGAGGAAGGGAAAGATGTGGAGGGTGACAAAGGGGGATATTACGTTCATATCGGGCTGGCAAATAGACTCCAATGTCTTTTCCTTTTGACAACTTTATTTCATTTTTTAACCTGGAGTAACGTTAGGCCTAGGGGTGTCGCAATATACCGGTATTGACGATAATCGTGATATTCAAAGCTTGAAATATCGACATCGCGTTAATTTAAAGTGTGGCAATATACCGGTATTGGCGATAACCACGATGTTATACATTCTGTGCAGTAAAAAAGTCTTTTAACAAATTTGTAGTACTGATGTGATGACCAGTTCTAGTTTTAGTGCTAGTTAGCCTATTTAGAGGTGTGGATTAATTCAGGTAGGACTGTGTAGACATATTTTATTATGTGTATTATGAGGTGGTCCACGAAAATTCTTGATTTCAAATGGTGGTCCACACACACAAAAAGTTTGAAAACCCCTGGCATAAATCTTCTTACTCATTTCTATGAACTTTGGAAGGGTGTCGAATTTTGTCTTCAGTAAATGATTTTGACATATTTTTGCAAATTTTGTCTTCATATTGATGTCTTTGTGGAGTCGAGGTGTGTTTTTTTCCCCAACAGCTTATTGGTGGAGAATGCGGGCACGTTTGTTAGGCATCCCCTGGAGAGATGAATTGTTCAGATGAACAGCAACTAATTGAAAGACTGATCCTAACAACAACTTCCTTTCAGTGGGATACATTTTTATCATGCATTTTTTTATTTCAGGTTATTTTTAGAGGTCTTCAATCCTGCTCCATGCATGGGGACTGTCGAGCAGAGTTTAGTTCCAACGCCAATCTAACAAAACCTGAAGCAGCAAATCGAGCTCTTCAGGGTCGCTTGTAAACGCACAGGCAGGTGTGCTGAAGCAGGTTGGAAATAAACTTTGGACAGTGGGTCCTCAGCAGCAGGGTTGAATACCTCTGTTTTAGGGGCTGTTTACACAACACTGTTTTATGCGTTTTGGGGGTTCATTTACATGACAATAACGTTTTTGACAACATTGTTGTCTGTACGTGAAAAAAGCCAAGGAATTTTTTTATCCATTTTTAGTACATCGTTGTGTAAATGTACCCTTAGATCATGCCGTTAACTTGCAATGATCTTGTATATATATTTTTTGTCATCTCTTCACAGTTTTATTACATTTTGTGAATGCAATGTAAAACACTTCTTTCATTAAAATGATCCTGTATATGTGACTCATGGAACTGACCTGTGCTTTGACAGACTTTCTCATGACCACTCAGTTTACATAATTCCTTACCAAAAAATCTCATTATAGAGTTTCTATATAATATTATTCAGCTGTGAGACAGGCGCTTGAGAATACTGACAGAATACATTATCTCAGTTCTTTATTTCCAGCAGTTTGTTTACTATGATATTAAGATTTGACATCTGAAGCCAAGGTGTCTACAATACTTCTTACAATAGGCTACAGAAGTGACATTTATTTTAGCAAAAATAAATGACGGAGACATGGTAAAAGTCTCCAAGATCGTTTGAATGTGTCCTTCATATATCAAAAATGAAACAGTTGAAATCTCTTAGTTTTAACAAAATTCAACCCCTACCAAAAGTAGACAAAGCACCCCAAACAGTCTACATTCATCACATTGCAGCTAAATTTGGCAGCTGCATTTACAAATTTTAATGCAGTGTGTGTACAGAACCAAACTGAATAACTATTTCTTTATGATGTATATAAACATGTATCAGAGATGTGTCTGTCTTCTCTGTGTGCACTGGAAAGAGGCAAGAGCCTTGACTCATTCGCACATTTTGACAAAGGTCTTTCCACACCAGCCTTGCGGTCGAGGGTCTAAGAGATTGTGTTGCCAGATATTTAAAAAAAAAAAAGCAAATGATCACATAATAAATTAAGTCCAAATGCTGTAAATAAGACCAAAGTATCACAACCGGCAACTGCCTTTATTAACTATGTTTACATTATTAATGCCATAAAGTGGCTCATTTTATGAGGCAAGCCCAAACAACAAGCCCAAAGACGCTTATAAGTCAGGATGACAAGCAAAGCAGCCTTCTGAGCATAAACAAAACAGCGCCATTTTGTCTATGGGGGTTTAGTTAAAAGACAGACATAATGATGCATTCAAGTCGTGTCGGAAAGATCATGGTATTCACGAGTTGAGCGCACAAGAACACCATCATGAACGCAAGTTATAAATACTGGGAGGCTTGGGATTTTCTTTAAACCCCGCTCTTTACGAGTTGGGGGCGTGTCAGTGAGAAACATGGCAGAATACAACGATATTAAGAGGTATTTAGCAGTGACATTGTCAGGCTTTTGTATTTACAACAAAATAAGCTAATTTCCTGCACAAAATATGATAGCATTGTAATATGACAATATTATGTGTAATGATAAAGTTTACAGTGCTTCATAAATTAAAAAAAAAATTTAAACGTTAAAAAGCTAAACACACCTGATGCACATTTTTTGTTCTTCATTTTCTAGTAGTAGTGTTTCAAAGCCTTGTGTCATTAATTAAGAGAAGGTTAACCCCCATCTTAAACTCACCTAACATCGTAAACCCGACTTCTCAACTCGTAAATACGAACTTCCCAGGAGGACTTGAACGCACCATAACAAGCCTTTGGTAGTTTATATTATTATGGTTAAAGGTGCTGTATGTAATTTTTTGACTGTACTAAAGCATAAAAATACCATAATATGTTTGCAGATATTTAGGAAACATGCTAAGTTCACATACTCATTTCTCTGAAAACAATGCCGAATGCTAACACCAGAGTCTGCTTTTGTTTTGGTCTGTGTGATCCCACCCACTGCCAATTTACCAAATAGTAATTTGACTCCACGGTTTGCCAGTTGGCAAAACACACAACGTATAGCAGCCATTGAAGCCAGCAAACGAACTGGGTCAGAGATCGCAGATTCTACCTGACCAAAAATGTCTCGGCATCCAACTAAAAATCTCTATGAACCGGGGCATATTAAATGCGGATAAATCAACTCATCAACTCACAGTAATAAGTCTCCTTGCCTTCCACTGTCAATTGCCCTCGCTCCTGTTGCGTGTCCTCAATCTGGCAACCTGAGTGAGCATTGAGTCTGAGGAGGAGGGGGGCGGGCAAACAACTCTCTCCAATATTTTGAATTTAGACTGCAGTACCCATTTTAACCACTAGCTGTCAATATTACATAGTGCACCTTTAAAAAAGCGAATACCAAACGGCTGCAAGATGCAAAAACGTTGCTATGGTTAAAGGTGCAGTAAGCGATTACTGAGAAACGCTGTTGATATTTGAAATCACCAGAACAAACACACCCCTACCTAAAAAGAATCAAACCCGTATCTTGATAGCTTCACCCCCAAATTCACGAACACGCTATGCAACATAGGCACCTCCCCCCTAATGAGTGTAAACTGATTGGCTACAAGTGTGTTTTGGAGCTCGGTCCGATCCACTTTCAACAGCGTTTCTCAGAAATCGCTTACTGCACCTTTAACACTGTCAATCATCGCAATTTTGGAAGTAAATGCCTTTTCACACCAGGTATGATAACTAATTATAGCTAAATAAGTGTATACACTTACAGACTATAATGTTCTGTTTATTATAAGCACAAGCTGCAGTTGTCATCTGTCTCTTTAAATGCTCAAGCTCTTTAAAGTTAAGCAATTGCTTTAACATGATTCTCAAATGTTTTTTATAGTTGATCAGCTGGAAAAATCATTCTGAAAGTGATTCCAATGATATCGCTCCTCTTTGTCATTTTTGTTATAGCAGTGGTGTGGAATATCACTATTCTCATAGAATTAGAAGAAATATTTAAACTTTATGGTTACAGTTATCGTCCTCCATGTGAATGGGTCTTAAGTCACGTTCATTTAAGGGATATACTCTTGCATTTACATGCGGTTGACACTCCTGACACAACGTGTATATGGTCAATATGATGCAGGCCAGATTCACACCTGCATTCCTGTGAGCCAATGGCTGTTATGCTTCATAAGTCAATGCAATACCACTCCACAGCTCTGACTCTAGTCTGATTTTTGTCAAATCAGAAAAAAAGTCCTATAATATCTCATGTATAATGCATCCTTCCTTATACAGCTCACACTGTCACTGTGTTTCCTTCCATTGTCATACTAGCCTTCATACCAGAGTCCGTCCCCTAAGAAGAGACGTAAAAGTTAGTTTAAGAAGGAGAGCAGATGGTGTTTTATTTGAATGGAAGTCAATTGAGGGGATAACACATGAAACATTTTTGGACCTCTTTGCTAATCATCAGTATGTTTGGCTTGATTTATTGATATTAAAGTCTAAACTATAACTGGAGTTTGCTACAAAAAATAGATCTTTAATAGAGAAGTCACAGGAAATTTTGCGACACTCATTTACGTCACTGCATTTGCATGGTCTCTGCCAACAGATGCTGCCACCTTGTTCTTAAATAAGAAAAAATCTGTGAACATACCTCAGTTATTTACCTCAGGTTACTTAGGGGCCAACATAAGACCAAAACAGCTAAACCTTTGAAACAGGATGGAACAAACATAGAGGGATTTGTGTTCCTGGTCTTTTTTAGCCCTCATTCCTGCTGGCCATGAACGGCATGATTGTCCAGTATGGCAAACAGGGCTTTGGTTGGATTTCCTGTTCTGTCCGTAGTCTGTGGTGGACCAGTGTCTTTGGGCAGACGTGAAGGTGGTTTTCTGGGGTCCCCAAAGTCTTAAGCGTGCCTATATTGAGTTAGGATCCGTATCTAACCAACACTGACCCCAAGACCGACCTGCAACTTGTCCGCTCTGTGGTTGACAAAGGCACCCATGATCAAGGTGGCAGGCAGAGGGTAGAGCCGCTTTTCCAGAACCCCACCAATGATACAGCGGCTGTCCAACATTCCTAAAAAAAACCATCAAAATTATTAACAAAATGATGAGTTACATGTGAAACATAAGTTTAATTCATTAGGCATTTAGAAGACTACTGTCTGAACAATGGCGGCAAGTGCTATATTCTGCAATAGACTACCATTCAAAAGTTTGAGGTCAGTTTTTTCTCCCCTAAAGCAATGAATACTTTTATCCAGAAAAGGATTAATTAAATTGATCAAAAGTGACATTAAATACTTTTATAATGTTACAAAAGATTTTTATCTAAAAAAAAATACTCTTCTTTTTAAACTTTCTTTTCTATTCAAATCATTTTAAAACCCTACTGACCCCAAACTTTTTAATGGCAGTGTATAAAATTTTACTTATTTACAAATCAGTGTCCAACAAAATGCACAATCCACTCATATTACACAGACTTGGAGTTTCTACAGAAACATAGGTTATACTACTGTTAGACTAATGTTTATTGTTATTGCTATGCCAAGATGAAGCCAGCTAATTTTTTCACATGTTCTATGGAAGATGTATAGAGCTTTGTTAATGACAGGGGTTCCAACTGAAGACAAGTTTTTTTAATAGAATTTTTACTTCCTGAACACTACTGTTGCCATCTACAATGAGGAGTATGAAAAACAAAACACTAATTTGAGTAAGAGTATATAAGTCAATGTTTAAAACCAGGTTTAAAAAGAGAAAGGGTTCACGTTTTGTCACGACTTGACTGAAATTGGGTCTTTTATGATCAGTTTTGTGGCAAAAGGCAGATTGCTTGGCTCAACTATGAGACAACAGAGTGACAATAAAAAAAAAAAAAGACTGCAACTTTATATATTGCACAGTCAGTATATCTGCCATTCTTACCTCTGAAGACCATTTTAGCTTCAGGAAGTTCCATCTGGTAACCAAAAGAGAAGGTTGTCTCTTGGGTCCTAGTACTCGCCTCAAACTCCACTCCCACCTGAATCTGCAGAGATGAATTAACACTTGATGAATTACGAAACTATTGCTGTGTCTTGTCATTGAAACAATAACATACCCATCAACACCACCATACCTGTTTGTTGGCCCTGTGGTAGTAGCTAGCATGTGCACCTCCTTTACCAGCATTCAGAGTTGCAACCCAATTTGGCCCTAAGGCAGAAAATGATATGACATTTGAGCTTTAAGTACCTTTGAGAAACAGAACACTGTACACACAAATAGGATGAGTTACACTCAAGAAGTAACTGCTTAGGACTACTTACACTGGTGTATAACAAATGGATGACCATTGCACTAAAGCAGAAGACCCATCTAACCTGAGTACTGGCCTGCCAGGGTAAGTATTCCCCCTTCTTCTGCTCGACCTCGATGGTACACCAGCTCTCCCCCCAGTACCAGCTGCGGGGATACGCTTTGAAGAAAGTGTGCAACCATGATAACTGGCACAAAAAAGGCACAAACAGATAACAACATTAACTAGAGTTTAATTTGTTTTTAAATGTGAGCAGCACACATTTAGCGTGAGACTAATGCAATTTTGTCGCTATGCAGAAGGTTGGTTAACTTTGCAATATCCTTGCAGCACCAAAGTAGAATTAATATTAGGAAATTATTTCACAACTTTAATTGTATACACCTCGGAAATATACTGAGGTCTGGGCCTCGGGGACCTCAATGGAGGGTATGGCCCTGGGTGTTACAGATCACTGTGGGGGCCTCAGTTTAAGCAGCATGTAAACCGATCATCCTTTTCACAACTAGTTATAGCACGAAATACACATGAATGGACACCCGAACATTTTATTGAGATTGGAATCGAGTCATGTGAACGTATGAAGACCCAAAGATTGAATCGAGATTGGAAATAAATCGTGTGAACACACGAAGATTGAATCCAGATTAGAATTGAATTGTGTGAGCACACGAAGACCTGCAGATTGAATCAAGATTGGAATCAAATCGTGTGAACACACGAAGCCCTGAAGATTGAATCAAGATTGGAATCAAATCGTGTGAACACACGAAGCCCTGAAGATTGAATCAAAATTGGAATCAAATCGTGTGAAGATACGAAGCACTGAAGATTGAATCAAGATTGGAATCAAATCGTGTGAACTCACCAAGACCTGAAGATTGAATCAAAATTGGAATCAAATCGTGTGAAGATACGAAGACCCAAAGATTGAATCAAGATTGGAATCGAATCGAGTGAACACACGAAGACACGAGGATTGAATCCAGATTGGAATAGAATCGTGTGAACATACAAAGACCCGAAGGTTGAATCGAGATTGGAATCAAGTCGTGTGAACGTACGAAGATCTGAAGATTGAATCGATAATAGAATCAAATCGAGTGAACACACAAATACCGGAAGATTGAATCGAGGTTCTAAGCTCGCTAAGGTGTTCTGAGTGGTTTTAGTTTGTTGCTACGTGATTGCTAGGGTGTCTGAGGAGTTGTCAGAGTGTTGCTATTTAGCTGTTAAGGTGTTTTGAGTGCTTTAGTGTGGTGTTAAGGCCCCAATATACTTCAAGAGAAGTCGAAGAACGAACTGATGTGACATTTCGAACAAAATCAGGCCAAATCAAAGTTCATTTGGAGTTCGTTTTGGGAGTTCGAAACAGCCTTTCAAAGCAAACTTTATGGAAAAGTTTGCTATAGCTGGAAAACAACTTTGTACTACCATTGGTCCGTGGCGATTATGTAATGGGTAGCTGTCCGCCTTCTTGCAGCATATACTGTATTTACATATTCAACTAAAAGCTGCTCTCAGTAGTGTGGGCGGTTTAGGATGTTCGCTAACAGCATATCGCTGCTCATGTATTTCAAACTTTGGTTTACCCTTTGATTTAAGAACGAAAAAGAACTTTACCGCGAGTATATCGGGGCCTTTATGCGTTGCCGAACCAGTTTGGCCTAAAATATTCAATTGAAGTACACCCTAAATGTTTAAGGTAATATTTCAATATTTGAACACATTCGCATGTTCACAGTTCTTTTATGTTGGTTAATGGTCACATGACATGCGGGTAAACAAACAAACTAACCACTTTTAGTAAGGGTTATTATTTCAACAGGTTCTATTTTAAAATGATTTATTCATTATAATCTTTCATTTTTATGATTTTTTCGTTTGAATTCATTATTAGTTTTTCATCAACTCACAAAATTGCTTCTCTCAGGAAACCCCAGATTGGAAACCCATGTCTTATACTAATAAAAGACAGACACACTAATGAGAAGAAACAACTGATTCAAACATATCTTTTTTTTTTTTTTTTACAGAAGCAGGGTGACTCTTAAGGAGTTTAAAAAGAATGCAGTGCTACTCAATTTTTTTTTTTTTAACAATTCATCAAAATGACGTACAAGAGCAACAGAAGAAAGACCTGTTCTGCATGTTCTGTATTGTGTTGTTTTAACCAAAGCACATTCCTGTGACATCTATAAATCAGTCTGTCATCCGTCATAATGAGGAACTCACGCGATCATACCTGATTCCCTGAGAATGTCAGGGTTAGCCAAAGTAATCGCTGCTGTGAAGTCACTGCCTCTATACTCCGTCTCAAACTGCCATGTGACAAACTGTGCCTGTTGAGTCTATTTCAAAGAATATGAAGTCAGTCCACACCACATTGTTAAAAAGTGTTTAAACTAGAGCAATATTGCATACTGCTACTAACCTGAAATACTGCTTTAGCTCTTATTTTCTCACTCAGATGAAACAAAGAGTGTGCATTTAAGCTGCCAGAGGAGTCCATTTCCCCAATAAGCATAGGTGAGTCCTTTATACACAGAAGATCATTGGATTGTAAATTCATCATAACTTATCTAATGCATATATACCCAACACACTTCAGGCAATTAGTTCATTATTATTTAAACCTGTCCATTACTGCCCATTAAGATGCACTACTTTTGAAATGTGTTCAAACAAACCTAGTAACTCGTACTGCAGGTTTTTTATTTATTCAAACATTGCATAATATGCAGTATGAGTCATAAGCTAAAAATAAATAACTTTTAATGTTAAATAAGTTACCTAAACCAAAGCCTACTTTAGAATTTGGTAAGAAAAGGCATTCAAGTTATCCAACAATGTCAAAAGTCAGTATCAGTCCATATTCATGTCTTTATGAAGTAGCGAATGTTCCCAGAACAAAACAATTCCTATTAAATAATCTTTGGCAGAATACTGACATACTTTTAAAAGGAATGCATCTCTTGTTTTTAACCGCAAAAATGCATTGTGTGAAGGGGCATTAATTAATGAGCATAAGAAACTTACCAAGCCCAAAAGTTTGAAATGTATATTCTTGTTTTTGTGAGTGTGTGAAAGCACCTTTAGAAGCGCTATACAAAAATGAAGTTTCTTAATATTGTCTTTATTACTGTACTCCTAATTCAACAAAAATCACAAGTCCAATTTTCCTGCCATTTTGCCCTGATTCCAAACTACAGTGTATAATATGTCACAGCATAGTTGCTTAACTAATATACACAACCTTGTAATGTCATTTGCAGGATAACCCAATCAAATTGTGATGCAGAAGAAGAATAATACAAGAATAATAATACAACAAATATCGACGCCCCTGTCCAAACATACTGTACCTCTTGCCAAAGATTTTTGATAAAGATGTTGTTAAATCCCCTAACCTCAGCTGTAATGCCACAGAAAACCACTTGAACAGGAACAGATGCAAGAAAAAAGAACTGAACATGATCCAGATCTGTCAGATTCTTACCGTTTCTTTGCTGTCAGTGTCTGACTGTAGGTGCTCAGCGTGAAAGCGATAACTGGACGGAGCAACAGCACTGAGGTGAAACGTGTGACTGACCTGAGGAGAGAAGAAACACAAATATTTAGTGCTAAATTGTGCTGAAAATGTTCATTAAAATAAGTGAAACTCCTGAATAGTGTCATAATTGAATAACATGTATGAACAAACCTTGAAAAAACTGCTGAGGGTCTTATTTATCACCAGTTTTACACCTTCAATCTGCTGTGGAAATACATCTAGAAGCACCAGCAATTATGTAAATACATTATGTATGTATTTTAATTGAATTTATGAAAAATGCATAAAAAAATCAACAGAGATAGAAAAGAGTATCAGACCTTTACAGTTGCGGTGTAGACCATCAAAGCTTCCCGGGTTAGGCAGCCGTCCATCTCTCCTATCCCACCGTGACAAGGGTCTATCTTGTGGAAAGGGGGAGTTTTGGCGCCCTGGCCGGTTTGACAAGGCCAGCACACTGCCCATGGGAACCCAGAGCCAAATGAGAGGACCACACACTTTCAACCTGATCTTCTGAACTGTGAGAGACAAAATTATTAATAATAATTTAATCATATAAAACATTGGATCATGCAATCTTCCTTTACTAAGAAATTGCAATATTGCCCACATTTCACAAAAATACATAAGAAAAGATAATGGGGGGGAGTAAATAATTTTCAACTCTGCAAGAACTCGAATCAACATGATAATAACGAATGACCTGCACATTTGAGCTCGTCAATAATCATGCATTTTCTGGCATTACTTACGCTGAATAAATGTGGGTTGTGCCGTTACAGTATGCAAAAATGATATCCTGAAATCATACTGAAATATAGCTTTTTACATCCAGTGACCGCTGGAAGAGAGTAAGGTGAAAGGATGCTGAGGGATGTAGAGACAACTCAACTACAGACTCTAGCGGCGGAACCAGCTGATCAGTGCAGTCATTTAAAGAAGAGCAGCTATGAAACACCTCCGTGCAGAAACATGCTGCTGTTCATTCTGCACAACGCTGAAAACAAGACATTTGGACAATTAATGAAGCGTATTTGCAACGCTGTGTTGTTAGCATAATATATTGTTGTGATATGATACAAGGTAAGCTCTTTTAATAATAAAAGTAACTTTAAATAACATATTCTGACGTCACGGGGCACATACATTGGGGTGGTATGACTCATTTCTGCGACTCGGTTCTTTTGAAAAGTTCGTTTCAATGAACCGATTCAGTCATTCTTTAACGTCATCACGTGGTCCATGTATGCACGCACGTGTAGCACTTGAGTAGTTGTTTAGTGAGATACCTGTCTATGTGAGATACACTAAAAAGATCCGACTCGAAAGAACGATTCGTTTACGAATCGGACACCGCAACTGTCAACATGGCAGATGAAGCCACTAGAAAGGCAGTTTCTGATATACCACTTTTAAAAACAAATTCAGGACCAAGAGACAAAGAACTATGGGTTCAGAGACTTCGAGAAGAATATTTAGCTCTCATAAAGGTGAGTTATTGTATTGTAGCAAAAGCATATTAGGGAGCTACGATGCTAGCTGTGTGAACGAATAACCATACGTGTCATTAAGTTAAAAGTGTTCAGTCTTATTGACTTAGTTCATTATCATTTATGATTAACAGTTTGCGTACAAATATAAACTTAATGTTTCAAAATATGTGCGCTTCATATAATAATTGCGTTGCCTTGCAGTATGTTGAAAATAACAAAGCAGCTGACAATGATTGGTTCCGTTTGGAGTCCAACAAAGAGGGTACAAGGTCAGTATTATTACCATTCTTCTTTTTAGGAGCTCTTATATTTTCATTAACATCTTGCTACCTTTTCTGTGTAGGTGGTTTGGAAAATGCTGGTATATTCACGAGCTTCTAAAATATGAATTTGACATGGAGTTTGATGTAAGGCATTTTGAACTCACTTACTTTACATTTAACTTAATTTTATGAAAGTCTGGATAACGTATTTAACTTCACCCTGATTTCCAGATTCCAGTTACATATCCTGCCACAGCACCTGAAGTGGCCATTCCTGAGTTAGATGGGAAGACGGCGAAGATGTACAGGTTCGCTTCATGTGTTAATAGCTTTTCAATTTCATCCCAATTATCTAATATTGTGTTAAAATGTACCTTTATTGTGAAATGATCTTTCAAAACCATTTTTTGTCACAGAGGTGGAAAAATCTGCCTGACAGACCACTTCAAGCCACTGTGGGCAAGAAATGTCCCAAAGTTTGGTCTGGCTCATCTAATGGCTTTGGGAGTAAGTAAAGTTACATGTCTAAAATGATATGTATTATGTCATTCATTTCCTAAACTAATTTGTTTCTTTGAAGGTATTGCATCTCATATTAATAACTAATCTCTGTTCTTTCCAAAGCTTGGACCATGGCTTGCAGTTGAGATTCCAGACCTCATTGCAAAAGGCATAATTGAACATAAAGAACAGCAAAACAGCTGAAAGTAGCCGTAGCATCCTTTGCATTTCACTATGTCTTAATGATGCAAACACAAATGAGGTTTTAACACATTTTGTCAAAATCATGGCTACCTACCACCCTGTGGTTTCAAATTTTTGTTTGCAACCTCATAGCAACTGTGTATGTCACATTCACATTTGTACATCTGTTTTTTTTTTTTTTTTTCGTTCAGGTTTATAATGCCTGTTCAATGGAATGTGTATGTATTCCTCAGTAAAGCCTGGTATGTAAATAAATGCGGGACCATTTTAAATTGTGGTCTTGGGGAAACCTCACTAGGATTTAAAATGTTAAACCTTTAATTGAAGTTTTATAACTTGCAAAAAACAATAAAATCATAGTATGCCAAATGATTCACTTTCTCATCTGGAAGTTTTTCTGCTTCCAGCTTTTTAAATAAGAAAAAAATGTGTGTAGTAGGTTACTGTTCATCCTATAAGTTACCAGATATTTAGTAATCCAATGTGTCTTTTAGATGACAGGAGGTTCCCAGTTCCTTCAGGGTGTAATGGTTAATAAAGCAAGATTTAATGATTTCTACAATTAACTCTTATTCCATAATGAAATAGTGTCACAAATAAATCAAATAAAATAACAGATATTCAAGGTATAATTTTGGCCCATGAAATATGGCTATAACAAACATTCCTACAGGTTTTGCAATTGAAATCCTCATTACTTTTGCATGTGTATTAAGAACAGAAATAGTTCTGATCATCTATTTTCAAACATTTAATATACTAGTCAATGCACAAAATGGATGTATTTTTTTACGACATTTTTAATGAAAAAAAAAAATCAAAATATAGTACAGATGGTATAGACCATTAAGTCACAGGCAATCAATATATGTATACTTTCAGTTTTGTTTATAACCTCAAATATGGTGCCACATAACAGCAGAAAAAAAGTGATTGTCAGAGGATGAATGTCAAAGATGATTGTGTGTCCCTGAGAACTATGAGGAAAGTCAAATCTTATATACACAGATAAAGTGGATTTCAGTTCAACTGTAAACATTAATACAGTTGAACTGCTGAAAAGCTGTGCCTAGCGTACAAACCAGCCTAAAACAAGCCTCTGGATGAAGTATCCGTCATGATCAGTTCTGATTAATAGCCATCACACTTGTGTTTGATCATGAGAGTGCAGATAGTCTCTCCACATCCCCAGCATTGCTGTACAGCATGAGCAGGACCTGCTTTTAATTTGCACACTGCACAAGTACCTGAGGTGTTTGAATATGTTGGAGCCTTTTGGTTTTGAGAAATGAGCTGTTTGAGTTCAGTTAAGATGGTCATGTTGGGTGCAAGAGCAATATCTGTGACCTCGATACGCGCTGGGTCAAAGACACAGTCCTCTTCTAGACCGCTAGGCACAGCTTTCATGCCACAGTTAGGAGGTACCCAGGCAGTGTCATAGCCCTGGCTATTCCAGGTCTTCTGCATGGGATGGTTGTCCTTATCAATTCTTTTGATTTTTCCACAGTCGACGCTTAATTTAAGCACGATTCTGTCAGTAGGTTGTGATCTCAGAGGATAGCGCTCTGCTTTCTTCTGGTCACGGCTCACATAAACTCCAGGTCCTAGCATTCCATCTGCTGATTGCTTGAACCCATTTGTTATGATCTGACGAGCTTGTTGCACAGAGGTGCCGTGATACATTGTATAGTGTCTGCCTGATTTGGCTTCCTGGCCTGCCTGAAGATGACGATCTTCATCATAGAAAGCCTCCCAGCCAAAGAATTGGATGGATGACATTTTTTTTAAATTTCTCCTGTGGATTAAATGGAATAATAATAAATTGCTTGTCAGTTTGACACTACCAGCAAAATGTTTGGACACATCTTTATTACTATTTTCTATAATTTAGAATACTAATAAAGTCAACCAAAAACTATAAAATAACAAATAAAAGTAAGGAAATGTATGTTAGTTAGAAATGTTAAACAAATCAATGTTTCAATATAAATCAATATTATAGCTTCTTCAAAGTAACCACCTTGTGCCTAATTTACAAGAACTTCCCGGTCCAAATCATTCGCTTATATAATAAATGGAATTTTACTTTTGTAAAGAAATTAATTGTACGTTTATAAGAAAAAAACATTTATAATTTCTAGCAATAATGCCAAACATCACAAACATATTCAGAATGAAACATAAATTAAGTTAGTCCAAATCCAAATATTTCACTCCTAATGTAGCCTACTGTCAGTTCTTTGTGTGATTGTGTCAGCTTAAACATGTGTAAACATTTACAATAGCTGCCTATATCAGCAGTTCCGCCATTTAGTTCGTGTAAACATTACATTTTATGTTCTCGACATATTCATTGATCAAGATAGCCCTATATTATTCTAAAAGGAAACAAACCTACCTTAAAATACTTCGCGCAAGTGAACAAGAAATTACATGAAACTCCGAGTCTGAACTTTCTAATTTGGTTATACTCCGGACAGGAAGCTTTCACTTTCAATTTTTCTTGAACACGTCTTCCTGTTTTGCTTGGGGACAGGGGGAGTAAAAATGCATTTTCTCTCTCTATATATATAAAAAAAAAATTGTGTTTCACTTGCTCATCAGGGGAAGTCAAACAATGTGGTTCACCATGCATTTGTTTAATACTTGAAAGTGCTCACACTTTATGAAGCTAAATTTATGTGATACGTCAATCGAATTGTCTAGACCCGCCTTCTTTTTATAAAAAGTATTTCATTGACCAGAATCTCTCTTACGCATAAACGTGGTGACCAGCGATGTTGCCATGTCCGCAACGACTTTTTCCCCACAGTTGGTCAATAATAGCAGTTAATGGAACCAACTCTACATAATGTCATTAATCCCCATAGTTTTTTTTTCTTTTCACTTTCTTTCGTTACGTGTTTCTGCGTTTCAAAACTCTCTCTTCTAACGTAGGCTAAGTCTACCTACACAATTACGTATTCACGATTTAAATGACTAATATCTGTAGGCTATACCTGTGAAAACTATATTATTACAAATAGGGTTGAAATTATGTTGATTGGGATACTTTTGCCGTTGAGATAACTGGGGGAAAGTGTAACCTGAATTCTTCGAAGACGTGGCCTCTACAAAATAATACTATTATTTAAATTCAACTCAATATTTTGATCGTGTCCACGTATTTGGTAAGAGGCGATTAAATAAGATTTTATTTTGCGATGGTTCAAATGACCTATTTTTGGTACGGCAGCCGCTTATTTTTCCTAGTAAGATCTGGCAACACAGCGGACGCGTGCTAACGGGAAACTGGAACGTGGCCGGGGCATGAATATTTTATAAAATTCGATCTTAAAATTTGAATTTGAAAATGTACTCAAGGCTGGCGGTAGAAATCATCTCGTCATAATATTTTTTTTTTTATTACTTTTTTTTTTTTTTTTTTTACTGGACTGTTTACTCTCCAGACACATAAAATTGTTATTTATTTTACTACATTCGAAGTGGCCATCGAGCTCGCAGCGTATCTCATAGTAACCGGTGTTCTTGTTTACGGTGACAGAAGCACCGGTTGTTTTCCACTATGCGACATTCCACGGGGAACGAAACTTCACTGCTGCTGCTGCTGCACGCTAGCTTATGACATTGCACCTCTATCTTTTTCAATTACACCGTCTTACGTAAACGGGACTAAAACCTGCTCCTAAAACCACCTCTGGTCTTCTGGTGTTGCGTTAGCTCCCAACCAACGTCAATACAAGCTTTGGTATTTTAATTAGATTTCAAGCTGTATCGCGAGAGATGCAAGAGCGTCATGGTGACATGCAGTCTAATGTCAATGCTGCATTGTGTGTCCTGCCAGCCTCCCAGGGCTCAGTTCAAGCTCGATAGTCAACGGGACGCAGTAACGCCTGCTCAAAATGTATCGAAAAGTTTGGTTCTCCTACTAATGTGACAGCTTGCTGAATTGTCTACTTGGCATTTTCTGGAAATGTCCAAGACACGCGAAGTGCTACTTGTTGGGGAAGGCAACTTCTCTTTCTCAGCAGCTTTGAGCGAGACCGCAGGCGATGAGGTCGGCGTGACCGCCACTTGCTTTCAAAGCGAGAATCAAACATTTAAACACGAGGGAGCCGTGTTGAACATACAGCGACTCCGTGAGAGAGGTCGGTTATGTGGTTCTTCATTCTGATAATGTTGTCAAGATTGTCTTGTGTAACTTATGTTCTTACTCGTGCAGTGCTTTCTTGCGTCTTTGTTGTCCTGTCTGCATGATTTCTGAAAGATATTTTGTTCTATTTTAGTAAACCCAGAGTTTACAATCCGCTAATGTAAACATTTTCAAGTTTACCTATTCTTCCCACATAAGTATCATAGCCCTGAATTTGCATGCCTGCAGCCAAGTCCATAAATTTATACAGCCGGTTGCTATGAAACGACTGAGGAGGGTTTAAAAAGCCTCCTTGAATTCTGTATGATAATTCTGCAGAGGCCTTTAATTCAGTATTATCTTTTCCAACAATTCCCATTGCAGGAAATGCTGTTCTGTTTGAAGTGGACTGCACTTGTCTAAAGGAGCACGAAGCCATCCAGCATCATCTTTTTGACTGTGTTATTTTCAATTTCCCTCACTGTGGGCGTAAAAGTGGCGTAAAGAAGAACCGCATCCTGTTGGTGAAATTTTTCCAAAGGTAAGTGACACACACTTGTGGCTACAACTAAGGTCTTTATTAGGGTGTTACATAAGCTTCACTTCCAGCGTTATATAATGTTAATACTGAGGGGATCAAGAGTTTCATATTTCATGTAAAATGGATGGATGTTTTGTGTGTTTTTTTTCTAGTGCCGTTGCAGTCCTGAAGGACAATGGGGAAGTGCACGTCACCTTGTGCAATGGGCAAGGCGGCACTCCGTGTGACAGTCCAATGAGAGAATGGCACAATAGTTGGCAGGTGGTTGCCATGGCAGCAGAAGCAGGGCTAATTCTCAGTGAAATCCGTCCCTTTGACTGTGAAACGTATCAAGGTTACAGATGTACTGGTTACAGGTAAACAGCTTTTCACTTGGACAAGTGGACATAGTCCACTAAAATGTTATTTGACACGTTTGTAGTCAAGTCACCTTTATTTATATAGCGCTTTATACAATACTGATTGTTTCAAAGCAGTTTGACAGTGATAACAGGAAAATTATGCATTTTGTTAGTTCCGTTGAAAAGATCATTCATTATCAAATTAGTTAATTTCATCTATAAAGCAGTTCTGCAAAAAATGATGTCATCGTCCGGCTCAGTTCAGTTCTAGAATAAAGAACTTTTAATGTTCCTGTTACAATTATGTAATGGCATTCAGTTTTAAATTTAATAAATACAATTATTTTGCTAAGGAGTCAAGACAAAGGTTTTCATGTAGAGGGAGGTCTGACCCACATCTTCACTCGGAGTCTCCCGCACACCATGCCTGAGAAACTGAAAATGGAAAAACCCATTGGGAAGGAGACCGTTTGTTTTGAGCTTCCGGCAGAGTTGAGTAACTATATGAACAGGTGAGTGGTAACTTGTTGCTTATTGAATAATAGCAAAACTAAGGGTATGGTTAAACTGAAAAGTTTTCCTTTGCGTTTTTTGTGTGCAGATGATAATGTTGTCAAAACGCTCCCACACTAAAAACACTGTATTATGCATGCCAGGCCAGTAGGTGGCGCTGTCACTTTGTAAAGAAACACTACGCGCCTATACACTGAACAAATAATATGCAAGTGCATGACGTCACCGTTTTCACAAATTCGCATTTTTTGTTTGTACGTTCGTTCGTTTATTTATTCATAGTTATTTCTATAGTTATTTTGTAGTTAACACGGAGACGATAACGGTATCGCATTCAACAACTTGAACTTTGAAACCTGTTTTCAAAGGTTTGCATTTTCAGGCCCCAAAACACCATTGTCCTATAAAGAACGCCCAAAACACATACATTTGTAACGTTTTTAGTTACAGAGAAGTCACATTCTTTGTAATAATCTGTAACATTCAGTTACTTATTTTCAGAAGTGACTTATATAATGTTATTCACGTCAAACAAGCACAAATGCGCATGAAAAACAAATCAGTTCTAGCATAGGCATGGCAATAGTGGCGCAGATAAGACATACTTCACCATTAACTCATTACCCACCATTGAAGCAATTTTCCATCATTTATGACACAACGCTTTCCCGCCATTAAGACAATTTTCCAGTAGCACCTCAATGCAGTACATGAGATCCACGGGGAGGAGTCGGATCAAGATCCAAGGGGTGGAGATGGGTAGGATTAGGGGTGGGTTTAGGGATTAGGGGTGGGTTTAGGGATCAGGGGGCGGAGATGGGTAGGTTTAGGTATATGTAAGGTGGGTATCCAGATCCAACTCCTCCCCGTGGATTTCATGTACTGCATTGAGAACCATCTCCAATTTTCCAGCAATCCGTGTTTTCACTTATATGGTAGGGGGCGCTATTCCACATCTTCTGAAAGAGTACAGAATCTCTGGATCAAAGCACTGGCGAAGAAGCAGAAACAAGCGATAGAAGCATTGCTTATGCACATGTAAAATAACGTGATCGTCAAACATCGTGAACATCATATACAGTAGATAACATTTGAAGTGGGTCAAAACCTTTCATCAAAGTTATTCATGAATTTTGAACAATACCCGTTCTTGTCTTAGGACAACTTTGATGAACTTTTCTGATCCACTTCAAATGTTGGCTACTGTAAATCAAAACAGCCTAACGGTACCGGAAAATGTCCACCCAGGGCGAGCCACAGGACTGTGAAGCTTTGGGGGTGATGGGGTTGATGGACTCCATACATGTTCAGATATTCATACAAAATATTCTGAGGGCCATGAAATCTTTGTGAAAAAAATAAATAAAAATGCTGACGGTGGCTGGCAACTTTTTTAACTCGTTAAAAATATTTAACCCAATTAACACAGCATCCGTTTTTTCTGTCATCTTTTGGCTGCGCTACAGTATATGATCACGCTATCATTTATTCAAGTGCTATTAAACCATTCAAGCAAAAGAGGTGAGATGAGACGCAAAAATAAGAAATTAAATTAAATCTGTACTGGTGCGCAGTCTGTGAATATTCTTGTCTGTGTGACAGACAAAGAGGACTCATGTTTAACAGAAATCCGTTTCAGACACATAAAAGTATGCCAAAATGTCTGCTTTGTCAAATATCCTCGTAAGCACAGTTTTAAATGAGTTAAATGAAGTCTTAAAAGTACGTAAAGAGTTGTGAGGACATCGGATGTATGTCAGATCCACGTCATGTGGCAAATCTTAAAGTGACAGCAGCCTAATAAACCCGCTGCTGTGATGTCTGTCATTAATGCTAATCAAAGAACAAAAGACAAAGAGAAAATCACTCGCTGCTCTTGACTTTTGGTCACTGCTCTTGACTTAATAAGGATTAATCTGTTTAATTTATCATTTATGCAGTGAAGACTGTGAGGATTGATAACTTTACTCAATTTCTCTATATTTCCTACCCTTTAGATCAAAATTTAAAATATTCTGTCTTTATATTGTTTCTACATTTATTTGGAGATTAAATGTAAAATTATGACAATATAAAAACAGAAAAAATGTGCGGTTTATTAGTACATTTGTGTCACATGGACTACAGAAATACCATACTAACACCATTGTTTCTCACATGTCTCATGACCACATGTCAAGAGCGTCATGTAAGCTTCACAGCAGAGGGGAAGATTATTAGTGAATAATGACTTGCATTTTGGTCTGTTCCTCACACAGTTATCATGGCCTCAAAAGACTTGCAATATAGCAGACATGTCATATGAACCACATTTTGATGTTGCTTTTTGCGAGGGATGTATGAAATAGCTGTACCATGTTGTCCGATATTAGAGATTTTTTTTATTTATCGGTCTTGTTTATATTATAGAATATTTAATTGTTCATTTATCATATTTTCACATTTTGATTGCCTTTCCCATCGTTTACAGGCAGTGTTGGGTGTAACTTATTACTAAGTAATTAATTACTGTAATTTAATTACTTTTTCCTAAAAAAAGTAAAGTAAGGGATTACTTTTTATTTTTCTGTATTTTAATTAGTTACTTCTGATTTAATTGCATTAAATTTAATATAGATTATGGAACAATTCTATATACAACAATAGTGTAATTAACATCAAACATCTCCCTTTAAATACTTTATTCAGTTCAAGAATAATTTATGCAACTGAACATTTATTTGTAAGAATTAAAAGAGCAGTGTCAGGTCTATCCTTGCATTGTTCAACTGGTCGAGGTTGATATGGGATTAGCAATAAGTATTGTAATACTTTTTAGAGAGATTAATCTAATTACACTGTTGAAGATGTGATTAGTAGCTAGTAATTAATTACTTTTTTAGAGTAGCTTACCCAACAATGCAGGTTACAGGTCATAGTTAATCTTTAAAATGTATAACATGTATAACTAATAATTTATAAATGTAATCTTTAGCAACTATTAAAACATTTTTCATACTGTACATTACAATGTTGTGATGCTTAAAGTTACTAATTTCACATTTTTATGGAATATTGCAGTATTTATTATAAATGATTTATATGATTTGATCTCGTGTCTTCGTAATCTTTAATCAAAAATGTTATATTTCAATAACAATAGCAAACGACAACAATCCAATCAATTGGGCAAAATCAAGTCCTTGCTTAGATTTTTTCTTATCATAATAGGGAAGCATAGACTATCGCAACTTCCCTTTCATGGCGACTTTAATCTTTAAAACAATTGTTTTTACATTTTAGGGATTTATTTTATGTAGACAAAATAGGATAGGATTAATATTTGTAAATTTTGTTGCCATTTAATGGTTATCAATAACATGAACATTTTACAGAAGTCATACAGGTTTGGAACAGCATGAGTGTGAGTAAATAATGACAGAATTTCCTGTTTTGCATGAACTATTGCTTTAAGGTAATGAACATTAAAAAACTAGAGGTGACAGCGTGATCATGGCATTTATCATTTATATGCAAACTCATCTGTAAATGGTGACGTTGTCAAGCTGAAATCACAAATTATAATCTGTTATCAGTCTTAAGGCTCGTACACACCGGGACGAATATCGGCGCGCGTTATTCGCCAGCGTTTTTCAATGCGTTTTTTGTGTTCACACCCAAGCGATTTTGGCTGACGATGAGCCGAGTGAACATGCCAATTCATTCCCTGACATTAGATGGCGCTTAATGTAAAACAGAAATAGTCCTATGTTGTAGTCGCTGTCGCGTTTGTCATATAGTTCTTTATGTTCCGACACCAACGAGACCAGCAGCTCTACATTCATCTTGCCTTGCATCTTCCTTGTCTTATTTCTTCCCGGCAGTGTAGACGCATCTTGGCGTATATCTTCTTCACCGTTACGTATGTGTGCTCGGCAAGACCGTTTTGTGTTTGAGCGCCCCCAAGTTGTGTTTTACTGTAACTTCAGAAGCTCCAGACACGTGAGCAAAAGCGCCAATCTCATTGGTCGGATAGTTTTTGACGCGGCGCGTCAAACTAAAAAAACGAACCCGAGGCGTTTTTAAAAAAATGACGCTTTTACGCGTGTCGTTTTTCGCGTCGGTGTGCACACTCACATTGGCGCCCTTTGTTTAGTCACGAGGCGTTAAACGTCGGCAAATATCGCGCGCGTAATTCGTCCCGGTGTGAACAGGCCTTTACACTATATTATACAAAAAGAAAAAGATGGGCTGTTCACTCTAAAAACAATAACTGCCATATTTTTGTCAGTATGCTTATGAATTTAAGTGTTTTCATTAATTTACTTGATTCTTGTGTCTCCTGTCAGGAACTTCCTTGGTCAGCAGTCCCATCATCCAGTGAAAACTGTCCAGGAACAGTTACTTCGAGAGCTAAAGTCAGTCTGGCCTGTTTGCAGTATAAATGAGGATTTCCCAGAACTGGTAAGCTGCCTACCAGAAACACCTGAGGCTTGTGACTCCACTCTGACCCAGTCAGAGGTCTACTGGATTAAACCTACTGACACCTATATATTTGACCAAAGCGAAAATGAGCAAAAGGACTGTGAGTCTATGGATGACCAACAAAGCTTTACTGGCAGCTATGCACTTCGACCGTCTCTGTTGCTGCATGTCCAAGAGATCACCCAGAACGAGGACTTCAGCCCTGGTACGCTTCATGCGGTCAGTGGCCTGGTCTTTCAGAGAGTGCCCATCTCCCTGAGCCGTTCTCCTGCATTCCACCAGCTTCTATTAGTGGGAATGTTCCCTACAGAATCCCATCCTCTCCAGTGCTTCCAAGATTGTTTGGAGTCGCTTCTCACTTCTTACAGCGTCTCCTTTGAAGAGGCGCGAATAGGCCTAGAGCAGCAAGTGTGGATGAATTTAAAGATGCTTCCCAAGTTTGGGCGGATCGCATCACTACCCTCTTTGTCTTCAGCCCTCGATGACGGTTTTCAGTTAATTGCCGTCTCAATAAACTTGGATCATTTAGCCACTGTGATTTTCGGCATTTCTGACTGGCGCTTGCTTTGGAGTGCCGATCCTCGCTTTCTTAAGCATTTCGAGGCCAATCCACTTGGACCTTTCAGTCCTTTCTCCCTTTACCCACCAAGCTACTCGCATGATGTCAGTTTCTGGATGGACCCAGAAATCTATGAGGAACTGGACTTCCATGCAGTTGTGCGAGAGGCTTCTTGCGGTTCTGTTAAAAACGTGGCGTTAGTGGATCGCTTCAGACACCCACACATGGGTCACGCTAGCCTCTGCTATAGGCTGACATATCAGTCGTCAGATCGCGCCCTCTCACACAGCCAGGTCTTGGGACTACAGAATCAGCTACGGAGACTGTTACCCCTGCGCCTGCAGGTCACGCTGAGGTGAAGAGGTTTAAATGGATGTATAATCTCAGATTTGAATTTTTAAAGATGAAATTTAGCTTCGTAGATGGGAAGAGTGAGTCTGCAGTTTTCTGCAGTTGTTTTTATAAATACACAAAAGTGAGTGGTTAAAATACAATTTTAGCAATTAAAATGGGGTATTATTTCCATTTTATTTAAAACTGACATATCAAACTATTTGAGCTGAAGGGATTTTTTTGTTGCTGTTTTTGAAATCCTATCATTATACATATTGATATCCAAGAAATGTTTACAAATTTCAGTGGTACTGTTAATTTTCCTTGTTGTTTAATATGAATTAATTTAGCATGTTTAGGGATCTCGTTTAATTAGGACACTTGGAGACATAATTATTAATGCACAACTGCAAATCATTTAATCGGATGCATTTTTTAAAAAATGTTCTTAAATATTTTTCTAGGTTCTTTGTTGTGTATGTTTACAATATATCTGAAGCTGCATTTGATACTGTGATATTTCTGGAATGTCTATGTTTATGATCATTTGTGACTAAATTGTATTGTTGCTTATAAGTGTGTCATGTCTATTCTTCTGGCAGAAGCGTCAACTAAACAGGATCTCAAAAATAATGGCTTGTTGTCAGATTACTTAAACTACAGTAACCCACTTGGACTGGTTTGGATGCTTAAACTGCTGGTGTAACTTACTCCTCCTAGTTTTCGTAGTTTTTGTCCAACTCTATTGACTTGACTTGGACAAAAACTACGATAAAACCTGTGCAACCACAGAAACCGAAAATTCTCGCCCCAGCATGTGTCCAAATTTTAATCTTAACCATTCTATTTCATCAGAAACAATCTTAAAACAGGGCTTTAAGTGTAAAATACGAACTTGTCCTTTAAGCGAAAAGAGGTAAATGTTTTGTTTTGGGTCTTTTCTGAACCTGAAAAGACTGGCCTGAATTCCAGCCATATATTGATATATCATATAAATACCGTTTGCAAAATGTTTATCATCTTAGACTCGTATATCATGGCACATATCTAAAAATAAACGCACACCAGAGTAATATTTTGTTGCAAACATTTCTAAATGGTCTACCATATGGTCTATCATTGAAGAATTAAAAAAATAAAAATAAAGTGTGTTGCAGTTTTTTAAATTATTATTTCATATTTCATGACACAAGTACCAAACTATTTGTCATGAGACTGCTCCTGTTCAAGAATACTGAGGGCTCTTAGTGTAAAATCTTTACACTTAACAAATTAAAACAAAACAGGAAAGTGTTTTTTCTTAATTGGCAAAAATCTATCTAATAAATGTGGAAGAAATTCCACATGTAGTTGTTTAAATGTAATTTTTTGGCCATTTACATATAGACATTGCATATCTAATATAGAAAACCACACTAACAAACATTAACATGGTATTATGAAACAATGAAAAAAAAATGATCTAATTTTGTTCAAGTCAAAAATATTGTTTTAAATGACTAGGCCAATCTAACTAATTTTTATGGGGTAAATACTATTTTAATGTTACAGTTGCAGGTTATGGCTTTTTACAGTAAAACATGGTGTATGAATATGATAATCATTCAGTAGCATGTTATTAGTTATTACCAGTGTTGGGTGTGTAATGCATTACTATGTAATTAATTAAAGAGTAAAGTAAGGGATTACTTTTACTTTTTGTGATATACGTAGTTACTTCTGATGTATGCATTAAATACTGTATAGACTATATCGAGGCAATAGTGGATTTAACATAAAAAATTAACATCTAATGTTTAAATGTATGTTTTAATGTAACCTTCACCTTTAAATTCTTTGGTCAGTTCAAAAATTATTTACAAATAATTTAGTAATCTAATTACACTGTTTAAAATGTAATTAGTAGTAATAAATAACTTATGGTTTATTGCCATCAGATATCATTATTGTACCATAATACAATGGTAGTACTACTATTAAGCCTAATACTGTTATAATCTAATTAATTGTTCAGCTGGCTAGATAATAGCCAAATGTATTGAATGAGAATAGATGAGAAAAGGTTTATATTGACGGTGTAATGAAATGTTTGTATATATATAAAAACAATTAGTTGTAGTAAAAAGTACTCCGGTCAAGTCAATGAAAGCATGCTAAATTGGTGTTTGCAGCAAAGTTATTAATTATAGTTAACTTAAACTTTAAAATGAAAATGAAAATGGAAAACACAAAAATAAAAACTAATTCAAAATACCAAAACAACTAAAAAAACAACATAATAGTATCTCAATGATACTAATAATGTAATATTGGGTAATAATGTTTGCCATCCGCGTGCTCTCCGTCGACTTGCGCTGCGTTTGGTGTAATGATGACGTCACGCACGGCCAGTAGAAACATGGCGACGAAGAGTCTCCGTCAACGCAACAGACGTGGAAGCAAACAAGATGCCAACAACGTGAACAACACACCTACCACTGACAGCCGAGCAACAAAAGACGACAAATGTGTTGAGGACAATAACTCTAGTGACCCCCGAAATGAGTAAGTAACCATAAACCAGTCCAGCTAACGCGCGGTGTAACATTGTGTAGTGTTGACAGGTCGCTAGCTCGCTAACGTCAGGCTGTCTGGATATGCGATTAATACCAATACAGATGGCAAAGCAAACCCATGAAATATCCACAGACTGTCTAAATAACACGAAGAGATAGAAATGCTAAAATGTATCCAGGCGACGCGAATAAGCTCGCTTTTAATGTAACATGACGGTTTTCATTCAATCATTCATTCATTCAAGGCAGCTCTTCTACCGGTATGTAAACGCTAATCAGCGCTCCATAGAACAAACAAACGCTGAAAAAGAAGTGGTGTATATAATGGTCGTTCAATTAAAATGAATGCTTGTTATTAATGAGCTGGAATACTTTAGTGACACATTTTCAGATTTGGCTATTAGCATGTTATACACAACATGATGCTGTGTAACGTAAATCTCAGGTGCACATTCGCGCATGTCCAATTTAATAATCTTCTTACATTGTCATTAGCTGAACAGCGCAGGAGGAATAAAATGACACTCCATTGACATTTTTGTCTATTTTGTCTATGCGTAAAGCTGGAATTTCTCATGCTTACTATATTAATTATGCTTGTGAATGAGTTTACTGTTTTAAATACTAAATAAATGAATGACAACCTTGTGTTACCATGTGCTCTGTTCCCATATTGCTTATTAGTTTGCTCCCAGATAAGCACATTAGCTCCTATCCCCCGGCTCTCCATTACAGGTCATCCAGTAAGGCAGGACAGGTGTGGGCTCCTGAGGGCTCCACAGCCTTCAAGTGCCTGGTTTCAGCCCGCTTCTGTGCTGCGCTGCTCAGTAACATCTCTGACTGTGACGAAACCTACAATTACTGGGAGCCAGTGAGTTACATATTTTCCTGGTTCACAATTTTTTGTTAAGCTCTCAGGGTACAGTAAAAAAAATGGCCCGGGACCATTTTGGGCCAGTTGATGGTCCTGTTGGCCCGGCACTGCGTTCTCATTACGTCTTATGTGTTGTTATGCTTTGCACACTTTGCTTGCATTTTTTTTTTTGTGATTTATTCATTATTGTTGTTTCAATTCTGCTGATTTTTATGTCACCACATTAATATTATTTATCTGACTAACAAAGATTTAGTAAAAATTGCAACCTGTGATTGAATAGTAAAAATAAGTAAAAAATTATTATTATTAAAGATCATATATATATATATATATATATATATACACACACACACACACACACACACACACACACACACATATATGTGTTTTTGTGTGTGTATGTGTGTGTGTGTGTAAAACAAATAAATACAAATTTCTACAGCTTATAATCATCTTTGAATTCAACACAATAATGGAATAATGGTGCAATTTGTTTTATAATATTTAACCCATTTAACGTGTATATATTATAACATGTTTTAACATATATTATGTATTATATTGTGTGTGTGTGTGTGTGTGTGTGTGTGTGTGTGTGTGTGTGAGTGAGAAAATGATGACATAATGGTGCAAAATGTTTTTTGTTTATAATTTTTAACCTATTAGATACTATAACATACTTACATATTTATTTTTAAATATATTAAATTGTATTATTTTTTTAATGATGTAACGAGAACATTTTTACAGGGCAGGTAAAAAGCTAAAATACTGGTCTAACTGGGACGGCAGAAAGCGAATCCTTATTGTTGAGCCCTGATCTGTGTCACTGTTGTGTCCCGTGATGCCCTGGAGTATGTAATAATCCAACCCATTAGCGACTGTCTGGGTGTAGTTCAGATTCAAGAACCTTTTATTTGTCTTCACTAGAAGGTTGTCATGTCTATTCCTGATCACAGACTATAGAGTGGTCTAAAAACCTTATGAATGTGCCATTTTGCTGAATTCCATCCTCCTTCTGAGAGCTACTCACTTAAGTATATAAAAGAAAAGTACCAAACATTCTTTTTATCTTTCTCTGTTTGCTGGCCAGACTCACTACCTGCTATATGGAACAGGGATGCAGACATGGGAATATTCCCCGGCCTACGCAATTCGTTCCTATGCGTATCTTTGGCTCCATGCCCTTCCTGCCTGCTTTCATGCCAAAATATTACAAACCAACAAGGTAAACTAGTCACCAGCCCCAAACTAGGTACTAGATTACCATTCTGTACTTGTAAGCATTTGTAAAGGTGAAGGATATTTTTTTGACCAGTGAGATGGCTGGAATGTAAAAATCAGATATCAAATCTGAGGAAAATAACCCTGGGAAAGCTGTGGTTCTACTTATACAACTCATTTCTAACGATGAAAGAAAGTATATTTCTTATTTCTTTTTCTTTGGAGTGCAATTTTACAGTTGACTTAATCAACTCTGTCCAAGTCTTTTCAAGTAGTTTTCAGCTGTAATATAGAGTTTTACATTAAATTATATTTACAGTATGCATTTGGCAGACACATTTATTCATAGTAAATAGTATATATTGTACAGTTGTGGTACATTTTCTATACGCCTTGCAGAATCTGCTAAATGTTAATTATTTAAAAAATAAATAAAGTTCATGTTATTTTTTATTTAGTACTGTCCTGAATAAGATGTTTTAGATAAAAGATGCTATTTACATAAAAGATAAGCATATAGTCCACAAGATGAAATAATAGATTACATTTTTTTTTTTTTAATGACCACGTTCAAAAGGTAACATACGCTTAATTATTAATATTGTATGTCGGTGTCGCTACCTAGATGATCCACAAGTGTTTTTTGTTTTGTTTTTTTGGTGATGGTTGTTCATGAGTCCCTTGTTTGTCCTGAACAGTTAGACTGAGGGATGCAAACTTTTAATTTGAAGATCAGCGTAAATTGTACTTATTTTGTCTAAGTTCTAAGAAGCATGTAAGTATCTTCTGTAGCTTCTGAGGGGCAGTACTAAATGAACAAATATGATCTTTAAACAAAATAAGATCAGTTTATATATCTTCATCTTCATTAAAAAAACAGTTGTGGATCATCCAGTTAATGACTGTATTAAGAATCAAGCGTATGTAAACTTTTGAATGAGGTCATTTCTTTTTGTAAATTCAGCTATTATTATGTCTAGTGTTTTTTAGTTTTTTTTTTACAACTGTATATATTGGCCATTCATTATATGCCTTTGTAGACTTGTGAAGATGTAAACTAATTTGCTGATGTTCCTATTCAGGTCCTTGTGTTTTATTTCCTGCGCTGCATGTTAGCATTTACCTGTTGTGTGTGTGAGCTCTACTTCTACAAGTAAGTGCAGCATACTACATATGGCACCTCAGCATTGGGCTAAAATTGGTGAATTTTACAGTGTGTGACGAAATAAAAGTGGCTTAAAGATCTGATGTCATGGGTCTCACACAGGGCCGTGTGTAAGAAGTTTGGCCTGCATGTGGGACGGCTTCTGCTGGCGTTCCTCGTCCTGAGCGCAGGGATGTTCTGCTCCTCTGCAGGTGAGTCAAATTTGTGGCTTATCTGCTTGATCACATGGAATTTAGATGATAGTTGTAACTGCTTGTTACTATTTTTCTTTTTTTGACAAATTGTGTATACACTGCAGGTTAATGTGTGTGTTTGTGTATGTGTTATATGCAGCTTTCCTCCCCAGTACGTTTTGTATGTACAGTACTGTGGTAGCTATGACTGGCTGGTTCCAGGGACGCCCGAGTCTGGCTGTGCTGGGTATTGCAGCGGGGGCCATAGTGGGCTGGCCCTTCTGTGCCCTTCTGGGGTAAGAAATGGCCAACAATTTATATTTTTGTATATTGATAAGCAGGGTCAAAAACCTGCCAATGGCAAATAAAATATTTTCTACCATAAATATTTATTATCAGCCATGAAACTGTATTTTGCGTTACGTATATTAAAAGTTATATTTTGTCCTTATGAGAAGAATTATTTGGCTGGTTTAATTTAAGAATTATTTTCCTGGTTTTTGTTCTCCACATTTGAGTTTTTGCGGGCTTAAAGTGTCCATATTATGCTTTTTCAAATAGTACCCTTCATGCAGTGTGTAATATAGTGGTTTGTAAATGTAAAAGGTCTGCAAAGGACAGGAGGGGTTTAGATCTTTATCTTTGAGAAAGGAGGTGATGCTGCAATGTATTTTATGAAAAAATGAAAGTGTTTTTGTCCTTTGATGCATGTAAACTTATTTTAGGAGGCCTCCAAAACAAAATAAGGAACCTTTAAAATAATAGGATAATAGCATAATAGGATCTTTAACACATTTAATCCCATATTATTTCCAGCAATTTTCTAACAGATATGATAATATTTTACCATAATATTGTCAATATAAACTAATGTTTAAACCTTTGGGCCAGTAAGTTTAAAAAAAAGAAAGAAATTAATACTCAGCATTGACTTAATCAAACGTGACAGTAATGTTACAAAATTACTATTTTTGAAATAAAATTTGTTCTTTAAAAACTTTCTATACATCAAAGAATTTGGAAAAAATGTATTATGATTTCCACAATTGTTTTCAACATTGATATTGAACTTATACTTTGGTATGAAATAGGATATTATAATGATTTCTGACGGATCATGTGACACTGAAGACTGTGTTAATGGCTGCTGAAAATTCAGCTTTGCATGAAATAAATTACATTAAAAAAATATTCAAATAGAAAACAGCTATAAGTAATAATATTTAACAATATTACTGTATTTTTTTAACAAATAAATGCAGCCCTGGTGAGCAATAGAGAATTCTTTCAAAAACATTAAAACCCTAATCTTACCGACAACCTTCTGTGCAAATTTCTTTACTTTTTCACTTTATGTAACTTTCAAATCTGACCGTTGACAGAACATGTTCATCAGGTAAAAATCCCAGGTTCGACTGCGACCTGGGTCATGTCCTGATCCCACTTCTCTCTCACCATTACTTTCCAACCTACTTTCCCAACAATGCAAAGCAAAAAACAAGAGTAATCGTCAAACTGTTGTTTAATTCATGAATTATCCTGCAGTTCCCTAATAAATGAAAATGGCTAGTAACGGTTTCATTTACTCACTTTTGGCGAAAAGCCATAAAAATAATCCTGATCATCCAACTAGGTGAATTTAGGATCTGTTTACTGATTGATTTTGCAGCATACCCATTGCCTTTGACCTGCTGTTGCTGAAGAAGAAGTGGAAGAGTTTTATCACGTGGACTCTGGTGGCGTTGCTGCTCTTTCTGGTTGGGAAACTCCTAGATCTTTCTGTCTGTCTTAGGTTTCTGAATTGTTTTTGTGTCCTTTTGATCTGACTTCAGACACTTAGATTTCATCAATAGCAAAATGGCATTTTAAAATAAAAAAAATATCCAGAATCATTGTATTATACTGACATGTTAACACTGATAACACTTATCATTGTTATATTTTTCTGTAGGTCCCTGTTGTTGGAATAGACAGCTACTATTATGGCAAGCTAGTGATTGCTCCTCTGAACATAATACTATACAATGTGTTCACTCCTCATGGGCCAGATCTCTATGGTACGCTTCAAATTATTTGTATATACTTCTAGAAATTATTGACTTATCCTTAAAGGTGCTGTATGTAATTTTTTTTGGCTGTACTAAAGCATAAAAATACCATATGTTTGCTGAGATTTAAGAAACATGCTACGTTCAAATGCTTGTTTCGCCAAAAAAACAACAACAATGCTGAATCCTACAGCCAGTTATTCAACTTTGAAAAGTTTTTTTCAATGTCAGAATGTCTGTTTTTGCTTTGGTCTTTGTGAACCCTGACCACTGCCAACTTACCCAATAGTATTTCGACACCCCGGGTTGCCAGTTGGAGGACAACAGCATATTTCAGCCTTTGAAGCTAGCCAAAAAGTGGGTCAGAGATTCCAGATTTTACCTGACCTACAAAGCTTCAACAATAATAGCATTGCAAAAGTACTGTATACATTAGCTGATCAACGTACAGTGTAAGACTTGTCGCTTTCCATTGTCAATTGCGCTCCTGTTGTGTGCTCAATCTGGCAACCCGCGTAGGTGTTGAGTCTGAGGAGGAGGGGGCGCGGGAGATAACTTCAATATTTTACAATTTTAACTACAGTACCCATTTCAACCACTAGCTGCCAATATTACATACTGCACCTTTAAAAAGGACAAAAATTGTTTACAGTAAATAATAATTGTTCTTAGTGCCGTCAGATGGCATCAGTCATCAACAGTTAAACCTTATTGCAGTGTTTTTTTTTTTCTCTTACAGGCACAGAGCCCTGGCATTACTACTTTGTAAATGGTTTTCTTAATTTCAACATTGTGTTTTTGTTGGCCCTGTTTTCTCTTCCTCTCACGGCGCTTATGGAGGCACTGCTTCAAAGATTTAATGGTAAGAGAGAATAATGTGCCTTTGACTTAAGTTAAGTTAAAGTTGCCAACTAAAGCCCCAACAAAATAATTGTGACACGTGGGTGGCGTACTGGGCATACTGTTAATCTCATGTTTGTTATTGTATAATTTGCAGTTCAGAACCTCGGCCGGCCGTACTGGTTAACACTGTCTCCTATGTACCTATGGATGCTGGTGTTCTTTACTCGTCCACATAAAGAGGAGCGCTTTCTGTTTCCCATCTACCCTCTCATCTGTCTGTGTGGGGCGGTGGCACTATCCTCGCTGCAGGTTAGAATTGCTTCTGCTTGAAAAAGAAGCTGCGTAAGTCTTTTCTTCCCTATTGTGACGTATATCCCAGTGAAACGGCTTCTCGAACAAGAAAAATGTAGGGTGGGGCTGGATTTTGTCCATTGAAAATTGATTGGATCATTGTTGTTGGCTATTGCTGTGATCTCGTCCTCGTACCAGTAAACACATCATCAGAGATGTTGTTGCAAGAGTTATTTTGATAAATTATTCATAATAGATAATGCAGTATTCCAAATAAAATAAGAATTATACATTTTTATTTCATAGTGACTTTAATTATATGGAATGATTTGTATGATTAGTATACTGAACAAAAATGGTGAAAAGTGAAATATTATTACATTTTAAAATGATTGTTTACTATTTTAATATATTTTAAAATGTAATTTATTCCTGTGATGCAAAGCTGTATTTTCATCATCATTACTTCAGTCTTCAGTGTCGCATGATCCTTCAGAAATCAGTCTAATACGCAGATTTGGTGCTCAAGAATTATTATTTTTTTAATCATCAGTTGTGCTGCTTAATATCTTTGTGAAAACCGTTATAGTTTTTCAGGATACTTTGATTAATAAAAAGTTCAAAAGCATTTATTTGAAAAAGATTTTTTGTAACATTTATGAACTTTTTTTGTATTTTGTTTTTTCAATTTAATCAATGCATCCTTGCTGAATAACAAATATTAATTTATTAAAAACTGATTTCAAACTTTTGAACAGTAGTGTGCATGAAACTTCAAGATTCTTTTAAAGAATATCTTTGTATTTGCATTAGCACATGTCCAAAAACTAGAGAGAACTGCACATCTTTATTAGCATATTTGCCCAGTGTTGTGTAAATTAGTTTGCTGGTAAACCTTCATGGAATTTGAATGCAATACTTTAATTTATTCTCCCTTTTAAACAGTTTTCTGTCTGTTTTATCCATATAGAAGTGCTATCACTTCATATTCCAGCGCTATCGACTGGAGCACTACACCATCTCCTCCAACTGGCTGGCTCTCGGCTCTGTGCTGCTGTTTGGAGTGCTCTCACTGTCCCGATCTGTGGCCCTCTTCAGAGGTAAGGACAAATCATATAAGGGCTCAACAATAAGCATGTAGAGGGAGCTTTTGGGCCAATTCTAATGAAATATGCCCCCAAAGGTAGGGTTATATAGCTGGCTGATGAGGTTAATAAACAAAATGATTAAAAAAAATGTACCTAATCTTTACCTTGTGCAGTACAATACTCCCTTTGTGATGTCTCTCTCACTTGGGGTTGTTGTGCGTGTTAAGGTTATCATGCTCCGCTGGATTTGTATCCAGAGTTTCATCGCATTGCTAAAGACCCTGCAATCCACACTGTTCCAGAGGGAAGACTAGTCAATGTTTGTGTGGGGAAAGAGTGGTACCGCTTCCCCAGCAGTTTTCTCCTGCCCAACAAGTGAGTTTGAGTTCTGATTAAACTCTTAAAGACTGTACATAAATATACACTACTGTTTAAAAGTTTGGAGTCATTAAGATTTAAATGAATACTTTTGTACAGCAAAGACACATTAAATTGGTCACAAGTGACTGTAAAGCCATATAATGTTACAAAATATTTCTATTTCAAATAAATGCTTTTCTCTTTAACTTTTTATTCATCAAAGAATCCTGAAAAAAATGTATGGGGACAATATTATAATATTAAGGCATATATTAAGCAGCACAACATTGGTAATAAATAAGCATATTAGAATGAACTCTAAAGGATCATGTGACACTGAAGACTGGAGTAATGATGCTGAAAATTCAGCTTTGCCATTACGGGAATAAATTACATTTTAAAGTATATTGATATATATATATAACAGGTATCTTAATTTCTAATTATATTTCACAATATTACTTTTTACCTGTATTTTTAATCAAATAAATGCAGCCTTCGTGAGCATAAGAAACTTCTTTCAAAAACATTCAAAAATCTTACGAACCCCAAACTTTTGAACGGTAGTATATCTGTGTGATATATACTAACTATATCTTATTCATTTCCAGTTGGCACTTAGAGTTCATCCAGTCAGAGTTCAGGGGTCAACTACCTAAGCCATATGCCATGGGTCCTGATGCCACCTGGATACTTCCATCAGACATGAATGATCAGAATCTTGAGGAGACATCTCGATATGTGAGTGACCTAACACTTACACTTGGGACTTCAATTTTGCTTTTGTAATTGGTTTTTTTATTTAAAGGAGTTCAATAATTAAAGGATTAAAAGGAATTTAAGGAAAAAAAGAAATAAGATTGGTCAAATGTTCTAGGTCTAATAATTGTAGTTGTGAAGTAATCAATTACAACTATTTGCAAATAATGTTTTATTTTTTATTTCTGTCTAATATGTCAAACGAAAAATGTTTCTTGTCATCTCAAATTCAGTTGAATCCTATAAATTATAACATATTTTCAATTTAAAATGGTTAAAAAAACATGTAACGCAAACGTTTGTTAAAAAACATTAGTAGTTTGCATTACTGGATATTGCTTTCAGTCATTTAACATTTCTATAATGAAACAGTTATCAAATATTTAGCTACTTGCATCTTACCATGCACTCTCCGCTGTTAAAACTGAAGTGCCATGTTGGAATTGGCACTCATCTTCTGTGATCAGTACGGACCGCCTTCTTTGATTTGATTGGTCAACTCAATCATTTTGACATTGAGGTGCGCTGTTAGACCACTGAGGCAGACAAGCCTAAAAATGTAACTTAAAACACTTTTTGTCCCCCTCATTGTCTATGGTGGTTACACAGCCCTACTCTATACTGAGTTTGAATGACATTTTACTTCGGAAAATCAATTATTCCGCTCTTTACACCCCTTTTTATATATTGTTTTTAAAATCATGCACAAGTTAAAGTCAGTGTCACTTATCTACAACCTTTAAATGTCTCTGCATATGTCAGTGTTGTAGCTGAATGTGAAGTACATATGTCATTTTCCATGTTCTCTGGCTCTCAGGTAGAACTGAAGCAGTGTCATTACCTGGTGGATCTGGCAACAGAAACAGAGGCCCCTCTTGAACCACGATACGCCACTAACAAAGACGAGTGGAGCATTGTTGCCGACAAGCCTTTTCTAGACACTACCAGGCAAGTCTTTAGTGGTGGAGTATATGGGCATTTTTCAGAACGAGTGGAAATTTGTTAACATACAAGAGACACCTGTGGGTAATTCATTCAGAGTAAATTAATTCTGCTGTAAAGAGTCATTGAAAATTGTAGGGTGTGTGCTTATCCACTAGAGGGCCTGCTTGTCCTTTTAAAGATACTTATGACATCATTCTCAAGCACTCATAATGAATCGTTGTGACACAGGGTGTCTAATCATCCTAAAAGAGATTATCCTTGACCCAATTTATCAGTAATGAGCTCTGCGTGTCTTTATTGCCCAGTTCATGATGGCGAAATAAATGTAGAAATGGTTTCTTTTTAAAGAGAGTGGATTGTAGTATTCTGGCTTTTGTGAACTATTTTGTGTATATTTCATCCTGTTCATGATCCTGTTGCTGTTCCCTTTTCGTGTGTCTCCCACACAGGTCCTCCAGACTCCTCAGGGCCTTTTTTATCCCGTTTCTGTCTGAGCAATACACCACCTACAGCAGATATGTCATCCTCAAACCGAAACGATTCAAAAACACCCGGAAAAGAACGCCAGCCTGACCTGCCTTTCCTGCTATTTTTTCATAATCGCACCCCTCCATAAGTCCTGTCTCTTGCAGTGCTTCATCATTTGGTCCCAAGATGCTCCTCCACAACTCTTTCTGGCACACGTGGGATTGTTTTTGTGCGTGAGTGCGAATGAATGAATGGAATGAATGTATACATGTATGTCAGAGTTTGTTTGAGCAACTTTGTTATCAAGTCATGCAGTGTCAGCCTGCATGTAGACATCAGCATTGCTGCCCATCCTGTGGACTGTTTCAGCACAGAGCATGAATGCCTTACCCATCTTCCCCGATCATCTCCGCTCCATTCCATGCCTTCTGTTCATTCATTCCGGCGTGTGCTTCTCTGCATCTCTCTGAAGCGTTTCAGAAGATTTCTGCTTAGATGACCCTTTAAGGACTACAGTCCGTCATCTGTAATGACCTCATCTGTCATCCTTGATCTGGGACAATGAACTGTACTCCGTGAATGCAGACCCAAACCAGATCTCATGTGTCCAGAGATATGAACTGCTGTTCATTTGTCCTGTTTGAGCAACTGGCCCAGGCCAGCCTCAGCATCTCAGGATGAAAGTTGCACCAAGAACTGAAGTTTTTCTTCAGTTCCATCGTCTGGAAAAGTGGACATTGACTGTGAGGTCAGACCGCAGACCAGAACAATTGAGTGTTTACATTCCAAATAATGTTTGTCATCTGAATCATATCAGTGTTAACTGTGATTGAGTCAAATAAAAGAAGGCTGTCTTAATGTGTGACTGTTTCAGAGAGGTCATTTCTGGAATGGATGCGCTAATATCGGTTGTCTTTGTGAACTTCAGGGTTTTCCCGGTTATTAAAAACCTGGAATTGTTATTTCCTAGCCTGAAAAGGTCATTAAATTATGTAAAATCGTAAAAAATAATATAGTTCTTCTCTGTGTCAAACAAGTAAACAAATAAAAAAATATATAGATTTTCTTCTAAATTTCACGTATTTGTGTTTAATAATAAAAAAAATTGATATGTAAATATAAGTTGCTTTTTTCCTGGTTCTGCTCTTCTCCAAAAAAAAAAAATGAATTGTATTATTTATTAAAAAATTTTTTCCAAAAACTTACTACATATTTAAAATTAAATTCAAATATAAGTTTTTTACTAATTAAAATGAAAAACAATAATTTTATGTATAAAAATCTAAACATTATCACATATTTCGATCTAATATTAAATATATTAAAGTATTTTTTTCCCTAGTTGTGCTTTGCTGTAATTTTTTTTTAATATTTTACTTATAAAAATATAAAAAAAATTTCTTAAAATAACCAAATAGTTCAATAATATTAAATATGTAAATATAAGTTGTTCATATTTAAACCATTTTAGTAAAAATATAATAAATCTAAAAGTTTAAGCAAACTAAATAAATTAAAAGTCCCCTGATGTACAATTAGAAATTCACTCCAGCAGTCTCTATCAAATTATTAAAATAAAAACTTCAGAAAGTGTAAAATTCAAGGTCAGATTTTCTCTTTGTACTGTAAATGAAAATTCTGTCATCATTTACTCACCCTCAAGTTGTTTCAAACCCGTATGAATTTCTTTCTTCCACTGAACACAAAATATATTTTGAAGAATATGGGTATAACCAAACAGTTAATGGACCCCATTGACTTCCATAGTATTTCTTTTCCAAACTATGGAAGTCATTAGGGCCCATTAACTCTGGTTACCCATATTCTTCAAAATATCTTTTGTGTTCAGCAGAAGAAAGAAATTCATACGGGTTTGGAACAACTTGAGGGTGAGTAAAATGACAGAATTTTCCTTTTTGAGTTAACTTTCCCTTTAACTAAGAACTTTTTAGTGCCAAGTAACATTTTAAAATTGTATAAGCTTTATTTAGAAACCACGAGTAAGAGAGTTTGCTCGTATTTGTATGATGTTTTTGAGTTAAGTGCTGCAGCTCTGGGTTGCATAGAGACTCACTGAAATCCGCGCATCATTTCCCGTATTGGTTCTGTAGAGAACATAGGTACGCTGTGGTGAATCGATTGTGGTGGGTGTGTGTGTAAACATGCCGAGGGCAATGAATGTGTGGCTCTTGGGATTATTAAACTGTCTACAGTGACGACATGTTAAGCCCCACAACACTACAGGGAACTCTGATCCTTTTTAAATCCTTGCGTTGACGCTATATAGGCTACTATGACTCAGAAACCCCTTTGAAACTTAGATGAGACATAGTTTTCCAGGCACTGTTAGTTCAAATGTAATTTACAGTTAAGTGGAGCAATGATCCAGAACTTTAAGTGTATGTGTTTTAAGGAGGCTGTATTTTTCTATTTATGTTAATGCCATTATACTGATGCCTGGAGTAAAAAGTTTTGGGGTGTAAAAAAAATCTAGTTTAACAATACTCAAGGCTTCCTATACAGTCTAAGAAAATCTGTAAAATGTTTTTTTTTTTTTTTAAACGGATACATTTTTAAATTTTGTTGTCCAGGCCTGGAAAAGTCGGAATAATACTTCTTTAAAAGGGTCCTATTATGCTTTTTCACTTTTTCAGCTTTAGTTAGTGTTAGTAGAGGTCCTGGGTAAGATTTGTATGCACTTCATTTAGCGGAGAATATCTCAACTGTTATAGACTAATATGACCCCATTGAACAACATGGGATGTGTGCCAAAATCTCTACCCGGGACGAAAGTCCTGAAAATGACCACAACAGGGGACGCTATTATCACACTATATGTGAATAGGACTTTTTCTTCCCTTTATAGATATTCTCATACATTTCTACCAGATTTTTCTTCATATTAAGAGAAATACTTTTTGTATTAAACTTTGTCTAAAATATGCAAATGAGGCAATATCTCATTAAATGTGCATACATATAAACCCTTGAAGCTACATATTTTCTTAGGTGATCACAATGTTCACAATGACCATGATTATAAACTCATTGAAGAGTGTAAGCATTCTGATTTGATATAAAGAAAATGGCTAAAAAACAGTCAATCTATTACAAACAACTACCAACATACAGGAATTGCCAGTTATTTATTAACCTAAATTTTAAAACTTACATTTCCTACCTATTCCAAATATTCCTGTCATCACTTTTTTTTTGACAAAAGTTTACTTGGTAGCCATAGTGACCTGAGGTCATAGCAGAGCACATGGCAGTCAAGCAAGATGACTTGAGATCAAGGAAAATAAGGAAATCTACTCTTTATTCTTTGCGTTGGCGTGTACACTTATTACATGTCATTATCATATGAGTTGTAATTTTGTGTATTTAAATACTCTCACTGGAGAAATTGTGACCAACGTAAATGTAGACAAGTTGTTGTGCTGTATCACAGAAAGCAGTACTGCTTGTGCTAAATTTATCGATGATCGACTCAGAAATAAGTCGATATCGATATACTCAAAAATTAGTAAAGTCAAGTTTACTTTGCCAAAGACCACCTTGAATTTGGCTTCCAAAGCAGACATCAAAGATGAGACAATCAAAGCTCTCATGTTTATTGAGTATGAGTGTCACCGGGGGTTCACAGTTGAGGAGCTACTCCAGCATGAGATCACCAACTCTGCATTCTTCTTGGTTGACAAAGATGGTTACTTGAGGAAGAGTGCCAAATCACAACTTGGGACTGAGCTGCAGAAGTTGTGTCCACAAATAGATAAAAAAGGTCCAGATACCCCCCCCCCGCAAACACACGCCATCATTATCGACTTCATGGCATTGGTGAGAAAGGTCTCCTTAAAGAAACTTGATCCACCCGTCAAGACATTCCATGACTTTGCTATTGCTTTGACATTTATGGTCTACAAAGCTGGAAGAAACTGTGATGAGATCCATATCGTTTTCGACACTTACAGAGAGGACAGCATCAAACATGGAGAGAGGGAGAGGAGAGGAAAATAAAAAAACATGGTTGTCCTTGATGTGATATCACCAAACCAAAATGTTCCAGTGGTATTAGAGAACTTTTGGTCATCTTCCATTAGCAAAACTGCTTTTCAGGCATTCTATGTTGAGTGGCTGACCGACAATTACAAAGGCACCAAACCACTATATCTTGGTATATCACCACAGGCATGGATTGTGTGTCAGCTGCGAGTGCTACTCCATTCCTTCAGCTCAACTGCACACACGAGGAAGCTGATGCCAGCTGCCATATCACCCTGTAGCCCAAGACTGGTTGCCCACTGAAGCTAAGCAGGGCTGAGCCTGGTTAGTACCTGGATGGGAGACCTTCTGAGAAAACCAGGTTGCTGCTGGAAGAGGTGTTAGAGAGGCCAGCAGGGGGCGCTCACCCTGTGGTCTGTGTGGGTCCTAACGCCCCAGTATAGTGACGGGGACACTGTACTATCAAAGAGCACCGTCCTTCGGATGAGACGTTAAACCGAGGTCCTGACTCTCTGTGGTCATTAAAAATCCCAGAATGTCTTTCGAAAGAGTAGGGGTGTAACCCCGGCATCCTGGACAAATTCGCCCAGTGGCCTCTGTCCATCATGGCCTCCTAATCATCCCCATATATATGGCTTCATCACTCTGTCTCCTCTCCACCAGTAAGCTGGTGTGTAGTGGGCGTTCTGGCACACTATGGCTGCCGTTGCATCATCCAAGTGGATGCTGCACATTGGTGGTGGTTCAGGAGATTCCCCCTTCCATGTTAAGCGCTTTGAGTGCCTAGAAAAGCGCTATATAAATGTAATGAATTATTATTATTATGACAGGATGATGTTCCATGTGCAGGACATTTTAAGTCACCGTACAGGATCTACATCACTGACACTGTCATCAGGTGACACAGATGTCTTTGTGTGCCTATTATACCACATAACAGTCAATTGGAGAAATCTTGGCCTCCAAGAGCTCTGGCTCATCCGCAACTCAGGAGTGAAAAGATCAATATTACCACTTCATGATATCTGCTTTGCGCTGGGAGACGAGCTCACAGTGTCTCCCAGCACTACATGCGCTGACTGGGTGCGATACAACCAGCAAAATATCAACCAAACTTGCAGCTCTGAACACTGTCCGCAAACCAGACAACTCTTCTCTGATTCTCAATTTCAACTGTCCACAGCCAACAGAGAGTGCAATACAAATGGCGGAAACATTCTTGGTCAAATGTCTCAAACCATCAAAGGACATGGAGACATTTGACGACCTGCGCATTGCTGCGTTCGATAGTAATGCCCTTAAGATGGACTTTGAGAGGAGTGCTTGCACCACAACTAATGCAAGAAAACATATACAAAGAGCCTATTATCAACAGCAGCTTTAGGTCCAAGCACCATTTACAGACGCCATCTCGATCTTAAATGGAGATGCTTATGGTTTTGTAAGAAAGGGCAGTTTATTAGTCCCTGAGATTGTAATCTCAAAACCTGAAGGTTTGCCAGATCCCTGCTTGTGTGGCAAGTGTGCACACAAGGATGGGTGTCCCTGTCGGGTAGCTGGTATCCGTTGTTGCAAGTACTGCAAATGCAAGGGAGGCAATAGTTGTAAAAATTCTATCACTGAATGAGCTCTCATCATCATCCCGTACCTGGACTCTGTTGTGAAAGTTTTACATTGCAAAACAGGGAATAAACCTGTTGTTTTGTATTTTTCACTTTAAGTTAACGTTCCAATGATAATAGCAAGGTTGGATATAACATTTCTGTATATTAATCAAAGGCTTGTTTTCTTTCTTTTAAAAAAGTCCAATGTTTGTATACAATTGTATTTATAATTTTCCATTCAATACAGCACAAAACAAGATATCCCCCCACCCCACGACATCCACACTGAACATCAACAGAAACACAATTAAAAAATATCAAACCAGAATTCTTACACTTACACTACATGGTCATTGTAAAGATTGTGATCCCCTCAGAAAATCTGTAGCTTCAAGAGTTTAGGCTATATGTACACATATTTATAGATATTGCCTAATTTGCATATTTTATTTTATTTTTAAGACAAAGTGTATTACAAAAAGTATTTCTCTTAATATGAAGATTAATCTGATAGAAATGTATGAGAATATCTATAAAGGGAAGAAAAAGTCCTATTCACCTGTAGTGTGATAATAGCGTCCCCTGTTGTGGTCATTTTCAGGACTTTCGTCCCGGGTAGAGATTTTGGCACACATCCCACGTTGTTCAATGGGGTCATATTAGTCTATAACAGTTGAGATATTCTCCGCTATGAAGTGCATACAAATCTTACCCAGGACCTAGACTATGTGTAATGTTGCTGTTTGAGCTTAAAAAAAAAGATCTGCAAGGTTACAAAGCTCAAAGTTCACTCCAAAGGGAGATATTTTATTTAACAGAATTTACTTTTCAAGAACTACAATGAACGACTCGTTTGGACTACAGCGCGGTTTTTCCGGATCTTATGAAGTCACAATGTTACTCATTTAAATAATCCCCGCCTACGGAATAAAAAAAAAGGGAGGGATGGTTGAGCTGCTGCTAATTTTTGTGTTCACGAAATTTAAAAAATAGACCTTCCCCGACTTCCTAGGTTGTCTACTGATTTTTAGGTGAAGGGTTTGGGACGGTTTTGCCGGGAAAATCCAAAGGATGTGATGGTTACACGTGGACCTGAGCCTCTGTTAAGAATACAATATTTACATTCAGGATAATGCCGAAAGAGCTGTTCTGTTCTGTAAAGCCCCTTTCACACAGCGCGCTGATCCCGGGAAATAGCCGAGAAATTGCCAGAACGTCTTCTGTGTGAACGCAAACACGACCCGGGATTGATGGCGGGTTGGGTAACTAGTAACATTGCCGTGTTCAGTCCCGGAACGCGCGCTGTGTGAACAAAAGCCGTAATCAATGCCGTGTCGTAATGATGACGCTGAAGCCGGGATCGTTCGCCAGCGTTTATGATCGAATCAGAGAAAAAAATGCACTTAGCGTGGAGAAATCGCAGCTAACCGGGATTTTTACACAACCCGTAAAAATCCCGGTTAGAAATCAATGTCACATGTCTAACCGGGATTTTTACGGGTTGTGTGAACGCACTCTCTGATTCCGGAAAATCACTGGCAGTGTGAATGAAACAAAATCAAACAAACCCAGGTCAAATCCCGGGTCACTTTATCCGTGTATTTTCCGGAATCTCTGTGTGAAAGGGGCTTAGGTGTAATGTCAATGTGTCATGCAAAGAAAAGGGTTTAATTCAAACTGTACTCTCACACAGCCAGATGTAGCCTAGTCTATAGTCTAAACTTTAAAATCAAACTATCATAACAGTGTAATTTTAATGAGCCTACGTCATCTGTCGACATGATGCTGGTAAATCGCAGAGCAGGTGCAAATATTCACATCGCTATGATCAAATGCTTTCTTAACTGCCGCTTTCTCACCTCTGTCATTTTTTGTAATGAGAGGAAAAGCACGCAGCATATTACAGATTCATCTAAACGTCGCTCTCAGAAGCAGCGCCGAGATGTTCACTGCGAAGATATTTTCAACTTTTTATTTCTAAGCGAAGAATGAAAAAAAAAATAACTTTGCCATGAGCCCTTGAATCTCCTTCAGTCTCTTGTACGTTTGCATGAGCAATACGTTTCTGGCTGCAGTTCACTTAACAGCCACCGGTGTCGCTATAACGAGTTTCTGTAATTCTACAAACAGCTGCTTTCATTTTTACATTTCATATAGATTGATAATATTATAAAAGTCAGATATTAAATTCATATATATTTTAATTTCATTCATTTGATATTTTTGGTAATTAATGGTAATTAGCGTAGAATGTTTGTTTAAAATGCCATCCATTTATGGCTTATTTGATCTATATTAGTCTGGGCACTGGCATAAGCACATCTGTCCCACTCATTATGTGTCAAGTCCACATTTAGGTCAGTGATCCACCGTCTGCAAGGCCTCAGATTTGATGAAAGCAGGTAAGTGTATTGTCCTCCAGACCATTTGCTTCTCCATCCTGGCAGGATCAGCCACCTGCCGCTGTCCGTCGGCAGACGAAACGGCAAAACCAGGAATTACTCGGCCTTTTAAAACCCGTAAGCTGTTTTTATGCTCTGTGGCTCTGCCCTTGCTCATAAAAATGCTATTTTGAGGAGCATAAGATCGTTGCTTGAAAATGCTTCATGCATCCAGGGCTCCAAATTGATGTCATGTCATGGTGATGGTGATCCGAGTTCCCTTTCCAAACCTGCACAACAACAAAAGAAACTACAAGCTTGATCTCAAGTCACCTTAATAGGGTGAGCTGGATCAATGCTTATGAAGATGAACAGCATCCTTTTTCTAAACACAAACTAACAAAAGCAGGCCCAGTATGAATAATGGATGCCAGTGTGTTTTAATTGAACACAAATTAGCACCTGAATGCAGAGCAGATGGTACAGACACAGCGCATATTAAATAACCATTTTCTCAGTTCTCATGACCCTATTACTTCTGCAACGGGTTTGATTCTCATTTTATCTTGTCTTATTGTTTATTTGGCGATCAAGTTTTTAAATGATGCATGTAAGGATTGTCATGCACATTTGATGTGATATGATGTTTTGTTGTTTGTGGTGTAACTAATAGGTTGGTAACACAAGTACTAATATGTATGGAATACAAGCAAACTATATTTAGCAACAATAAACATTCCAAACAAACGGCTCTCACAATATTGCTCTTGGAAATTTGATTCATTTTCATCCAAGTTTCTGTACAACTGTGTAAATTAGTCTGATTATGAGAAACATTGTATAGTATTGGCAAATAGTTTTTGTCAAGAAAGGTCACTTCACAAAACTTGACCTTTCTTTTCTAGACCTTTCTTGTTATTATTTTTAAAATACAAATAAAACGTTAACAACATTAACTGAAATAAAACAAAATGTAAAAACTTATTTTATTTTATAGTAGCCAATGAAACATTTCTCATTTTCAAAGTGGAAGTGCTTAATTAACTAAAAACTCAAACTTAATTTAGACATATTAAACACACACAGCAAAATTACTAAAACTTTACCTTTTAGTACCAATTTCATTAACTTGAAATGAAAAATAAATAAAAAATTTTTTTTAATTAAAATAAAATCTAAATCCAAATATTGACAAAACTATAAGAGTATGCTGTTATAGTGTTTTTCAATATTTGGATTTAGATTATATTTTCTTTAAAAAAAAAAAGAAATTTAAAAGAAAATAAAATCTAAATCCAAATATTGACAAATACTGTTTTTGTCAATATTTGGATTTAGATTTTATTTTATTTTGAATTTATTTCTTTTCTTTTCTTTTATTTGATATATTTTTTTGTTTTCATTTCAAGTTAATGAAATTGGTACTAAAAGGTAAAGTTTTAGTAATTTTGCTGTGTGTGTTTAATATGTCTAAATTAAGTTTGAGTTTATAGTTAATTAAGCACTTCCACTTTGAAAATGAGAAATGTTTCATTGGCTACTAGATAAAATAAAAGTTTTTACATTTTGTTTTATTTCAGTTAATGTTGTTTTAATGGTTTTATTTGTGTTTAAAAATAATAACAAGAAAGGTCTAGAAAAAAAAGGTCAAGTTTTGTGAAATGTATTGTGGGATACAGTATTCCTTACAGTGGGCTGCACTGGTATGTGACAAAAAAAGTATGTCCAAATTCACAGTACTCATAAAAGAGTAGGCGAAAATACCTGGATGACTTTTATGTGCATAAAAATGTGGATACTGAGTAGCCTACATTGCTCATAATATTGTGGCAGAATAGTAAAAGTATAGTAGTATGCTATTCCATTAAATGAAACAAATGAAATGAGTAATGCTTCTTCAACATGATTTTCAACAATATTTGTGTAAATAAAATGGTCAAAACACAAGTCATGTAAATATAAAGGAAGTTAAAAGGTCCTTATACTCCTGGTACAGAAGTTCCACATGGGCTTTAGTCATTAGTGATAGAATTTGTCCACAAATGTAGATGCTTTTGATATAGCGAGATATTTTATGTAGCCTAAATAGGCTATAGCTACTTATTAAAAAAAAAAAAAAAACATTTCAGCAGATGGTGCATCAATCATTATTAATCACTTCTGGAATATAAGAACTCTTGTATTATTCATCTTTCAGCAAATCATCTATCTTGGCAATAGTAAAAGCATATTTCGCAAAACAAATCTTCACGGAGATCGGAACATAAAATATGGGACCTATTTCATAACGAATATCCTCACAATTATAGACAACAATTTATATAGCTATTCTTATTCTTCATATATTCTGCATCTCTTTTTCTAACCCCAGTGGATTTTTTTTAGTCACTGAACCTAGTTTTATTTTTTTCTAATTCTAATAGAATAGCCTTACACTTCATTTAATAGCGTACAATAAAACTGAAAAGCAAGTTTTGTCTCAAAATATAGGTTATTGGATGAATAAATATGCAATATTATACAAAATATATTAAATGTAAATATTAACAGTTGTATGTATGCAACACTGGGGTGAGGTGGCTGTAATGCACACTAAAAAGTTGTTTACCAACCGCCATTAAAAATCAGAAGAATAAGAAGAACACTGGGGTGCGCGCATTTCAAGCTCGAGCTCGAGAGAAACCTTGTGAGAAACCCCGTAGCAGGCCAGGAACCATAGACAGGAACTAGCTAAACAACGTTTAGCATCCAAGATGGCGGGAGCAGACAGCGACGACTCTCTTTACCCTATTGCTGTGTTAATTGACGAATTAAGAAATGAAGATGTTCAGGTAAACAAAATACGTAGATTTACACTACTTTTAGAAATATGCTCGAACGCGTACGTCTGACTTAACACGAATAGCTAAGCAACCGGTAAGATGGGCCTGTCCTAGTTTAGCCTACTGGCTAGTAACGGGAAGATAATTCAGGAATTAAGACGCTACAATATTATATATCAAATTGACTGACAGCTAAAGCCACCAGTATGTCGTAGCACAACCAAATGTATTATGTCATCTGTGTAAAATGACCCAGTTTCGTTTGTAAATAAAGTGTGACGCAGAAAAGTTTGTGTGATTGCTAACACGGCTAGCTGTTCTGTGATTTACCTGTTATGTCATTGACTAGCTTAATAGAGAATCCCATCATTTTAGTACAGGACATTTTAAAGCACGGTAAAGGGTTTAGAGAATAGTACGTCTGACACGACTGTTGAATTGGTTGGCATTTGAACACATTCACAGTTTGTCATTTTCAAGAGACGATAATTCAGTAATAAAGACACTAACGTTACTTGATGATATATCAAACTTATTATTTAACGGTTTAGTAATAATTAAATGTGGAATATGTATTGCACATTTTGTGCATAATGTTAAAATACATTATAGTACTGATTTTCAGTTAACGTCAACATATCCTCGTATTTCCTCGTATTATAAAGATACAGGACCAAAATCAAGTAAGGAATGAAAAAGTTTAGTGTTTTTGGTCTCAATGCCATTATTCCTTAGTCTGTCATCTATCAAGCCATCATTTTAGAGAAGCATAGACCAGTAGTTTGTTTGGTCCCTCAGCTGGTCAGCTGTTTCACCATCAAATATATTTAGATTATCATCTTACAGGTTTCTGGTCTTTTTTTTCTTCTACTTATAGTTACGATTGAACAGTATTAAGAAACTGTCCACCATCGCCTTAGCTTTGGGGGTCGAAAGGACACGCACTGAACTTCTACCTTTCCTCACAGGTAATGTTTTTTGATGACTGCTGTTTTATTTCCTTGTCGAACATTACTATAACATTTTTATTTTAGGTGTTGTAAACTATGTCACTCACGAATGCTTCTTGTACATAACTTTCAATTTCTCATTTTGTGATTGATCAGATACCATCTATGATGAAGATGAAGTTCTGCTTGCCCTTGCTGAACAACTTGGGAACTTCACCCTGCTGGTTGGAGGCCCTGAATATGTGCACTGTCTCCTTGTAAGCTTTGACTTAGGAAATTGACTCGATACAAAAAATTAAATGTGACAAACTGAATTTAAATTTGTTTGCTTGTGACTTTTCTTACTTGCGTCTTGGGTTTTTTTCAGCCCCCTTTGGAGAGTCTGGCTACAGTTGAAGAGACCGTGGTGCGAGACAAGGCAGTGGAGTCCCTGCGGAAGATCTCCCATGAGCACTCTCCAGTGGACCTGGAAGTGCACTTTGAGCCTCTGGTAAAGCGTTTGGCCAGTGGTGACTGGTTCACGTCACGTACCTCTGCCTGTGGTCTCTTCAGTGTCTGCTACCCACGAGTTTCCAGTACAGTCAAAGCTGAGATCCGCCAGTAAGTTCAACATATTTGTGAGGAGTGTTTTACTGTAATCCTACTTTTTTTCAGTTTGGAAACATTGATCAAGTTAATTCAGGATTGTTCACACAAAGAGCATACTGAACAAAAAAACTCAAGAAAGAAACCATTTGACAATAAACATATTAGATTATACTTATGCCAGGTCCACACTGCGCGGTTCGGTGGGATTTTCACTTGCCAACTGTTTTGTGGAAATTGCAGACAAATGTTCGAAATCTGAGACGATTTGGTGTTTGTTTACGCGAGTGACAGTCACGTTGTGTGGGGCTTAGGGTTATCAAAGACATCATCAAGCATGGCTTCTGCAAGCCACCATTCTCTCCTTCATATTCTTCTTTATTTATTTTTCGCTGCAATTCAGTGCACTGATAACTTGTATCGCAAGCTTCTTCCGGGTGACCACTTTTAACAGGAATAAATCTAATCTCTAGCGGAATCTTACTTTTTTTCTTGTATTAGGGCTGTGCAATTAATTAATTTCGATTTTGGCTTCCAACGATCACCAAAATAGTGCAATCGAGTAAAAACGATTGTTTTGTAAAAACGACTGTTTTGCAAGAACTCTTATTTTGTCTTGTGTTCTGAATGACACTCGCACATCCGCCCATCCCGAAGCCATAAACTCTCCCAGCCTACAGTCATAAATTGCAAGCACAATAAACTTCACAATAACAATTGGCTTATTTAATATAGACTGGAGTGAGACCATAGACTTCTCACTGTAGTGCCTCAGTTCAAGCAAACGAGTGCACATGACCTGATCATCTGTTTTTTTTTTAAGTTTCAAGTGAAAGAGTTTTACTTGCCCGACCGATCAAAACAAGAGAATGATTCTGATCTTATACAGTCAGTGTAAACATCGATTGGTAATGGATAGTGTATTTCTGGTCGCTGCGCTGCCTGTCTATTTGTGAGAGAGACATTAGTGGAGAAATCAAAACAAATGAGAGTAACAACACGCACAAACTCACAGAAGAAACATACTGAGGTAAAAATGTTGAGTTTTTTTATTTATACTATGATATCAGTGTTTCCCCTAGGATTATTTTTCGGGGGGGGATTGGGGGAACTGCTAGTGTTGCGGAGCGGGCGTGTTACGAATACGTGGTGTAAATTTTTTAGCAATCAAAAAGCATGTCTAATTAATTGAAATAGTGTATTATGAATCATTAAACGTATACAACATTTTAAAAAAATATTAAAAAAAATGTCACACTAATTCTGTTTTTTTTTCTTTCTGGTAATAGAATGAAGACATAAAACACAAATTTTATCATTTATCATCAATTTTAATCATATGAAATTAAATAAACTTTTTGTCAAATAACGTGCTGCACAATGAGCTTTACTGTTAAAATTAAAACATGGATTATTCCTTAAATTCAGTTTTGATGATAATTTATTTGGATTAGTGTTAGTATTATTACATTGGGACATATCTAAATTCTACTGTACAACAGTAATATATTTCTGTCAAGTTAAACCAAACTTTTATTTTGACGGGTTGCCGTGAAGACCTTTTGAGTTTGTTTGTTTATGTCATAATGATAGTTTTTCTCAAATGAAGTGGTTAAATGATCACGAAGTGACTTTCGGAGTGGATCTAGAGCCTGGAGAGGAAGTTTATGCATTTGTGTCTTCATATAGGCAAAAAAAACAGCGCAAGCGTCACACGTGCTTCAGTGTGTGTGTGTGTGTGTGTGTGGTAAATGAAACTGCGCGTCGGCTGCACCATTCATTCACACAGAACATGCAGGATTTGTATTTAAATTGTCTTTGTGGTTTAATATCCACACACTTGTCTACATCGCGATTTGATTTCAAGTGAACTGCTTTCTATTTATTCCTCAAAAGATTGTCAAATTCCATGAAATTCCGCGTTATACAGTAAATTTATTTTTTATGACTGGATTTCGTCAGCAATTTAGGGGGGGCGGGGGGTCGTTTTGGGGGGGCGGGCCGCCCCCCCAAAACAATGGTAGGGGAAACACTGGATATAGTTAAGTAACATAACACAACTAATGACTGTTCTATAATATCACGATTGCAAATGTTACATTGAATTTATAGTTTAATAAACAAGTAGCCTAGTTAAAATGTAGTCACTTACAATTTAGACGCAATATTGACTGGTTTTGTATGGAAGCTTGTTTCCGCCACAGAATGAAAAATAAAAAAGGTAATTGCGACTTTTTATCTCACAATTCTGACTTTATTTCTCAGAATTGCGAGATATAAAGTCAGAATTGCGTGATATAAAATCGCAATTGACCGTTCGCAAAAGCCACGCCCCCTAGTTATTGTTGCTACGCCCGTCAAACAAATGGTCAAACACGACCAGCGCCACAGATTGCCATGACGGGAAGAGGTGCGTCAGTGACCTTTTTTGGAGCAATACCTCCGCGATATCCTCCAGATCGAGGCAAAAGGGGTTACAGTATGCAGTGGAGGGATATATTCAAAATATAAAAATACGCAATGAAGGAGACACGACTACTATCGAGGCTAATAATGCTCTCAAGCTCTCAAACCGGTCTCAAGCGAAATCTGAGAAACCCCATGACCTGTAACGTTACCTCAAATGCAACCAGCACAGCCTTGAAGAAGATTCTATAAGCTGTTTCAGTGGGTAATTGTTTGGAGTTAGAAATATATAACTCGCGCTGCATATTTAGTAATTTTGCCTCAGATACAGGATTATTCATTCGCTTTAACAAGCAGGTTGTTCATTACCACGGCAACCGCTTGCGTGTCATGCTGAATGCGATTTTCGTGTTTAAAAAGTAACTACCGTAAAACTTCAAATAGTAGCCTGGGCTTTTATTTTCCCAAATGGTCGAACTGCACCGGCTTGTATTTGAGACAGGCGTCTAAATGAGACAGGCCTTTATAATTTAGTGTTGAGATGTTGTTCATTGAGTGTATAGGCCTGTCTCTAATCTCTAAAAATCTCCAAATGCTCCACGTGAAACTGCGGTCTTCCGACCTTTTACTATCGCGTCAATTGATTTTGATTAATATGCGCGAGGGAGAGAGAGCAAGACAGCGCTCGTGTTGTTTGAAGACGTGAGAGTGCGCGCGCGCGGCCGGGGCGCTCTCTCTCTCTCTCTCTCTCTGCTCGTTATGCACTGTCAAGCGCAGGAAGCGGACGCTCTGACGGGTTTTAGAAGATTAAATACAACCCGAAACTAAAAAACAGACCCGGCTTCTATTTGAGACCGGCCTTTATTTACCCAAACCTGTCGCCACACCAGGCGTGTAAAAGAGACAGGCGTCTGTTCGGGACTCGGCTATTATTTGAAGTACGGTAGTAGTGCTAAATGGGAAGAGAAACTTCGTTGCACAATCTGCGAGTTGTGGATATTCATTTCTGGTTTGAATCCAAGCAATGAAAATAGCCTATGATTCGTCGGAGGATCGGCTACGTTTACATGCACAACTTTTGTTTCAATCGGACTGAATTAATTTCGATTGATGAATCTGAATGTAGTGTTTACATGAACGCTAGGGTTAATGTGCGCGTTTATATGTCACAAGATTCAAATCGAATTATATGTTTTTGACATGCGCACACTGCACGAACAGAGTTTCCCGCTGTTTGCGCATACTAACTATTCTCTTACATGGGTTCTTTATTTGTTTTAAACAGCAGACTTAATATTTATCTATTGCTGGTCATAATTTGGAGACAATGAGCATGAACCGTTGTGCCGTGCCCGTGCTGCTTATGCACGCAGTAAAAATGCCCAGCACCCAAAACCAGTCGTCTGTGAATGAGAGTCTGAAACAAGGACTGGTGGGACGTTGTCCTGCTCCACTTCACAGACGCTGAGTGAAAGGAGAATTTTAGAATGATGGTAGGCTACGCTCATTTATACGACACTTTACTCAAAAGGAAGAACAGCTCGTTCAGCGCGTCATACATCATTATGCTATGCGCAGTCCTGTTTCGGTTTTCAATCCGATCAAGCGTTTATGTCCTCCCAGTTGGATTAGAAAAGGAATAAACCACCCCTTTCAATCGAATTGAAATTTTATTCGGATCGAGCTCAATCGGATCGATTAAGGTGTTTACATGAAGGCTTTTTAGTCCGATTGAACCGTCAATGCGTTTACTAACGGATTATTTGGATTTGGTTGCATGTAAACGTAGCCTGTTGCAATGAGCCTTTTGTGAAGCCCACTTATTGGCTGTGCCGGTTAACACAGAGAAAGTCTTGCGACCCCCTATAGAACGAACAACGACCCACTAGTGGGTCGCGACCCACTGGTTGAGAAACACTGGTTTACAGCATTAGTTAAGAGATTTGTTTTCCTTGAGAAAATTTGCCATGTATTGTACCTGATATCCAAAATAATCAATATTGAATCGAATCGAAATCGAATCAAATTGGAAGCTTGTGAATCGAAATCGAATTGTGAAATTTGTCAATACCCAGCCCTAGTGTATATTATGATATTGTAATCATTGTTTTAACGATGCACTGTGAGCTGACATTGCTTTTGTGTCTCGTGCTTTCACTGCGTGATGTGTACAGTTATAGATATGTCCCTAAATTAGTTTTTGTCTTATATTTATATCATATGTTGTTATCATACAATATCACATCAACAAGAGGGCCGTTTCCCAGTGGACAATAGCAAATGTGATATTTATTTTATATAACAGTTAAATTAACAATAAATGAACAGTGAGTTACATTTGATAGCCTAAACAATATTGTTTGTTTTCCCTTTATTTCGCCGACGAGAATTTCAAAATGAAACCGTAGCAGAGTCTCAATGCAACAGAAAGCGATGATTTTTTTACTGAAATCCGCGTTTTGAACGAATCATTTTGATTCAATGAACAATCACTTGCTTTTCATGAATGAATCAGCCGTTTGAACAAATCGGTTGAATGAATGACTCCCTAAGACAGTGACTTGCCGCCACCTACTGGCGGTTTTAGTTTCATATTTAAAGTACCCTTTAATTAAAATGTTAAAATTAGAAATCAGTTCATATTTAAATATTGAATAAAAAAAAAAACTCATCTTTATTTATGCAATTGTAAATGGAGTGTAAATATATTAATGCCAGTTCTGATGCCGCTTCTGTGTCTCTGCACTGCATAGATGAATTTTGATTTAATGATTTAATTTAACTGGTAACAGTGGTATTGTTATTATTCTAATATAATTTAATTTGAATGTTAGAATTTGACATAAAAGATGATGCATACCTCTAAAAAAAAAAAAAGAGTCCATATATAGGTGAAACTGCCCCTGGAAATCAATTTAAAGTGCCAAATAATGCCCGTTAATAAAAAAAAAAAATAATTTCTGTCACTGCTGAACTGACCACTGCATAGAATATGAAAAATATGAATATCTTCGTTAGTCAGCTGTCAACAACAGGCCTAAACCAGCCATCATGCCACAAACACAATCAGTAAAATATAATCTAATTATTATCAACTAAACTTTGAAAATATCGAGACATATTTTTGTCAATATTGCACATCTCTAATGTAAGGTATTAATTTTGCCTTAAATCTGACTTTAAAAAAGTGTGCAGAAACCCTGCAACAACAGGATAAAACGTGTCGGTATCTTTCTCTTGTTGCACGTTATCTGTAAGCTAATGCAAGCAGGAGCAAGCTCCTATCTGCTAGCTTTTATAGAAATGAGACTGACCTCCATTTTACATACGATGCTAATATATTTTATGTTTTATGTCTTATTATATTTTCTATTTATTCTTTGTGCAGCAGTTTGGTAACCTTGTTTTTTAAAAATGTTCTTTATATATAAAGTTGATTGGATTTTTTGCTGCCGAATCCTCCTCACCTTTTTTTATCCCTGACCAGTTTTCATGCCTGTATTTAGTAAGGTTTAAAAAATTGTACTTTATAAAGGTAAATAACGCCCTAGTGTAAAAATCACAAATTCGCAAATTTAAGTATATAAAAGCTGATGAGAATATTGCTTCAAAATAAATTATGTTTACTTATGACCGACACCATTTAAAAAGTAGAAAAATAATTATGTCATTAAAAATGTATTATAACATTATTATAAAAACTTTCTTATCTGTAATTTAAATGGAAGTAGCTTACAAATAAATCATTTTTAACCTTTAATATTAGAATGATGTACCAACTGGGGTTCCTTATGGTTTACTTTACAGCATTAGTTGAGAGATTTTTTTTCTTGTTATGTACTGTACCTGATAGGCCCCAACTTAATCAATATGGAATCAAATTGTCAATAATTTTTTTTTTACTTGAAGCAAAATGTTTTCTTGTCAGAATGCACCAGAATGCTTCATTTGCATGTTAAAATCATAAAAAATTGTCTCATGGGGGATGATGCCCCAGACCCCCCCATTACTTCGTAAACATGTCACCATTTTCACCACTTGTGAGTTTGCAGGTCTGTTTAATAGTTCAAAGAGTACAATAAATGTTCAAATTTCTATTTAAAAAAAAAAAAGAATTGTTGAAAGGTGTCTTTAATAAATGCAACACGTTCCCAAAGTCATGTGAAATAATCGTGTTACATTATCGTGATTTCAATACTGACCAAAAAAAATCGTGATTATGATTTGAAGTGAGAAGATTAATATAATACAATGATTATTTAAATCAGCATAAATTACAAAAGGCAGTGCAAGAGATACTACCGTTTAAATTAGGGCTGTAACGATACACCAAACCCACGATTCGATTCATATCACGATTTTTGACCCACGATTCGATTCGTATCGCGATTCTATCACGGGGGCGGGGCTTGAGGGGGCGGGGCTTGTGGTGAAAAAAAGAGATTTTGAGAGAAGAAAAAAATTACCGGTATTTTTATTAAATAACATTAGGAAAAACCTGTATAATCTAAACACCAAAGAACAATAATAACTATGCAAATTATTAAACTAATAGGCAGTGTAGGCTGCTGCTTTTGGGTTGTGTTCTGTACTCCAACTAAATTGATTTCGGGATGGTGCTGTAGGATATGCATCTGCATGTTGGACGTGTTGCCGGTCAATTGAGGATTAATTTAATGCATTTTCTGAGAATTTATATTTCAAGTTTTGGCTGCAAATTTCACGTCCATAATGCTGAAATTGCCAAATTTTAAATAATTTATCCTCAACTAGTTTTGTGGTGTAGGTCTACGTATTTTATAATGTTAACTTCAAATAATACTAATAGTAATTTAAAGATGTGGTAGTTCTCAGGGCCTGAATTTCGTTTTGGAAAATGGGGGGGAAATCCCCCCTTTAGATGATTCTCATGGGGGGGGATTTTTTTTGTTTGAGGGGGAGAAAGGGGGGAGCATTTTTTCCAAACAAAATTATTACATTTATCTTGCCTAAATGTTTGCGCTCATTGCATTTTTACAATGGGGTAATAGCCTATTGTTGTTAAGAATTTACACATCACAAGGAAGCTTGATTTAAATTGTTTAATTAAATTTAAAAAAGTAGCACAAATAAATACAATAGAATAAAGATACAAATAAAGACAATTAAAGAGAAAAGTTTTGAATAGGTCTAACACTAGTATTCATATACAGATACTATTTTAGTCCTGAATAAATTAAATACATAGGCTATTAATCCTGATTCCTTTAACTTAAAGCCATCTTTTGTTGTTTTGACAACAAAATTAATGACAGACACATATGGCTTCCGTCACTTTAAGAGCTAGTGCACGGATCCTGTTCATTATACTGGCATGCGTTTTATGCTTATTAAAGACAAAACCGACTATATTTAGAGTATAGCCTACTCACAAAGACCGAAATTGACAATTTTGCGTGTTAAAGCAATATAATCCGCGAAAAATAGTTACTAGCCAGCTGTTTTTGAGGCGGATTTTCGATGAATGTGCGCATAGAAAATAATCTCTCAGAGAGCGCGCGAGCACTGATTAGTTTAAAATCGCTTGAATGTTTAAACTGGTAAGACTTAAAAAGACTTCAGTCACGATGCACTGCTGGCCCGATTGTGCAAGTGAATATTCCGTCATGTCCCGACCTTACAGTCTATGGTCCCGACTCCTAAACCCGAGTGTGTATTATCGCCGCAGCGCTTGATGCCTGCCTTGCACAACACATTATGAGAAGAGATAGAAAACGCGCGGCACCGCTGAACACTCACGCTGTTTGTGAAATTGCGTCTGGAAGATAGTTGTTAAAAGAATGATTTGATTTTATTATCTGTGTGGATTACGATTGCGGGAATTTCCTGCATTAAATGGGAGACTTTCGGGAATGATTAGAATTATGCGCAATACCCGCGCCGAAATTCGAGCCCTGGTTCTGGACAGGAAGGATAACTCTGGGAGTTGGAAGGGTTGTGATCGCGATTCTGCCTTCTCACATCGCGATACAGGATCGTGGACCTGAGTATCGCGATTTCGATTTTATATCGCGTATCGTTACAGCCCTAGTTTAAATGTATTAATTTCTGTTTTTGCATTAGTGATGAGAATTTGGGGTGAAAATGTGCTTAATCGTCATGTAAATAATCTGACAATGAGAAAATGATCCTAAAACAGGAATAATTTACTATAAAAATAGTTTTTTTGATTGGATTAAAATATGAACCAGACTAGGTATGCACCTATCCGATATTCAGTATCAGTATAGGCTCCAATGCTGCAATTGCCCCACTTAATGATATGTTTCCACTAAATGTGAAGGTTTTATAAAATAACGGTGTACCCCAAGATTTTTCCTAGAATTTGGTGCTTAATTATCCATTCACCTAGTTTGTAATGTTTTTTTTGTTATAGGTTATGATTATATATTTTCATTCATTTGTTATAATGCAGTAGTGTGTATTTAGTGTACTGTGATCATCAAAATAGTGCTCATCAGTTCCACACACACACAGAGGTAAAGATATTCCACAATTCCTCAATCATCTTTTTGATTGAGTTTTTTTTACAGAACCTATAACGCATTTTGTCATCAGACAAATTGTTGTCCCTGGTCTGACTGGGTACAATGTATGGTTTATTGTGATGATTATTCACTCTGGGAATGAATAGCCATTTAGACTAAGTGTAATTATAGTTATAGCAGTGTTAATGTTAAAATAACCAAGGTGGAAAGGAAAATGACTACCTCATAGTCTTCATTTTCCATTTAATTGGACACGTTACCACATGTTCCTTCTCTCCTCAGGCACTTCCGCACCCTGTGTTCTGATGACACTCCCATGGTGCGCCGTGCAGCTGCCTCCAAACTGGGTGAATTTGCCAAAGTGTTGGAGCTGGAGTATGTTAAGAGTGACATCATTTCCCTCTTCACTGCATTGGCATCTGATGAGCAGGTCTGGTTTCAGTAATACTAACTAAAATGTACACACACTAATTCTGTCATTAAACAACAGCTAAAACCACAAACCACAGCTAAAGGTTTTGAGCACACGTTGCATGACAAGACCGATACAGTCTTGAAAGGTTTTCATTGTGTTTATGTAACTCAGTGCTGCAGCAGAATTGTATGGTAAATATCAAAGTGTTTTCTTCTGACATCTGAATGCAAACATTTACATCACTGTAGGATTCTGTTCGTCTCCTGGCCGTGGAGGCTGGCGTCAGCATTGCCACTCTGTTGCCTCAAGAGGATCTGGAAGCTCTGGTGATGCCCACCTTGCGCCAGGCAGCAGAGGACAAGTCCTGGAGGGTTCGCTACATGGTTGCAGACAAATTCTCAGATGTAAGCAAAGCATAATTATGTGTGATAATCATGTGGTTAATTATGTGTAATTACATTTTATTGGAAAATCCAAGTGTTTACCACAAAGTGCTGTTTGCATGCAGTGGGACAGCTCCCACCCCAAATGTTTCATAATTCTCCACACGATCATAACTACACTACCGTTCAAATGTTTGGGGTCAGTAAGATGTTTTTGAAAAATTTTTCTTATGTTGTGAAATATTATTGCAATTTAATATAACTGTTTTCTATTTTAATATATTTTAATATGTCATTTATTCCTTTGATGGCAAAGCTGAATTTTCAGCATCATGTCTTCAGTAGGGTTAGGTATCGGTTGGGTTTTATCCGATACCAGTACCTACTCGTTATTTTTTAAACGGATCCGGTGCTTAAACGGTTCTTGAAACGGTACTTAAGAAAACGAAACCGCACACACTTTGTCAAAAAATAATACCCCTTTATTTACAGGGCCAAACTGGACACAATATCTTTAAACAATATAAATACAAGTAACATATGGTAATAAGAAATAAACCAATATAAAATAAAAATTCACATTACATAATATCAAATAAAACAATATTGTATCAAACAATTAATAATACTGGAGATTAACAGAGATTACTTCCTGGGTAATCTAATATCGACATGGCTACAGGTTCCCATGTTTTATCTGCTTGAACCAGTCATGTAAGTTATCTGATCATTGTACTAGTTACGCAGCGCTTAGCTTGGCGAGTTTGGTATTTCGTTCCCACTGTGTCTTAGCTACGCAGCTTTGAGTAAACTTATGAAAGAGAACGTCTCTGGTTACTGGTGTAACCCATGTTCTCTGAATAGGGAACGAGATGCTGCGTTCACTGCCAAACTCCTCGCGCTGCCGACAAGCTTCCTTTTTTGACAGAGAAATCTGAGGAGCAGATGATGCGCGCGCTAATATAATACGATGACGAGAGCGTCAAGGCGGCGGCCGCGCCAATGGATTGGAGTGAATCGTGATTCTATATGGGCTTCAGACAATCGTTCTGACGCGTAATTTTACACGTGAAATGCAGCCAAACCTTGGAGCGTTTTGTCTTCGGCATCTTCAATAATCCCCTCGCTATCAGCAGACGTTCCGGGAGTCTCCCGCATATTGATAACGGCTCCCTGATGCCCGCAAATTAGTTAAAATCTCCCGGAACGTTTGAGCGAGCGAGCAAAAGCGCGCATGTGAGACAGAACAGACAGTGCTCCAATAAACCGTATAGTGCGTGCACGGCAGAGAGCGAGAGACTTTGCGTGTGTGCGCCTTATGCCACAGAGACTCGGGCACCGAAATCAGGCACCGAAATCTTCGTTCTTATTTGGTCTGGTTACTACCGTTTACGTCAGAACCGGTTCCCTATTGGCACCGCGTTTCGGTACCCAACCCTAGTCTTCAGTGTCACATGATCCTTCAGAAATAATTCTAATATGCTGATTTGTAGGGGTGGGAATCTTTTGGAATCTCACGATTCGATTCAAATAGATTTTTGGGGTCACGATTCTCGATTTTGAATAGAATTTCAATTAAATTAAATGGATAGATTTGATTTTAAACTTTTGAATTTTATTATAATAATTATTTTAGCTCAAATTAAAATTTAACTGGAAAAATTAAGGAAATTAAATGACACTTTAAACACTTTACAATGAGGTTTCATTAGTTAACTCCATTAGTTAACATGAACTAATGAACTGCACATCTACAACATTTATTAATCTTTGTTAATGTTAATTTTAGGGCTGCACGATACTGGGAAAATATGCAATGTTGTCGAGTATTGCGATAACGATATTTCTTGCGATATAACATTTCCGTAGAGATGTGCTATTTTTATTAAGCTTTTTTTGTAAATCTTTTATATATGTAATGATCATACTAAAATAAACAGATAGGCTAAAAGATATTCTTCTGATCTTCAGAGGAATATCTCAGTTTTTTCAGAAGGAGTTACACTTGCAAAACTTTGATTTGTTATTGTTACTTGGCATTTCGTTAGCAGTTTTGGTAGATGTGGGCTTAACACTTTTTGAAGTCTTCATATAGCTCCCTGAGGTTCGCTTTTTAGATGACTGTGGAGGTTAGTTTCCTCTCGACGTGGCCACAATTTTTCTGCACGACTTAGTGACACCGTCACTTATGTTCACATATCGCGTATTTTGCGCGTGCAAATTCGTTATTTCAAATGCAGGCGCGCGGCAAGCACGCTCAAAATGGAAGCACATTTTTCCAGACCCACCTATGCCGCAACGAGATGGTAAATGGTAAATGGACTGCATTTATATAGCGCTTTCACAGACCCAATGGCCACCAAAGCGCGTTACATTTTGCCTCACATTCACCCATTCACTCACTCATTCATACACCGACGGCGGTGTCAGCCATGCAAGGCGCCATCCAGCTCATCGGGAGCAGCTGGGGTTAGGTGTCTTGCTCATGGACACCTCGACACTTGGTCAGGTGGAACCGGGGATTGAACCACCAACCTTCTGGTTTGTAGACAACCTAAATGAACCACTGAGCCATCAGATTCGGCCTTTCCGTAACAACATCGAAAGCTCAGTCCGAACAGAAATCAATTAATCCTTTGCTGATACTTATTCGTCATCATGGAAAGCCCTCAGCGCAGTTCATGGTTGCATAGCAACGACAGACGTAAGCGCTTGTAGAAAGGAGATAGCGGCTGCGCTTTCCAGGCGTTTTTGACGCGATATGTGAAAGGCCCCTTACACAGTACCTGCATTTGTGTCACTTCTCTATTGAAGCCAAAGTATTGCCATATTTCAGACGTACAGTTCTTTTTAGGCACAGGTTCTTCGCTGTTGTCATTTTCCTCACTTGTCTCTACCATAGACAGTAAAAGAGGTCTCTATTCCCACCATTAGTTTTTATTTTCCACTCTCTGCTCTGAGCCACTAGGTTCCCCTTTGGGCCCGATCTAGCCAAAAGCATAAAAGCACCTACTGGGGAGGCGGGTATAAAGATAGTAAGGTCCCATTTGATTGGTCGAATTTGGATAAACAACCTATGCATGCATGCAACACACAAATGCTTGGCACATAAAATAAATGTAATTTTTCGCACCTCTCTGCGATACGGATATCGCATATACTATTATCCCGATAACGGTAATTTTTCGCACCTCTCTGCGATACGGATATCGCATATACTATTATCCCGATAACGATAATATTTCGATATGTTGTGCGGCCCTAGTTAATTTCAACATTTACTAATACATTAAAATCAAAAGTTTTATGTGTTAACTTTAGTAAATATACCGTGAAGTAACATGAACAAACAATGAACTGCTGGGTTTTTATTAACTCGCGTTAACAAAGATTAACAAATACAGTAACAAATGTATTGCTCATGGTTAGTTCATGTTAGTTAATACATTAATGTTAACAAATAAACCCTTATTGTAAAGTGTTACCGTCATTGTTTTATTTTATCAATTTATAATATCATAATATATTATATTTAACCATTTTATTCATAATAAATTCCTGTCTTAATTGTGTAAGATGTGGGTAATACTAGTTATATTGTTTATTTATTCCCCTGGAACTGTTTTGCCATGTCTGCTTATTATATTATGTTTTTAGAGGGTTTTTTTGTGTGATATTTGAATTAAAATGTGATCGGTTTATGTGAGCGTCAAGTTGAGAAGACATGTATCGACTCGAAGGAAGTGATTATCAGCTAGTTCCAATCAGTGGCAGATCGCTTGGAAAATCTAAAAATATAATACAAGCTGTTGCATTCTCAATATTTAGTGACTTAGCCTCAGATACAGGATGTGTTAATTGACTTTTACTAGCATGTATTGTACATTACAAACGCGTGTGTAAAAAGTACCTCTACACTGAGGCGGCAAGATCACAAGAAAAGCTTGACGTGTGCCGGTAACGGTTAAGACTTTTCTATTCGTTAAGATATTGATCTGTACTGTTGTTGTCGAGTAAGCTTCATTCATATGCTTCACTGTAAACTGTCCGGGTGCTGGACTGCTCTTGCAGTTGACTGCTGCTGCCTTTGTTCCGACAACATCACGTTATTAATAGAATCTCAACCTCAATTCATATGTGAATTGCCCCCCCCCCCCCCCCATCCTACTGATTTGGCGCTCAAGAAACATTTATCATCACAGATGAAAATGGTTCTGCTGCTCACTATTTTTGTGGAAACATCATTTTTCCAGTTCAAAAGAACTACATTTAAGATCAATTTAATGCATCCTTGCTGAATAAAAGAAAAAATCTTGCCGACCCCAAACTTTTGATTAGTATACAGTTTTAATTTGTCTGATGCTCCTTGCTGCTCTCTTACACGATGTGAGCAGTTTCAAACAAATCTGCATTCTGTTGAAGCGACTGTGACTAATTTGTGTGTGTGCCTTACAAGTGCAATGTGCACAAACTGCGATCAGCAAATTCTTGATGCAAACTGATACATCAAAAGCGACAATCTTCAATCTTTTATTGTGAGCTTGACTTAAGTGAGTCTGATGTAAATGGAGTAACCACTTTGATCAAATAAAGGACTCGTCAGACTGATTCAGAACATTAAATCTTGTGAGGTTCATAAATGAACGTTGATTCAGCAGTGGCAGAGATCTACCATTGAATAGTGATGTAGCAATCACTGTTATATGATCTGTATTTGTGCACCTTTTTAACTTTGTTTTATAATGTTATATAAGCTTCCTGGAAACCTCTTCCCTAGTATGTATCAGTGCTAAGGTTCAACAGCTGGTTCCACAGTTTCAGGATGACACCTCATAACAGTTCACTGGTCTCTATAATCCTGCTTGATACTCATTGTTGGGTATTGTTGTGCAACTTGACCTAAATGCAGTTCCATATTATTTGGTCATGTCATTGGATGATTTTGGATTATCCTGAGCCACTTGAAATGTCAGATTTTACTGGAAAAGAAATGTTGAATGCAGTCATATAAATTCCCAGAAATACCCTGGCTGTAAAAAGCAATGAACAGGCATTTTGACCTGCTTTAGAACTGAGTTATGTACCTCATCTCACACACAGTGCTAGAATAGACTTGATTGTATCCTTGCGTGCCACGGAAGTGCCTTTGTCCTTCAGTCTGCAGGAAACGCTGAGGTGCTACAGTAAAATGGAAATATGAAATGACATTCTTGTCTCTGTGAATTTACAGTTGCAGAAAGCCGTGGGTCCAGAAATCACAAAGAATGACCTAGTGCCAGCCTTCCAGAACCTTCTGAAAGACTGTGAGGCTGAGGTTCGTGCCGCTGCTGCAAACAAAGTCAAAGGTGAGAGAAAGGCATCAGAGCAGCCATGTAATGTGTGATCCTGAAGTTGAGTACCTCTGCTATTAATTTGGGTAATGGATTTAAATGGAAAATAAGTTAAAGCATCTGTCTATGTCGATATTAGGACTGGACGATTAATTGCAATGAAACCGCAACGCAATTTGCGATTATTTTTTTTGCTCAGCTTGTCAGTGCGCCTGATCGGTAATAAATGCTGCTTCATCTGAACGCCAGAGGGCGCTCTCACACAGACACGCCAAAATATGCCCCGCTGCAGAAGTACAATAACACACATCAAACCAGGAAATCCCTATCGGGCATCATCACTGTAGCTGAATAAACAGAAGATTTAAACGCTTTGTTGATTAAACACGAAAATACACGACTGCCTTATTGTGTAAGAAGCCACATCTCACAGAAGAATGCTCAACTGTCATATGAAGTGAGTTTGGAGTAAAAGCATGTTATTAAATGTTGTCTTTTGTTGGACAGGAGGTTCATAAATGATTCTCATGTTTGAAAAGATGTTTGACTCGTGTTGCTTTTTCAAATGCACACTATAAGTGACTCAAACTCACAATGCTTTCAGATTGAGCAGTGTTTAGCCGTACATCACTGACAAGCTGCGGATAAAAAACAATCGCAGCCTTTGCGATTTCAAAATTGCGATAAGCCAAATCGGTTTTAAGTGCGATTACATGGAAATTGCGATTAATCGTGGAGTCCTAGTCGCTATACAAATAATCTTGGCCTCACGTACATCTCTCATTAGTCATGCATCCTAATGAGGTTAATTGCATTATATGAATTAGCAAATTTCAGAAAAAAATATTCCAGAATGTTTTTTTTTCTTCATTAAATATCTAATTTTTAATTTGCTGAAATTTGCCTCTATTATTTTTTAGCTTTAATATGTTTAGTTCTTCTCATAAAGAATTAAATATTTAACGATTTTTGTAATATAATCAGCATTGCGATATGAGTGTGTTTTGTTTGTAGCTGGCATTGTAGCAAACAAATTAGTTTGTGATGACCCTAATTGTTTATTTTTCTTATCCTCAGAATTCTGTGAAAATTTGCCAGAGGACAGCAGAGAGACTATCATCATGTCACACATTCTTCCCTGTGTTAAGGTAAATTGCTCAGTCAGCCAAGGCTTCAGTCGCCTTTGGCTAGTAAATTTTTTTTTTTTATTCGCCAGACTTATTACATGGAATAAAAAGTCTAGATAAATATAAAATATGAATTTCATACAATATTAAAGACAAATTAACAGGCTGTAATAAAATAAGAACAAATAATCAAGCTAAAAGCAATAGCACAAATAAACAATAGAACACATACAAGTGAAATAAACAGTGCTTTTCAGGTTAAGGTAGATCTAACACTAGTTAGATACAGATTAGGTAGACACAGATTAGGTACATACATTTTAATCAACTTATCAAATGTAAAAAAAAAAAAACCACTACATGTTAGGGCTGGGTGATAAAACGATAACGATAATTATCGCGATATAATTTTTCTCGATAAAACGATATCAAGAGTTCGATAAATGTTCGATAATGTTTATGCGCCAAAAGCGGAACGAAACTCATTTGAACCGCGTGCGCCTCACGGACTGTTTAGCCGCTCGGCTCAGAGTCCAAACGGCAGCACGTGCGAGCTCACTAGAGCCACTAGAGTAGCAGACGCGTTTACTCTGATCGGCCTCGGTCACGAGATCCAGTGAGAAGCGCTTGAATTCAGCGAAGAACAAACGTCTCAGTGATTTAAACCAGTTTAAAGGCAGATGAAACAGCGCTGACGAACAGGAGAAACACTGTGATACAGTCAGAATATGAATTGATACTGAATCCATTTACCATGGATTTACTGTAAAGGTTAGCTTAGTAATATTAACTGCACCATGAAATGTGGGATATACATACTGAATTGTATTATATTATTAATGTAGACAATGTTTTAAATGACTAATGGAATATAATTACAGTATTTAATAATGTATTTAGGCTACTTTTTTCATACAAATACCATAGAAACCATAAAGTTACATTTTGCCATGATAGTGAGATGCTAACTTATAGGTTATGCCTGGCTTTATCATGATCTAAATGCATGATACTGGATAACCAATGGTTAATTTGAATAAAACTCAGAATATTACATTTTACCAAATAAAAATGTGGTAGTTATTTTTTTTTTTAACAGATGTTACTGTTTTTGTTAATGAACATAAATTTAACATAGTAGTATTAGCTTGAGTTAGGATGCAGATTTACTGTCTACTCGCTGTCAAATATGCATTTCGAGACAAAATATGTAATATTAATATTGCAGCCTGCACTGCAAACTGTGCTGAAGATACGTGCCATCAAATGGTAAATGGCAGCAACACAAACCTGTTTCAAGACTTGACAATATCCCCCATTAGCACAGGCAGAAACTAAGAAATATATTTTTCTATTCAGATATTTATTTTGTTAAGGAAAAATGACAAATGATGTTTTACCTCAGATTTGTGAAATGTTCACCTGTTTGGCAAGTGTTTGTCATGATATCTTCTGACAATAAAGAGTAGTTTAAAACCACAATTAACGCTCTCTACAACTTTCACTTAGGGGCAAAAATCTGCCTTTAAACTTGAAAGAAATAAAGATTTGACATTTATCGTGATAATTATCGATATCGACTGATATAAAAAAATTATCGTGATCATTTTTTTTGGCCATATCGCCCAGCCCTACTGCATGTTCTGCACTGTATAAATATAGATGAATCCTTAAAGGCATAGTTACAAAAGTAATTCAGTCAAGAGCAGTGAGGGATTTTTTGCAGTGTGCCTTATGTTGTTTGATTAACTTTAACACAGACACTTTAAGACATAATGCACGGATCCAATATACTGATACTGTACATGTGTTTTCTTTCTCAACTGTTTACCGAATACATTTACTAGGATACTCGCCAAGACAGGAATTTTTGCATCATTTTGTTTGAATTTGTCCGTTCCAGCGCAAGACGTGAAAGAGACTAGGAAATAGGGCTTGCACAGACTAGTCGAGAGATCAACTACTTCAAACACTAGGCGCTGTTGGAAACAATCGACTACTCGAGCGCCCATTAACCATAAATTAATTCAAAATGGCGAACGTCACCAACAGACACCACACATCAGATATCCAAAAGCAGCGATATGTGAACGGCCCCTAAAAGCGGACATTGCGTCTGTAATGAAAGGCAAGAACAGCTATTTATTTAGCTTTACTCTGTTACATGAAAATTTAAATATGTAATGACATAATGAAAATGTTTTGACTTTACTTATGCAATTGTTGCATTAGGCTATGAATTAATAAACATTTATTGATAAGAACTATTTCATGTCTTTTAATTTACAGTAGCATGAACCATGAGTAGTCGAGTAACTTGAGTATTGTTTTGATAAGAAATCGACTAGCAGAAATCAGTAGTCGTGCAACCCCTACTAGGAAACGAAACACGGCTTTCTGGGTGCGCGCTACGAATGTACCAAGTACCGAATTTAGTTCTCCTTTGCGTCGTCTTGCGCTTTGTTTAAATTGGCGAGGCTTAAGAACACGTGCAAATTATAATCTTCCATGACGAGGCAGCACTGGTCAATCAGTGATGGTTCCGTCAACTCTTGGCCATCGAGGATTCCTTATTGTCGAAGCCTGCATTTAGATCTAGCGCATCTATTAGGGATGCACCGAATCCAGTTTCGGATTCGGCCGAATATTGGGCTTTTTAACAGGGTTCGGTTTCTGCCGAACCTTAGAATTTTTTTACATCGAACCCTAGGCTTGCACTTCGCGCTACGTCGATGTCACCCTGCCGTTGATTACGGGAAGGTGTTTACCTTAGGCTTGTTCAACTTGAACCGGCGCTGCACAGACCGATTGGTGAATGACATCAGAGTATATCATCAGTATGACATCAGAGCGAATAGAGAGCAGACGGCTCCTTATGCTTTTGAAATGCTCTCGCGGTACTTTGATGTCATAAACCGATCGGTCTGTACAGCGCCAGTTCAAGTCAAAGAAGCCTGTAGTGTTACACGTTGTGTCAAGAGGACTCACGGAGGCGACTGGCATCTCACAACTCGCACTTTATTCCCCAATCGAAATCGTGTAACTGTCTGTCACACGTTCTACCGTCCACAGCGTTACTTAACAAAATATGATAAAAATGAGCGTCAAACAGAAATAACTCGCATACTTGGGGTGTTCGAGGCGCACGGCACATACAATACAGACTGCAGACAGTTCAATAGGGAGTGCGCAGCTCTTAAAGGGGACACATCTAATTTCCACTCGTTACAGTAGGTGGACCGTTCAAATGCAGTAGGCTGTGAGAAAGTGAAAATGTAACTTTTGAGCAGAAAAAGTGTTGTTTGGCAGTACTTTCAGTCAAAAGAAGGCAATTCAAGTCAAGCTTTTTTTTTTTTTTTTTTTACAGTTAAAATAGAATAAAATGAAAATTCCACAATGTTTACTTCATTAATGTGTTTACTTTGTTAATGGACTGAGGATGAGAGTAGGATTCGGTATTCGGTTTCGGATTCGGCAGAATCTTAACCAGTGGATTATTTATTCGGCCGAACCCCACAAATCTGGATTCGGTGCTTCCCTAGCGTCGATTCACTTTACGCAGTATGTGTAAGCCTCTCTGTTTCTCTCATGTTGAGTGCACGTATGTGAGAGAATGCAACAGAGGGTGCTCTCAGCCAAGTGACAGTGCGTAAAGCTCATAAGGCAATGATATTATATCTGCACTAAATTAATTTTTTGCCTCCAATTCAATCACAGGTGAGGGAAATCGTACAATTTAAGACATTTTTTAGTTGCCTAGCGGGAAATTTGGTCGCATATGCTGGTGATTTTCTCACATTGTTGAGGGTTGGTCAGCACTTGTCAACATCTCTGCGATCTGTCACTTTTCAGGCTGATCGCTTGTTCCTCGTTGTTCCAGTGCTCATCACATTTAATTGGTGTGTAGTTCCAATCCTGGATCAGTTACTGGCAGATAACTCTTGAGTCAGCATCTGTTCTTTAAGCGTCTAAGACTTAAACAAGATCAGATTAACAGTGTGTCATTGTGTCTTTAGTCTGACCTACTGGCTGTAGTAACACTAGAACACTTTTCTGCGCTGGCTGGCTCACTTAATGTGTTATATTCTCCTGGATTGTACAAGTATCTCTGGTGAAAATGTCTTGCATAGATTCAAACCGCTGTTAGACGGGTGTTTTGGTAGCTAATATAAGTATTTTTGAGAATGCCATTTGTTTTGTATATGCCCACAGCATAGATCCAAAAAAATGTCAAGATTCATCACAGCACATTTTATTCCAAACCTTTAGTGTAGTTGAGGTACATTAGAATCTTTCTCATGGTGAGAGCTGTGGCATCCTTCATTGCAATAGAAACATTCAACATGTTTATAATTATGTGCAGTATTTATTTTTATAGTAATAGTTTTATATTTCTTTTTATTGCATTGCATTACACAATATCTTCCATTTTTATTTAATACATTTTATTGAACCCCTTTTTAATGTGTGTGTATATAAAGGTGTGTGTGTAACATGTATGCAATATAGTTGTTTTTGCTGGATATTTAGTGATGTTACACTGAAATCTCAACTGAAGTGAGATTTCAGTTTATGTAGCCTTCAGGTATCACAAGTGATTGAGAGTTGTATCAAAACATTTATTTCAATTGATGGCATTGTGTTGCACCTCTGTCAACAGGAACTTGTCTCAGACACTAATCAGCATGTGAAGTCTGCACTGGCGTCAGTCATTATGGGCCTCTCCACCATCTTAGGCAAAGACAACACCATTGAGCACCTGCTTCCCCTTTTCCTGGCCCAGCTCAAAGATGAGGTAAGCCTGCTGTGTGTGTGTGTGTGTGAGAGAGAGAGAGCCAGCACAGGTCTGGCTAAGGTAATTTGCATCATGTTCCAGTCACAGATGATACTTCTGTGCAACTGCTCACTTTGATCCTGTCGAGGTGAGGCATTGCTAATGCTAGCCTTTTAGTGGAAAGCAGAAAGCATTGAAGTGAGAGATGAATGGAGTGCGGCACACTATCTCTCGTCTCTTTATTTTACTGGGGCTTTTTGTTGTTTGCTGCTGTCTGTATTGCGATCGCTCTTCTTTAAGTTGCATGGGAGTAGTCTTTGAACATCTGTCAGTCACACAGACTGCATGAAATAAATAGAACAAAGCCTCCTCCTGGACTGCAGCTTGCATTGATACATGTTTTAAGACAGGAAACAGTTTCCTATTCGGTGTTAGTTCTTGCACTGTTGTTCAGGAGTAGTGCTGTGTAAAAAAAACAAAAATAAATTCTGGCACGTAGTTGTCAACATGTATGTTGTGATAAATTGACGCTTGTGAAATTATACACTGACATTTAATGGTTAACATCCTTGCTGAGTGCATGCAGAGATTAACATATAGGCCTGTCACGATAACTAATTTTGCTGGACGATAAATTGTCCAAGAAATTATTGCGATAAACGATAATATTGTCGTTCTGAGACCATTTACATCTAAAATAATGATAATGGCATAATGCAGGTACACCTTTTCAAAGATCAATAAACTTTTATTTCTAAAGACTATTTAACTCTGAAAATGGAAAACATTTTAAATATCCACAATAAATTAGCAAAACAACCAAAAACAATAAAAGTAATGTCTCTGTTTACAAAAAATGCACTTGAATAAATACCTAAAACAATAAATAAAATGGATGTAAACAAAACCCGACCCTACCCTACAAACCACTGTTAATTTAACATAAAAGCAAGCAGGCTACTGTGTGCATGGTTTGGCATGACTGAATGCGCGCAAAGTGCGCTCCCTTAATAATTCCTAAAAAGCTGACAGTTCATCGCGATCTCACACATCTGTTATTATCAATGAAGCTGACTGCACAATGAATCTTTCATAATATCCACACTTTGCTTGTTATAATTAGAGGATTTGCCAGCATACAGAATTCAGCACTGAACAAAAAGTCAGTTTTGAGCGGTGAGAGAGTCTATCTTAAATGCTTCTGATTGGCCATTGCGTTCAAGAAATCAACACATGTCTGTGATTGGCTACATCGCTCAACGCTGCAAACATGTTATGAATAGAAACTCTGGCCTGTAAATCGTTCTTTGGACAGGAGACCGATCACTGTTTTCGCCTTTAAGCAGCGCAGTCTGCTCTAATCGTTCTCACGGCACTTTGATATCATACACTGATTGGTCTGTGCAGCGCTGCTTCAAGTCGAAAATACCCAGGGTCTCATGAAATCATGAGAATCACGCCTTCTGAGTTTATTTACCCAAAAACTGACAGATTTAGTGCACAAGTAACTCATGAGTCAATATGAATATTAAATATATCCGAGTTGCGCAGCACCTGTGCATTTCTAGCTTACTTCAACACAGCCGCCACTAAGCAGTGAATAAAGGTGCGCTGGTTTGTTTGCTTTGAAGGAAATCGTGCAGACCCTGAAGAGTTTGCACCCCTTGTATTATAGTACTTACTATTTTTGTTATATATTTTCAGTTTTCATTTTAAGTAATTTTATGCGCTTTTGTCTTTTTGAAATATTTCTGTTTAGCTTTAACATATTTTCTATTCTAGTTTTGGTAATTAACACAAATGTATTGCTTATTTTTTAGCATGTTTTCTGGAATGTTACAAATTTTGTCATGTCCTTTCTATAGTGTCCAGAGGTTCGCCTCAACATCATCTCCAACTTGGACTGTGTGAACGAGGTGATTGGAATCCGCCAACTCTCACAGTCTCTGCTTCCGGCTATTGTTGAGCTGGCTGAAGATGCCAAATGGCGAGTACGGCTGGCAATTATCGAATACATGCCCCTTCTGGCTGGACAGTTGGTGAGTCCTGACCGTCAATGTCCTCAATACTTTATCCTGAAATAGAAATCAGACTGGCTCGTTGGTCAGTTCTTATTTTCAGTCTCTCTTAAAGCATTTTAACGAATCATCCTATTAACTTATTGACGACAAGTCGCTTTGGGTCCTGTAAGCTGATCTAACTGATGAGGCATATTTTTTTTCTTTCTCGTGCTTCCAGGGTGTAGAGTTCTTTGATGAGAAACTCAATTCTCTGTGCATGGCTTGGCTTGTCGATCATGGTAGGTTACTTTTTTTTTTTTTTTTTTTTTTTTTCATAATTTCCTTTTTATTTAAAGTGTTAAAGAATGTCCCACATAATATGTCCCACACAGTGTTAAATGTTAGACTTAGAAAATTGAGTTATTTTTGCAATTCTGTTTGTTTGTAATAGAAAAAATTTAACTGCAGTTATAATGTGTTGGAGTCTGTCAGTAGACTAACACTTTAGTCTCTGTAAACTTTAGTGTATGCCATCAGAGAGGCAGCCACCTGTAACCTGATGAAGCTGGTGGAGAAGTTTGGAGCCGAGTGGGCACAGAACACCATTGTGCCCAAAGTGCTGGGAATGGCTAATGACCCCAACTACCTGCACAGAATGACTACCCTCTTCTGCATTAATGTGAGTCAGACCTGATCTTTAACAAACAGCTGCTAGTTGTACTAGCTGGAAAAGCGTATTTCGTATGTTTTGACATTGAAATATATTACAATCTGTCTTAGTTTAATTATTCTTTTTGTAGAATGGTGCTACATCCATGAAATATTTGGCTTTTCTTTGGCATCAGTCAGGATTGTTGCACTCAGATTTTAAATAGACTATTATTGTGGCCAAAATAATTGGGGCTGTGCCGGTAAACTTGACAACCGCACCACCGCGGTGGATGAGTAGCACCGGCGGTGGTCCGCCAAAGAACATTTTTTGTATGTGAATGCTGTTTTACATGAATATTATGACACGAGCGAAGCACAAAGCTTTGTTTACAAATGAAATAGGTTAGCAAATAAAGGTTACATCGCAGCCACGGAAACATTTGGATTCATGACGAATGAGAGTTGTGCGTGAGCCCATAAATTTAAGCTTTGTCGGCTTTTAATTCTGGTTTGCGATCTGGTCACCCGATTATCAGTGAATTTAACAATATTCCATATAGAAAGCTTGAATTCTCTACTTCAAAACAAAACAATTCAAATGGTAAATGGACTGCATTTAAATAGCGCTTTCACAGACCCAATGGCCACCAAAGCGCTTTACAGTTTGTAAAGCGCATACACCTACGGCGGTGTCAGCCATACAAGGCGCCATCCAGCTCGTCGGGAGCAGCTGGGGTTAGGTGTCTTGCTCATGGACACCTCGACACTTGGCCAGGTGGAACCGGGGATTGAACCACCAACCTTCTGGTTTGTAGACAACCTACATGAACCACTGAGCCACTGCCGCCCCAATTCAAAACGAAAATTTATTTGCTTATGTAGGCTAGTCTGTATGAAATGTGCATTTCTCTCTATAGGCGCGTTCACTGCGTCAACTTGATCTTTGCAGCTGACACAGAAAACACAAGTTTATTAATAAACAATTAAAATGTCAAACACAATCATTACTTTTGCCGGTTCTTTGTGACAGCTGTTATGTGCGTTATTGGCAGCGTCACCCTTTGGTTACATGAACGCGTCACCACCGCATCAGCACCGAAAACACAGATTTTATTTTAGAGAATAATCGCACAACCTATTCGATATTCAATAATTAAATCAACTAATCGAATATTAAAAAATCGTGACTCATCCCTGCATGAAATCTCGTGTTTCTTTTCCCAAATTCACTCACGTCTCCCCCCGTTTATAATCCCCTTCGAAAATGGGTGATTATATATATTCCTTGGTTCGATTTTAATTAGGCCTATTATATTCGTATTTTTTACTGTGGTAAAGTAGAAAAAAGCTGTAGGACAGAGAGCCTACATTTTTACTTGCACGTCAAATTCTTTTTAACACAGTTTGTGCTTGTAATTAGATATGGTAAGGGCAAGTTTATTTGTAAAGCGTGTTTCACACACGCGGGTGTTTTTAGTTTCGATTTCTCTAGCAGCGCAAAATCAAACAGCCTAAATACCTTGCCCTTGTGGAAGATAAAATTCACTCTTCATACTTTTTACATGTAGAAAACATGAAGATATCAGAAAAGAGATCAATGGTCCCTTTTCCTGCTCGTGTCCCACATGCCACGTCCCTGATCCCTCTCAAAGCGCAGAGCGGTAGGCTATATGATGCGTCTTTGTGTGGAAATATAAAACGAAAGTAAAAAAAAAAAAATAGATTTAACTTTATTATATTATTTAAGTTACCATTTATTTACTGTATTTATTTCAATGCTTTACAGGCTTTAGTGTGTTTCTTTGACGGAATTTCTCAAACACTTTTTTGCTCAAACACTACTAATTTTATTTCAAAACAACCCCCAACCACCGCACAACCGCCGGTAGTTGGTCCATTGTTGGTAGTGGTAAAAAACTGCCACTGTCACAGCCCTAAAATAATTTACAGTAACAATATTATTGTGTAATCTGTAGTTTTGAAAAAAAAAACTTAGTTTTTTCCCTCCTTTTTTGAACAGTGAATCAAACTCGACATACAAGTGTAGGGAGGTGGAGAGGGAGTTTTGAATCCCCAAAAGTACACACTACATTCTTTTTCTTTTTTTTTTACTTTTTGTGAAGTGCAATATTGCCACCTATTAGATGATACGTTACTCGCACTGATTTAGTTACAATATTAACATATCAATATTTTATGGTTATCGTCAATACCGGTATATTGGGACACCTAGCATCAGTGCTGCAATGCTGTTTTGGCACCTTCAAAGGCAGCATACTAGCTGAATTTAAACCTTGTAATTGCAGTTTCTCAAATGGTGATCTTCAAACAAAACGCATGGGAAACTTGATCTGTTCTTGTAGAGTTTGATGTTAGCATGTTGCTAAACTAATTGTGTGATTCTGTAAGCATAAAACAGATATTGGGGCACAGATACAAGTTGGTAATTTTTTTTTTTTTGTGGAAATTGACAAATACATCTATAATGGATCTTTTGGATTAAGCCTTCACTTCAGGAGTTTAGGAACCTTGCTCATGATCCCTGATGTGTGAAATTGTCTGTTTTAGGCTCTGTCTGAGGTGTGTGGACAAGATATTACCACCAAACACATGCTCCCTGTAGTTTTAAAGATGTCCAACGACCAGGTAGCCAATGTTCGCTTCAATGTGGCCAAGTCACTTCAGAAGATTGGACCTGTGCTGGACAGCAGGTATGTGATCATCCACATTTGGCCAGAAAAAAAATCACATCTCTTAATGTGACTGACTCACTTTAGCATCATGTTCCCCTGATGTTTTGATTACAGCTGTCTGCAGACTGATGTGAAACCAGTGCTGGAGAAACTGGCAACAGATCAAGATATGGATGTCAAATATTTCGCTCAAGAGGCCATCAGTGGTGAGTTCCACAACTGCTGCTCTTGAGTGTTTTGCAATCAAAAATGCAAACCTAAAAGCTACTATCATCCTTAAATTCAACCTGAATCAGTGCAAAATGACAACTTTATGTAACACTTGAGTTAAAATCAAAATATCAAACCTGTTTAATTTAATAGTAAGATTATAAAATGGATAGTTCTAAAGGTGCCGATATACTGATGGCGAAGTTCTTTTTCGTTCTTCGCTTAGCAATTCAAATCACGTTTGTGTATGTAGCACTTCATACAACAGATTGCTTTAAAGTAAGCAGCTTTACAATATTAAACATGAAAGAACAGTGTCACTTTCAATTAGAATTATATAAAGCAGCCCTCCAGTGTATCTGAAAGCGTTTGGACACGCAAACCGTGACGTCATGACTTAAGCAAACTTTTCTGGAAATTGAGCTTTGGCAAGCTGTTTTAAACTCCAAACAAACTTCCTTTTGGCCTTGTTTTGTTCAAAATGACATCAAACAACCAAACAATGACATCAATAATTAAATTATATCAGATCCTTGATTTAAAAAAAAAAAATTATATATTTTTTTACTTTTTTTATTCTCTTCCTACAGTTCTTTCTCTGGCCTAAAGTACCTTCTTGCTGAACGTAAGACCCATCTCAAGCTGACCTCCATTGTATTTATTGACATCTAAGACCATCCACTGGACTGTTTATGGAGAAACAATGTGTACTGTTCCCTATCAGTGAGAAGTGTTTTAGGGAAACTTGGCTTCTCTAAGTGTTTTCTTTTTTTTCTCTCCAACTATTAACCACATACCATCTTGCTCTTCGTTCCTACCCTGCAATAGGCCCGCTGAGCCCCCCTGCTAACCCTTCACTTGCTAACCCCCAGCCTGGGGTCACACACTTAGATGGCGTTTTAATATCCACCTAACAATCTAATGAAGCATCATAGGTTAAGAGAAAAAAAGAAAATAGATGTATTGAGGCATCAGTTGTCTATATTTAACTTCCGTCATCTGTTCGGATGGGCTGAACCATGTTTGCTCTTAGTGCTGATTTTAAGCTCGAGCCACAGCATGACAAAGGGCCGAATCACTACTGCAACTTTCAACTATCATTTGAATACTGTTCCTGTGCCCCGTACGTGCGTGCTCTCGTACTGCTCTCAAAGTGCTTATCTTCTTAAAGGGACCACAACAAATTTCCATCAACTGTTATAACAGAGGATGGGCATTCCTAAACGGCCCTTTTTATCTTCAGAAGGCAAGCTTCTCCATTCTGTGCCATTGACCATATTGCACATTTTCTTTTTTTGTTTTGTTTTTAAAAAGATGTTTAACTCTTTTTTTTGTGTCCTTTATATGAGTGCATCTGCATGGCTCTTGCACACACAGGTTCCGTAGGCCGTCTGTATATTAAAAAGCTCAATAATCACAGGGCATCTTAAACTCTCTCCCTCAACACAATGCTTTTTGCCTGTGATGTTGACTGTCCGATTCTTCAGCTTCAGAGTGCAGTCAGTATAGTAGTATATTCTATGTAATGAGTGTCTTTAGAATGTGCTTCGGGTTTTATATGAATATGGTCTCATTGCCCTTGATGGAAGGGAACTCAATAAAGAACGTTATATAACCCCATTTCACTGTGTGTGGACCTTCTGTTATCTGTCAAGCCATATACAGTAAAATGCAATATAGCGTGAGGATGTCTAAGCTGGGAGTGGATTGCAGCAGAGCTGTTTACTGAAAGAGGCATATCATGAGAAATCAAATTTTCCTTTATCTTTGAAAACTAGTTTTTGCACTAGGTTTTCATAGTACTCTGAACTTTCAGAACTCAACTTCTGTCCCAAAAAAAACAAAAACATCTAGAGAATGCAAAAAAAGCTTATGAATTTTCTTTAGAAACTTGCTTGTCCAGTCATGGCAGGTATGAATATGAATAATAAAACAACATTGTAACTACTTTATTATTATTATTATGTGATTTTATGTACTCTATGTACACTACTATTCAAGAGTGTGGGGTTTGTTTATTTATATCATTTATTTTTTTACTTTAGTTCATAAAGGATGCATTACATACATCAAAAGTGACAGTAAACATTTATAAACCTTACTAAATATATATATTTTTTAATTTGAAATAAATGCTGTTATTTTGAACTTTCAATTCATAAAAGAATTCTAAAAATGGGTAACGGTTGCCACAACATATTCAGTAGCACTCAATGTTTTTCAACATTGATAAGAGGTGGTTTTTTAACACCAAATCAGCATATTAACATGAGTTTTGATAGTTATGATTTTAAGTTGTAATATTTAACAATATTGATGTGTTACTGAATTGTTTAGCAAATTAATGAAATTAAAAAAAAATTAAACAAAAAAATCTTTTGAATGGCATAAATATGCTAGGAAAAGGGTTATTAGGCTATTAAAATAATATTGTTAAAATGTATCATATTGTTAAATGTAATTCAAAATTGATACATTTCTTTGCAGACAATTAATAGAAGTGTTGTGTTGGGTCTTCTACAACACAAAAAGAACTAAATGAAAAGTCAGTCAGCCTCAGCAGCTCTGCATATCCTTCTGAAGGATCCTGTTGTTAAGAAAGAGTGCTCGGTTTATTTTTAACCTGTCAAACTCACATAATTGGTATGCTCAGTTTGGTAAATAAACCAAAGAGCGTCAGTCCTGAGTGCTAAAACAATTTGATTTTTTTTTATTCGTTTAGAAATCCAAATCAAGATCTCATCACTGAAGTCCTGGCAGTTTTTAAAACTCATTCATATTTTCACCGGCACAAAATTGGCATGCAAGGTCTAACAGGCTGTGTGAGCTGTCATGGCTTTGAGTGTGTGTTCTGACAAGGCTGTTATCTGTCTGAATTGTGAATGCTGTTGTCGTGCCTGCTGATGAACAGTTTACAGCTGGAACATCACGACTCACATCGGCGTGTTAGTGCCATTCTGCACAGATTAATCATCAGGGGAAATTACCCAGCTTTATGCAACACTCCTGTTCATTCAACAGCTATCTATAAAGTTACATTTCACACACGATGGCTGTTCTCAGGTTAACATGATATTTGCAACGTTTCTCCAATTTGGATTAGGATCTAGACCAGTGACAAATCGCCTGCATCATATGATTAATTTAAGAAAAACTGAAGTTTCACTGAAATCTACAAACTAGACTTATTTTTTTTAATTACTGTGCTGACAAAAACACATTAGTTTACTTTAGGGTGACCATATTTTGATTACTGAAAACCAGGACACTCGGCCCGGCAATGAGATACTCAAACGATACTTGAAGTTTACTCGAAGATGCCTTATTAATTTCAGTACATTTAAAGTAGGCTATGCCTCGTCTGTATGGATAGAAAATTGTTATATTACAAATACTATTGAGCAAAAATAGCTCTTACAAAAACTACCTAACAAAATATATTTATATCTTTAGTTTTCTTCTTCCTCTTTATTCTGTTTTTCTTCCTCATCCTCTTTGTTTGCCCATCTATGTTTTGCTGTAGAGCTGATCTTTCCCAGCAGTTTTTTGTAGCTTAACAAGCATGAAAGTCTAATGGCCCAATGAAAAATAATGAAAATCAGGACATTTTCAGACAGGACGTGAAAACAGGACATGTCCTGGGAAAACAGACATCGACTGACACTGACAGAACGGTGTTTCGATTCCTGAATAAATTTGCGTGTTGAACTAATTGTTTGAGAAAATGATTCAATTACTCATTCTTGCTTTGTTCCTGAATGAATCAGTCCATTTGAGCTAATCGAATAATTTAACGACTCACTCGTCAAGGGGCTGTTTACACGACACCGTTTTAAACGTAAAACTTCTTATGCGTTTTGGCCGTTTGTTTACACGACAACGGTGTTGGATGCCTGAAAACGCAACGTTTTGAAAACAGGTTTCAAAGTGCAAGTTTTTGAAAATGATTTCCGTGTAAAGAACAAAAACGCGAGTCTCTGAAGACGATGACGTCATGCACATTACGCCACGCGTATTACGTCTTCAGTCTATACGCTGATTTCACGCTGCCGCCATTTTGAAATGGCTCCGGTGGGCGATATTTTTTTTCACAGGATGGTAGGGGAAGACTCATTATTCATTAAGGAACTCATCCCTGATTGATCTGATGACCTACCCCCTAACCCCGCCCCTAAACCTACCCGTCACTGGGGGTCTGATGACCTACCCCTAACCCCGCCCCTAAACCTACCAGTCACTGGGGTTAAGACCAATCTGGGATGAGTTCCCTAATTAATATATGAGTCTTCCCCTACCATCCTGTGAAAAAAAATATCGCCTCCGGTGGGAAGAACTGGATGTGTCGCCTTTAATCATAGGAGAGTCACGAATGCGATGGCGTATCGTTGTGTTTAATGTAGAAATTAGTTATTCTAAAAATGTACATACATTTCTTTCATATTTTAGAGATTATATACAGTGAAATTCATTTATAAATAAAATTATTTTTTTATATATAATTCAGAACGTAAAAAAAAAAAGCAGGAACGAACTATATACATATCCTATATTGGATATTAACATCCAATAGTGTAAATCGCGGCAGCAGCTTCAGGTTGGTAGTCCAAGGCACTGTTGTCTATCTGTACTTCCGGAGTTCTTCCCACCGGAGCCTCGCTTTCGATTTCAAAATGGCGGCTGCGTGAAATCAGCGTATAGTGTTTCATCTCCATCTAATGGCCTGGCAACAGAATACAGCGTTTTAGTCGTTTTTTTTCCGGATCCGTGTGAATGGGGATCGTTTTGACATTGGTGTCGTCTGTAGGCCTACGCGGAAAACTCAAAGGAAAAAAAATCGTTGTGTAAATGTACCCTGAGACTGACTTGCTGCCACCTGCTGTGGTTTTTAGTTTCATATTAAAAACAATAAATTTTTCCATCATTTTGTATTTCTATATTTAAAAAAAATGTATCTCATAACATTATGCAATTTTAATTGCAATGTAAATCTATTCATAACTGTGACGGAACGGCTCCGTCACGGAGTGTGGCACACACACACACACACACCAAGAATCAATGACTTACTGGAGAAAATTGGAGCTGCCAAATACATTACCACCCTGGATCTGTGTAAGGGTTACTGGCAGGTGCCATTGGAGGAGTCGTGCCGGCCATATACCGCGTTCCAAACACCGGCTGGACTTTTCCACTTCACTGTGATGCCATTTGGGCTGCACGGAGCTCCAGCCACCTTCCAGAGGTTGATGGACAGGGTCCTTCAGGGTTGTAACTACTGTAGCGCAGCTTACCTCGATGATGTGGTGATTTTTAGCAACACCTGGGAGGAGCATATCCAACATCTGTCACTGGTACTGGAAAGGATCAAGAAGGCAGGGTTGACGCTCAACCCCTCCAAATGTGAGTGGGCATGACAGGAGACACGGTACCTAGGTTACCAACTAGGGCGAGGAGAAGTGCGTCCGCAGGTGGATAAGGTGGAAGCTATCCAGAACTGTCCTCGTCCCCGCACTAAGAAGGAAGTCCGGTCCTTCCTGGGTTTGGCAGGCTGGTATAGGCGATTTGTGCCCCAGTTTGCAACTATTGCTGTACCCCTCACAGCCCTTACCAGGAAGGACCAGAGGAACCCAGTAACCTGGACAGATGACTGAAACCACCTTCAGCACATTAAAAACCTGTCTGTGCTCCTCCCCTGTCCTCAAGAGTCCAGATTTCAAGAAAAGATTTTTGGTACAAGTGGATGCATCTGCAGTCGGCCTTGGAGCAGTTTTGGCCCAAGGAGACCCTGGTAATGAACATCCCATACTGTACCTAAGCCGGAAACTGCAGCCACGTGAGACTCGGTATTCTACGGTAGAAATAGAGGGCTTGGCCATTAAGTGGGCACTGGAGAGCCTACGGTACTACTTGCTAGGACGGGAGTTTGATCTTGAAACTGACCACCGAGCTCTCACTTGGATTAACTCAATGAAGGACCACAATAGCCGCCTTACTCGATGGTATCTTTCACTCCAGCCATTCAGGTTCACAATTCGACACCGACCAGGTCAGGCCAATGTGGTAGCCGATTACCTTTCACGGTTGCCGCACATCGCCAACCTCCCGGAGGAGGGGAATGATGTGACGGAACGGCTCCGTCACTGAGTGTGACACACACACACACACACACACACACACACACACACACACACACACACACACACACACACACACACACACACACACACACTCATACACTCATACACATACTCATTCCCTGTTCCCTTACAGCCTCAATTAAGCTGGTCATAAACTTCGGGATTATGCACTTTTCTCCTACTGTTAAGTAGCGCGATCGAGGGTGCACACTTGATAGTTCTACTCTTCTGTAAACATACATTTAAATGAACATTATCAACACTTACCGTGTGTCGATGCATCGCGGGTTTTCTCTGTTTCCCATCCAGTTTGGCAGACCCGAAGCGTAACATTTCCGGTTGTTAAATAGCGCGATTCTCGCGCACTTTCATGGTCACGTGAACTGCATAATTATGGGTTTTGGGTTGCAATAATAATTTGTGATGCAAGTAACTTTGTATGGGGAAGGAAAAAATGTTTGTGAAGATGGAAATAATTATTGTGGGAAATGCTGAAGTATAATAGATATAAGTCCTTTTCTGGAGTTAGTACAATGTGTTGATTGTATTATGTCAATGATGGTTGAGCCTAGTGGGAGGGGCTAATGGCTTTAAGAGTCGCAGCTTTGGGCCTGTGAAGGCAGTCTTGGTCTGGTTACAGAGAGGGTAACTAGTGGCTGGTAATTTTTGTGTGGAAATAAAAATAGAGTTTTTGAGGATATTTTTTTTGTTTTGTGGTTAACTTTATTATAGTAAGTTATTTTTTTTGAAATAGTTTTTTTATTATTATTATTTCTCTTCACCATTTGTACTTTGGAGGCCGGCATAATAAAACACCTCACTATTCTTCGACTACACCTGTGTTTTTCCCTATTGTAAGGTGTTTGGAAGAGGACCCTGCCACAATAAACCCATTCTGTGTTCATAATGATGAGCCAAAACATTATGACCAGTCACAGGTGAAGCGAATATTGATCATCCAACAAAGCCACAGGTTATGGCCTGGGTAGATTAGATGGTAATCAAACGATCAGTTCTCATAATCATCGTGTTGGATGCTGGAGAAATGAGCAGGAATAAAGATCTGAACGACCAGGGCCAAATTGCTATGGCAAGGTGACTGGGTCAGAGTCTCTCTGAAAATGCAAGGCTTGTGGATTGTTCCCAGTCAGCAGTGGTGAGAATTGACCAACAGTTGTTTGAGGAGGGACAGACCACACACCAGTGACAGGGTGTTGGGTGCCCAAGGCTCATCGATGCACGAGGGCAACAAAGGGTTACCTCGTCTGATCGCGAATGGAATGGAGTCTTTTAACCACTGCAATTCCATCATTCTCTGTATATGGTCAGAACTGAGGTAGTGTGATGTGAGACATGTGTTATGAACAAAAACATCACTCGCACAAATGATTTCAGTCAAGGAGAGTGTGACCTTTATTTCGCCTTGTGCAAGAAACTCAGCATTTTCAACTGAATATAACACAATTCATATTGTGATTACATATTGGGAAACATCTTATCACTGAAAACCGACTATAACAAAACAGTTCACTTTTCAATGTCAGTAATAATATCAACACTAGTCAACGACTGACTACAAATTTTAAATAGTCACGATAAGATCTTTTTCCTCCAAAGGCATAAAATGACAACACTCAACACCCATATTTTGAACATCAGAACTATTTCTCTAGATATTGCTATACTTTTGAATATAATGTAGGACCATGACAACTATCTCATGTAGCTGGTTCCAAAAAAAAACAAATCCACATAGTGGACTTTAAAAAAGAACCTAAATGGAGACTTTGGTTCAAGGTATCTTTTAAAAGAGAGTACTTCATACTGCATTTCCAAACAGGAAGCTTTACTTGAAGAATTAAATCTAATAACAAGACATTCTTCGAAAGGAACAATAAGAATTGAAAGGCACAACACTTAAGTTTCAAAGAAAAAAAAACTAAAAAACAGTTGTAGTGCACGCTGTGTGAGATCATTGTATGTTGATTCTGATTGGTTTAATCCACTTATCTCACGTCTGAATGTTTACAGTGGCTCTAAAAACAAACATACTGGTGAAAAAGAAAAAAAAATACTGTAACCTTGTTCTTTTCTACTTTTCCAGTCCACTTCGAAGAGTCCAAAGTAGGTAGTGTAATTGTAAAGTCAATATGAAATCAAAATTAACCTTATTTACTTTAACACATGTTGTTTGGTCTTACTGTGCGCAACCATCAGTGCATTATTATTCCACAGATGATTTGTTTTTGTAATATTATATCATTCCTCAGCACAACTTTTGTCTGCTGACATCACCTAGGTCATGCATGCTTATTGGTTTATGCCGTCAAACAGCTGTTTAGGCAATTAGTTACTGCTTTAGGTATCATGAAATAAGCAAATAACAATATAATGCAGCATTTATTAATCTTGGTTAAAGGTAATTTTGTAAATATACTTTTGTGTATTGTTAATTCATGTTTGTTCATAAATGTTAATTTATGTGAATATAAATAATACATGTTCAACTGCTTTATATGTCTAAATTAACATTAACCTATATAAATGCTGCAAACTATAGTTTGTTCATTTATATGTAATTATCAGATGTTTAAAAATTGAACCTTGAATCAAATTGTGTTCAAGGCCATTCAAACAGAAAGCGTTTTTTTTTTGCATTCCACTGCTTGAGTTTTCCAATGTTTTACTATGTAAACATGCGTTAGACGCAGTGCTGGAAATATTGAGGGACTGAGTCCAGGGAGGGAATTTTAGGAAGGGATGGAGGGATTCCAGTTCAAAATGTGGAAGATTTCCAGGATCCACGTAATAGCCGCCAAATGCTATACAAATTTTTTACATAAATTTATTGTTTTTTTTTCTGCATCTATGGTTTAAAAATATACAATATCTCCCCAATTAGGAGATATAAACTCGCAATTCCGAGAGAAAAGTCAGTATTCTTTCCTCTGAATTGGAAACGCACGATTGCGTTATAAATTGTAAGATATAAACTTGTAAATCAGAGAAAAAGTTTATATCTCACAACTGAGAAAAGAAGTCAGAATTGCGAGTTTATGGTTATATCTCATTATGCTGTTATTTCTCACAAGAAAAGATGTAAACTTGCAATTGTGAATTTTTTTTTGCAATTATCTTTAAAAAATGTTTTATATATTTTTGGGTGGAAACAAGCTTCCTTCCATAGAATGGCATCTTATTAGTACTTAGGTCTCGCTCTATATTTTGTTCTCCATTAATACCTGTTTCACTACCCAGACAACAACATGTGACTGGGCCGTGTGGAATCTACGTGTACCAGATGTGGGCCGAATCTGGGCAGACACAATATGTTGCTGTCTGGGTAACAAGTACATCATTTTACTAAGGAAAAAATGCTCTGAATTGCTTCATGCTGACTTTATTTCTAATGGTTCTTTTTTTTTATCGTCCTTGTATTTACACATTTCTTTGTTAATGATCTATTATTTAAAAATCACACACTACTAATAATGAAAACTTGAGTAGCTACTAATCATTTAAGTATTAAACAAACTACTTATAAAAACACTGAAACTCATAGAACTCTATTATATAGGAAAAGGAATATTGCTTTAATACTGATTTTTAAACTCTATGGTAGCTGCACTACATTTCATATGTGCTTACCGGAAAAAAAACCAAATCGGGACACTAGCGCATCTCACAAACATCTTTGAAAATGAAGGTCTGTAAGGGTCTGCCAAAGGATCAAGTGCACATCTGTAGCATCTGTAAGATGTGACCCAAACCATGGCATTTTGTTCGTCCCTGAGGGAGCTTTTTTTCACCACACTTGTGTCTGAGAGCCAGCCTCAGAGTGCTTTATTTCACATTTAGTTTACGAGTACACACCCTTGTGGTGGGGCCTCTACGGTCTCCACCATCTCGCAGTCAAGGAAAGAAGCTCCAGGTGTGTGTTGTGCCGATGGGCTCTCTGCTTTGCCCGTGGGGAGAGGCGGCTGGGCAGGAATCCATGCGTACAGGGGCTCTGTTGGGAGGGACGGATTGTAGTTCGTTTGATTGTCTGGTGGCGGAGGCCAGTCTGGAAAGCGGGCTGACTTGGGGACGTACCCCAGGGACGAGGCTCCAGGCTCCAGAAAAGGGGTTAGGGTTTGGGTCCATGTGAAGGGAGGGCTGGACAGGGGACTGTTCTGGGGGTCTCTGCAGTCCTGGGGAGGGGGGTAACCATCCTCTGCTAGCTGCATCTGGTGGAAGTAGGCCTGTACCTGAGACTGCTTCTGGAGATAGAGCCTCTTCTGCTGCAGTCTGCACATAGGATTACAATTGAAAAGGTGTCATAACTGAAAGTTATAGTGTCGCCCAGATGCGGCCCACATCTGGGCACGTGTGGAATCCACATGTACCAGATATGGCCCGGATCTGGGCCGACGCTATGGCTGCGTTCACACTCCAGGGGCTTAATGCTAAATTCCGATTTTTTGAAAAAATTAGATTTTTTTTGCAAGGCCGTTCACATTTCCAAATAAATGCGACCTTTTGTGATCTCCTGTGTGAACGTGAAATGATCCAGAAGTGACCCGCATGCGCAGAAGAGTACTCAACGGTCAATTCCCGCCTACTTCAACGCAGAATTATGACGTTTGTCGCATATCAATGACGTGCGGGTCGGATACATGTGACCTGGCCGTTCAGATTGAAGTCGCATTTCAAAAGATCGGATACATATCGGATTTGGACCACATACCAAAGTGGCCTGGGTCGCATTTGAAAAGATCGGATCTGTGTCGTTCAGACTGTCATGAAAAGATCAGATACAGGTCGCATAGGGGCAAAAAAATCGGAATTGGGTCGTTTCAGCCTGCAGTGTGAACGTAGCCTTAGTTGCTGTCTGGGCAATTTCAGGACATTATGAATGCAGTTGTTCCTCACCTGTGCTCTTGGAGTTGTTGCTCTAAAGTGCGTGGTGAAGCCTCTTTACAAAACATCTGCCCACTTCCAAGACCACTTGCCAACTGACTGGCCCTCTGAAATAACAAAAAACAAAACAAGCCATAATAAAAATCTTTTTAAAATAAATATCTTTTTTATTCATGAAACTCTAGATGGTACAGGCTGATGGGTCCTTTACATGCAACTACATGGCACAAGCGAATTGGCCTCCGCTGATGCTGCAGCCAGTGAGATTGCTTGCTCAACACTTGCTCAAAGGGGTCATGGACTGAGAAATCAAATCAAATTTTCTTTGAGCTTTTGGCATATAAGAGGTCATCATACTATACAAATATCCAGTAAGTTTCAGAGCTGAAAACTTCCTTGTTAGTCCAAAAAAAACTTTTATTGTAGCCAAACTGTGACGAGTTATTTCTGCTATGTAATGATTCATGTAGATACAGTCAGACGTTCTTTGTCTATGTGTCAGTAAATCAAACCAGTGACTAAACGGTCAACTTCACATTGTTTCTCTTAGTAGGATGAAAATAATCAGTTATATATGGGGGAAATCTATTCTAGGGGCTCTATTTTTTAAGTCGACCATTATTTTAGAACGCATTACTTCCTTGGCGACGTGCCATGCAGCCACACATGACACATGTATCGCGTTTTATTTCCTTTTTTATTCAAAATATTCACAAACGTGTTCACTACATTATGAATTATATGATATACTCCCATTATCAAATATGTGGAAGTGAATGTGTTGTGTCGTTCATAATGATCATGTTAGTTGATATAACGCGCGATGATTTTGCACCGAAGTACAGAGGATCTGTCGGCTTTACATTGGGTAAATTCATCCATTTTCCCCGAAATACACAAAAGTAAGTGGCCGGTGAACTGGGAGAAGAATAGAGTAAACTTTATTGTTTCATACACAATGTGTATCTGATATGAATATAGCACTTTGTCAAATTATAATTGAAATAATTGGAACTTGAATTTAACAAACAATAAATGTTTTTTTTTTTTTTACTTCATTTAAATGTCTATTTAAATGTCTGAAATCTAAAATAAACATTATGTGGTTGAAAACATTGAATAGTTGTGATATATGAAAAGCACTGAGCGCGTCCGTCTCTGGCTCGGCACAAGCCAAAGAGAAAAAGCACGGTTGAATTTAGCAGTGACGCACTGAACGTTCTAATCACACCGCTGTGATCATATGCGTCAAAGGGTTAACATAAATCCCGTTTCAGGGGTGGAGGGCGGACAATTTGAAACTGAGGTGGCACAAATCAGATCCCCCTCGTGCAGAAATCGAGTTACAGTGACGAGATCTCTGTATTAATGCGCTCAACATGTCTGATTGGCTACAATGCTCATCACTGCAACCTTTCATGCCACGATCTAAATATAATGCTATAATCAACACTTTTCACGATCAGTTAATAACATTGACAGCAGTAATAGTAAAAATATGGTAAAAGTTTTTGAGAGAGTTCCACATGTAATACTTAGCTATTTCATATGCAAAGATGTTAGTCAATCAAAGCTGTTAGCCAGAGGGATAAAATCAGGGTAGGAAAAATGCCTTTGGATTCTAAAATATGATAATTTTGAACGCATTCTCATTCTTTGGCGTCATATAGGTGACCCCATATGACATTTCGTCGAAATCTTACGCACATGGCATCCTTTAGCGCAGGGATGGGCAACTTCGGTCCTGGAGGGCCACTGTCCTACAGAGTTTAGCTTCAACCCTAATCAAACACACCAGCGTCAATATAACACGCACTGTTATGGGTAGGTTTAGGTCTGGGGTAGGTTACGGTTTTGACGCCTTGGGATCTGCGTCTCATATTCACGCTAAACGATGCCATGTGCGTAAGATTTAGACGAAATGTACAAAGCGTCACATGTATGACGCCAAAGGATGAGAACGGGCTGACAATTTTAATTTGTAAAAGTCATACTAACGTTATAAGTGCGCCCCAGGAAACATTATAAAACAATAAAGCAATGCAGTTCATGACCCATTTAAACAACCCGGTTCAGTGTTTTCTGTAATCTGGTCCTCTGAAACCCTCCACCTCCCCCAGCTCCACCTGTCTAGATCTGCTATGGGATTTATCTATGCCTATTAATGCAGCAGCAGCAAATCTTACATTCTCACAGCATGTCTGTAAAAACTGTTTCAGTAAAATACGATTAATTGGTTGACAAAGTTTCCGTACTATATACGTTGAATAACTGTAATAGATCAAACCTCACATTTAATGTAATTTTACAGTAAAACACTTCAATTTACAGTTTTTGGAAGTGAAAAAGTGAAAGTCGTATTATTTACAGTGAAAAACTGTAAATTGAAATTCCCAGAATTCCCTGCGTGACACTTCACATTTGATGTATTTTTGTTGAAATAATGATTTCTTCTTAGTTTTCTTCGTTTATTTCTAATTAGTTATGTACATTATATTTTTATGTTACATCTAATGTTGTTCAATTAATGTTTATTACATTTTTATTTTTATGTCATGCGTGTTACCATGATGGTGTTTAGTATTTGTGTGAATGACACTGTGCGCCTTCTATATATATATTAGTATTTACCTTCTCAGCTTGTGGAAAAGCTGCTTGTGATGAGCTTTGATTCATCATGTGACTTTTTCATCACCACCTGTTGGGTGGTTGTCAGTATATTACAAAGGTACAAAACAGATATTAGTACTTCAATAGGTTGGTAAATTAACATTATATCAGTTAATGAAATACTTTATTCCCCCTGTAAATTTAAGTTAAATTTGTACAACCTAAAATGTTGCTACCGTATTTTTTACGGTAAATTTCTGGCAACCACAGTTGCCGGGGTTTTTTTTACCGTAATTTAACGTTTTTTTTTTTTGTTTTTTTTTACAGTGTACCAAAAATCAAGTTTATATAAATAACCAGTTTTAACAGTTTACATGCCAACCAATAGTCCTGCAACATATTTTTACATTCCACTATATTAGCAGAAATACTGTTTTTGTACATTTGCATACAACAGTGATATCTGAATCAAAGATATGATGCTTATATTTTGTCTGTATCTATTAGTTTATTCAATAATACATAAAAAAAGTTATTCATGCATATGACTTGAATACACCTCTTCTTTAATGAGCATTTTAATTTTTGAATTAAAATTCATAATAAAAAATCATAATAAAGAAAAAACCTCAAAATAATTAAATTCTTGAATAGAAAACCTCAAGTAATTTGACTATCTTATATCATCATTTCTCAGAAAAAAACTGCATCATTGCTTATTGATATTTGAAAAATGTTTGTCTACATGGCCAACGTCATGTGGTCTAACCAACATGCAGAATCCAGGGATAAAACGAAGCAGATCATTTGTGATTTTATTGATTTAGGCAAGGTTAGTTCAGGTATTACAGTTTTTCTCAATCGATTTGACACATTTCTCCAAATGAATGTGGTTACTCTCAAAACAATTAAAACAGCGAACTAACCACACTCTTATGTTGGTGAAACTGTTCAATATTCACTGCATAATGAAGCACTGCATTTTATTCTAGTAATGCATTTATCAAAAATAAATAATAACATCAAAACTACAAGTGTTGATTTGATAACAAATTCAGAAAAGGCTGATAGAAGATACACAATATGTAATATGAATATACCTCTTCCTTTTCCCATTCTTTTTTCTTTTCCCCTTTTATAGTTTTTGTATTTGAGATAGCTGGGTAAACAATTAGGGAATTTGCATTTCCTGTGTTGTGTGTATTTCTAACTCAGCATATATTTATTTGAGGCTAATTGAGAACATTCCAAGTGCAACTGAGAATTTAACAAATAACAGAGTTGTGTTTGGAAAAATGGTGCACAAATGACTGTGATTTTTGTAAAACCAGTAAAAAGAGCTGCAATTGTTTTTTCCTGAAATATTAACGATTTGGTTGGCTGTATGAACTATTGTGAAAACGTGAGAATTTGATGCAGTTTTTAAAAAAAAATTATGCATGTGATTTGTAATTTGCATGAAATGAAGGAACATTTACAACCTGCTAAGGACAAGTACAAAGTGTTCAGGTTACTGTATTAGCTGTTTTGAGAACAGTGACCTGAGTTTGGAGAAATGTGTCAAATCGATTGAGAAAAACTGGTGCAACTCCCCACAAACTTAATAAATACTTAAACATAATCTTTATTTTGAAAAAATATATTTATTTATATGATTTAGATATGAATGTTCACATAAATTCATTGTGTATGTATTCAATATCCTATTATATTTTATTTGATGGTTACACCACATGACATTTTTAGAATAATTAAATTGAAACTTTTCTTGAAAATGATATAAAAGTTTTTCAAAACCATAAGAAACAGTTTAAAAAGCTTGGCTCATGTGATTTAAACCAATTTTTTTCCCTCTTTTGTTTATTGTGGACACTCATATACACAATTGACCCACCTGTAGTCGCTGAGCGAGGTACTGCGTCTCCAAACTCTGTCTCCTGGATAGCAAATAAGGGTGCATTTTACCCGTGAATGTCAACGTATCTTTTCCACTTAGACATTGGCGTCCTTCTCCCTGAAATGATTAAAGAATATTTTTATATCAGCATAAATACCTTAGTCATCGGTCATCTTCCAAGACTCTTTTCCGTATTCTGCCACCTGTTTTATTTCAAGTTCAAACTGAAGGCACAATACTTATGCTTAAAAATGTAAAAATAGAAAACGAACTGAGACCAGCACAAATTGCTATCTGACCTGGTGACTGAATGGATAGTCCTGTGGACTGACGGTGGGGAGTCCACCATCTCCTAACACTATCTGGGCTTTGTTCAGCTCCAGGAAGCCCTTGGTCCTGGCCAGGTTCTGAAGGTGCTGCCTGAATGCCACTAAACCTGTTAAACCATAGGTTCAATAAATACATCAGATTTCGAGTCAGATGAACTTGTAGAGATATTCCTGTGACTGCTGCAGGGGTGGTCTGACTCATTGACTACTATAATTAGTACAGAAGTGAATCACTGCGATTATATTCTGCTTTTAAAAGTAGCCATTATTCATAGAAGGTCAGATATCAGTCAGAATGAGGGTTATTTTATCCACTAACAATAAATATTCCAAAACACTGATTATGACATGCAAATACATGCCCGCAGACAGTAAAGTGGTGGGCTTGCTAGATTTTGTGTTTTAATCACACACATAGAAGAACGGATGCAGTAGCAGTTTTTTTTTTTTTTTTTGTATTTTGCTGCAAACTATAGTTTGGTTCATTCTGACCTGTGCATTCATTTAACCAATAAAGGATCTACATGTAACAGAATAACCTCTTGCCTTAACCTCTTGATCCCCAATCTATATACACTTGATCACCCAAAAATGAAAATTAGTCCATGATTTACTCACTCTCAAGTCATCCTAGGTGTAAATGACATTCTTCTTTCAGACGAATACAATCATCTTGGCTTGTCTTGGCTCTTTCAAGCCTTATAATGGCAGTGAATGGTTGTTTCTGTTTTGAAGTCCATAAAAGTGCATCTATCCATAATAAAAGTGCTCCACACAGGGGGTTAATAAAAGCCTTCTGAAGTGAAGCTTGTGTAAGAAAAATATCCATATTTTAAATATTTAAATAATATCTAGTTATTTTACTTTATAAAATTTTTAAATATGGATATTTTTCTTACACAAACGCAACGCTTCGCTTCAGAAAGCCTTTATTAACCCCCCAGAGCCATGTGGAGCACTTTAATCATGGATGGATGGACTTTGATGGACTTCAAAACAGAAACGGCCATTCACTCCCATTATAAAGCTTGGAAGAGCCAGGACACTTTTTAATATAACTCCGATTGTATTCGTCTGAAAGAAGAATGTCATATACACCTAGGATGACTTGTGGGTGAGTAAATCATGGGCTAATTTTTTACTTTTTATTAACTATCCCTTTAAATACACTGAATTGGGCCTTTATTTCATTAATATTATATAGGCTGTAACGTCTTGGTTACGTATGTAACCCTCGTTCCCTGAGTACAGGGAATGGAGACATGTCGTCGGGGAGTTCCCTGACGAATTGGGTTCCCTTTCGTCCTGGGAACTCCAACGTGTCGTCGGGAAGTTCCCTGACGAATTGGGATCACGCTAGCAATTGCCTTCGAGTGAATTAAAACGAGCCAATGAAAATTGGCATGCAAGATTTGCATTCCGCAACCCGCCTACCAACGCGGGTATAAAAGGCGGAAGTAAACATTGCGCAATGCTTTTCGCTGAGGAGCCGAACGGTGTCCAGTCCTCCGCGAAGGTACAGCAACATGCCGAAGGGACGACACGTCTCCGTTCCCTGTACTCAGGGAACGAGGGTTACATACGTAACCGAGACGTTCCCTTTCGTCCTGGGAACTCCAACGTGTTGTCGGGGAGTTCCCTGACGAATTGGGATCCCTAACAAAACGCCATGGTGCTGGCCCCTTCCAGCGCCCAGCTAAGCTACCCTAAGCAGTTTTACAAATTACGGGAGCTAGCAAGAGAGTCACACTGCTGTTCCACAAGACCCACACAGTGGATTGGATAACACTGGGAAAGCGTGCCCAACCCAAAAAAGGGGGAAGGGAACGCTGCGGAAGCCAGATGCCTGAAGAAGGCCTGGAATACACATATGTACTAGCCAAGGGGGATAGTGAAACATATGGCAGTCCCTGAGGTAGTCCCCTCCAAGGGGAGTGGGAGCGTACTCAACAGGGACGACAGAACGAGTCTGTCTAGGGGAAGACACGGTTGGACTGCACGTGGCATAATGGGTCACCGAAGAGACCACTGGACATAGCACCCAGTCTACACAACAACTCCCTTAGAGGTAGTAGACCTGGCGCCGGCGGTCCGCCACGCCTGGCACCGAAGGGGTGATGGAGGAACTCACGAGGCTAACCAACGTAGGGCGCCAACGGAGCGAAAGACGCACGTATCCGGCTGAGGCACGGAGTGGCGTAGCAAGCCGACACAACCTATTCCCTCGCACCACTGGCCGTAGCGAGTACTCGGGAGGAAACAGGTTCCACACGTAGGCTATAGAATCTAGCGAACGTGTTCGGTGTCGCCCAGCCCGCAGCTCTACAAATGTCTGTCAGCGAGGCGCCTTGAGCCAACGCCCAGGAGGCGGCAACACCTCTCGTAGAGTGAGCACGCAACCTGGGAGGACAAGGCTCACCCGTAGCTTCATACGCTTGGGTGACAGCATCCACTAACCAGTGAGCTAACCTCTGCTTGGAGACGGCCTTCCCCTTCTGCTGGCCTCCGTAACAGACAAAGAGCTGCGATTATATTCTGCTTTTAAAAGTAGCCATTATTCATAGAAGGTCAGATATCAGTCAGAATGAGGGTTATTTTATCCACTAACAATAAATATTCCAAAACACTGATTATGACATGCAAATACATGCCTGCAGACAGTAAAGTGGTGGGCTTGCTAGATTTTGTGTTTTAATCACACACATAGAAGAACGGATGCAGTAGCAGTTTTTTTTTTTTTTTTTGTATTTTGCTGCAAACTATAGTTTGGTTCATTCTGACCTGTGCATTCATTTAACCAATAAAGGATCTACATGTAACAGAATAACCTCTTGCCTTAACCTCTTGATCCCCAATCTATATACACTTGATCACCCAAAAATGAAAATTAGTCCATGATTTACTCACTCTCAAGTCATCCTAGGTGTAAATGACATTCTTCTTTCAGACGAATACAATCATCTTGGCTTGTCTTGGCTCTTTCAAGCCTTATAATGGCAGTGAATGGTTGTTTCTGTTTTGAAGTCCATAAAAGTGCATCTATCCATAATAAAAGTGCTCCACACAGGGGGTTAATAAAAGCCTTCTGAAGTGAAGCTTGTGTAAGAAAAATATCCATATTTTAAATATTTAAATAATATCTAGTTATTTTACTTTATAAAATTTTTAAATATGGATATTTTTCTTACACAAACGCAACGCTTCGCTTCAGAAAGCCTTTATTAACCCCCAGTGAGGTCCTGAAGCTTTGCGTTCTGTCAGTGTAAACCCGCAGGGCGCGGACTGGACAGAGAAAAGCTAGGGCTGGGTCTGCCTCCTCCTGGGGCAGCGCTTGCAGGTTCACTACCTGATCCACGAAGGGAGTGGTAGGAACCTTTGGCACATATCCGGGCCGGGGTCTCAATATCACGCGAGAAAGGCCCGGCCCAAACTCTAGGCACGATTTGTCGACCGAAAAAGCCTGCAGATCCCGACCCTCTTAAAAGAGGCCAATGCCAACAGGAGCGCTGTCTTAATTGACAGGATATTCAGCTCCACTGTCAGCAAGGGCTCAAAGGGAGGACTTTGAAGAGCTCTCAGAACCAGAGCTAGGTCCCAAGAGGGTACAGAGTGCAAAACACGAGGTGGATTTAACCTCCTAGCACCCTTGAGGGATCTGATGATCAGGGTCGTGCTTCCCTACGGACTTACCTTCTACTACATCGTGATGTGCGGCTATTGCGGCAACATACACTTTTAGGGTGGAGGGAGACAGCCTTCGCTCCAACCCATCTTGTAGGAAGGAAAGCACGACTCTGATCGGGCAAGTTCGGGGGTCCTCCTGCTGAGAGGAACACCACTCGACGAATAGGTTCCACTTCAACGCATAGAGGCGCCTCGTAGAGGGGGCTCTAGCAGAAGTGATGGTGTTTACCACTGCCTGTGGTAGATCACCTAGAACCTCCGCGTCCCAGCCAGGGACCAGACATGGAGTTTCCAGAGGTCTGGACGCGGGTGCCATAGAGTGCCCCGTCTCTGAGAAAGGAGGTCCTTCCTCAGAGGAATCGGCCAAGGAGGGGCTGTCTTGAGGAGCATGAGTTCCGTGAACCAAGTCCTGGTGGGCCAATACGGCGCCACTAACAGGACCTGCTCCTCGTCCTCCCTGACCTTGCACAGTGTCTGTGCAAGAAGGCTCACTGGGGGAAACGCATACTTGCGCAGGCCCCGGGGCCAGCTGTGAGCCAGGGCGTCCGTGCCGAGGGTCCCCTCGGACAGGGAGTAAAACCACTGGCAATGGGTCGTGTCCGGAGAGGCAAACAGGTCTACCTGTGCGACTCCGAAAACAGGATGGACGGCTCCGAAAATCGGACGGCTTCGAAGCTAAAAGCATTGCGCAATGTTTACTTCCGCCTTTTATACCCGCGTTGGTAGGCGGGTTGCGGAATGCAAATCTTGCATGCCAATTTTCATTGGCTCGTTTTAATTCACTCGAAGGCAATTGGTCTCCCTAGCGTGATCCCAATTCGTCAGGGAACTCCCCGACGACACGTTGGAGTTCCCAGGACGAAAGGGAAGTACAGTTATTTACTATTAAGTTCATATCCTGTTTCCCATAATTGTCTAAAGTAATTTCGCAAGCATAAATGTAGTGCGTCCATTCCTTGAACAAAGTTTGAAAGAAAGGTGATGGATGAAAAAGCGAAATGAAAAATGATGTGCACAAGAGAACACAAATCATCCCGACCTTGAGTGAGAGAGGTGTCTGAAGCCCTTCGGCCCTCTCTGAAACTGACTAGTGAGTGATTATGAGCGTCCCGCCCCTCTGTGTTGAGCGGCTGCAGGGGTTCAGGAGGCTTCATGCTGAGGAAGACTGGAGCTGTGGAGCTGGCAGGTGTAGTGCTTAGAGCTGGATTCTCTTCAGGCAAGCTGAAGTCACTTTGTGTTGAACCCATGCTGTACTCTGAGTCCATGCTGCCGAGGGACGGATTCAGACCTGTGGAGAGTAACTGAAGTTCACTCAAGGATATGGATGTAACAGTATTTATTCAGGGTCCAAAATTAGTGGCAAGATTCAAATGCAAGTTAAAGCTGACTTTGGAGAGTACATAAACCTTACCAAGTTACCGTGCACTTTAAGAACGGCAACATAATGCATGGTTTACATTACAATGTAAAAACAATAATCCGAGCCTCACTGACCACATTGCAGTCCAGACATAAACATAAACACATCTGTTTACCTGTGAATTCCCTGAATATGCACTTCACCTTACTGACTAGACTGCATTTTTAGTTTGTCCTTTTGTTTATACTTTATCCTCTTTGTTTTAAGATTTAAATTAAGCTTTCATTTCATTTTCTCTAACTTTAGGTTATTTATCTTAACTTATTTTTTCTCTCTTCATTACGTAAAGCACCATTGTGTAGTAAATGTGCTTTAAAAATAAACTCGTCTAACATTAATGTAAGTGACATGAGCAAAATCAAACTGTCTACTAAAAAAAGGTTCACTGTGTGTTAATGTCAGTAGTAGTTTAGCTAGAATTCCAAGTTTCTCTCCAGAACTCCGTTCCTTACACTTAAAAAAAAAATGCAGATGACCCTGTTTGAATACTTTTCTTTTTATTCCATCTAGTGGGCATAAATAAATACATTTAAGTTTTATTCAACACTATATTATTAGAGATGCACTGATGTTTCGACCGATAAAAGCAATTGTTTTCACTAGCTGATGATCATGGCAGATTATATCCTGTCAATCAAAAGGGGGCCGAAAAAACGTGTCAGACTGAAACTCATTCTGTGTGTGAAGAAAATCTCTGGTATTGAATTTAGGGCAAGTTAACACGACAATAACGCATTAATAGTTAAAAAACAGCAACATTAAAGCAGGCTCTATTTGACCCTATGAATCACCCGCAGTTCAAGCCAGGGTTGCCAGGTCCGTGTTTTTTTTTTCTACACCAAACATTATTTGTAGTGCGCCTCGCTTCTAATAATCACAAAGAGGTTGTTACTTCTGATGAGAAACAAAGCCTCTGCTTTCAAATTCTGGACCTTTCATTTTGAAACTCAAACAATAAAACAATAAATAAATTAAATGTGAAGTAACGGATCGATTTAGCGACTCAGTTTAAGCGGCAGCATGGAGCGCGAGTCTTTTCTTCCACTTCAATACATAGCACAAAATAAACATGAATGAACATCAGAAGGTATGTTGAAAGTACAGTACGAGTTGAGAACAATGTCGTGTAAGATCACATTTAACTCAGGAAAGTTATCCAATGTTCACAGGTCTTTAGTTGGCTATAAGAAACACTAGAGAGGAGCTTATTTACTGTTAATTATATATGTATATTTTGAATAAATTTGTCATGAAGTGACAGGTCGACTTCACGGAATCAGAACTGATGAACTTCCCGCATTATTCTCTTGAGGTAAGTGGAGGTGGTCGATTTCATATTTGCTGTTTTATAAAGCCATGTATTGTCAAATTGTCTTTATTTGAATTAAATGTAGGTAATATTATTCGTATTATCATATGAGTTGTAGTCAATATTGTTTTGTTTACAATGAAGCTACCTTTTTCTCTGTATAGAGGGTAGGTTAATGTATGATAATTTATGTTTACAGCTAGCCACAATTCTATTTTTGTATGAAAACGTAACGTGATATTTTGTGTGACTGATGGATTTAACGTCCTTTGGTTTTTGCTGTTTGTGTAGCTTACATTAGCTTTATCAGTGCGTGACGAGTGTATTCATTTTGGCGCTTATTTTAAGCTAAGCATCCCAACTAGTAGCTTACCGGTATGTGGTGATGTACAAGTCAATTGTATACTTATAGTTGTACTCAACGTTTTTATTGTATTTTACATTCATGCATAGATATTAGAATGAAAATTGTCCATTGATGCTGGTCGCTTCATGACAATCAATGCCAGTGTTTATGAAAACTATCTTATGTGCAACTGAGTTGCATAAAATATTTCCGTTTTTATTTGAGTGTTTATTACATCTGAAAATAAATACCAGTAGAAAATAATAGCTCTTTTGTTCATTTTAATCTCTAACATCATAGTAATGTACCAAATGAGAGATGTACTGTATAGTTCCCTGTATAGTTTGCAATATTATTTGGGAGATTTTTGTCCTTAAAGTCAAACTATCGGCAGATATCATTCTGAATAATCGACTATCGGTATCGGCAAAGACATTTAGTATCGGTGCATCTCTACTAGTATATATACAGTATGCATTAAATTAATCAAAAGTGATAGTAAAGACTTTTACATTGTTACAAAAAATTATATTTCAAAAAAGAAAATTCTGTTCTTTTGAACTTTCTAATTGTCGTTGAATCCTAAAAAGAGATCATAAGAGATGTTTCTTGAGCTCTAAATCAGCATATTTGAATGATTTCTGAAGGATCATGTGACACTGAAGACTGGAGTAATGATGCTGAAAATCCAGCTCATGTACAATTACATTTTAAAATATATTAAAATAGTTGTTTTAAATTGTAACTATTTTCACGATATTACTGTTTTTACTGTATTTTTGATCAAATAGTCTTGGTGAGCAGAAAATAAAAACATAAAAAAAATCTTTAAGACACTATATTTCAATATATATATATATATATGTGTCTAGACTCTAGACTATAATTGCCTCGACTCAACATGCAGTACAAAATGCAGAACTAACCTGTGATGGGCAGCACAGCAGGTTGGTTGGTGACCTCAGACAGTGTGTGCCGGCGCTGACTGAAGCGAGCTGTATGAAAGGCGGCAAGGGGCACAGTGTGCTCCTCCTCTGCCTCAATGCCCTCATCAATGGACGTCTCCATGACGTTGCTAGGCAGCGAGCCGCTGACTTTGCGGACAACGACTGGAGGGAGTGGGTCCAGTAAGCAGCCATCCACCTGAGATATAAATACACACACAGTTGGCAAAACTATTTTGGGCTGAAACAGCTCAGCACTCTTTGGGACGTTTTCACTTTGCTGTTTTCAGATCTGACAACTGAAATCAAAGCTGAAAAGCAATAGATGTGACTACTAGCTGTTCTCCAAGAGGCAAACAAGAACGCTTTGAAATTGATGTGAAGTGAAGAGTATCAGGGAATAACAATTTAAATTCCACATGAAATGGAAATTCATCTATTTTCTTAATGTTATAGATCTTATTATTAACAATACATCCATTCATTGGTTTTTGACCTTGTCATTTTTTATCCAAAATGTCAACTTTATCTTCTGGTGAAATGACAGACTTCTCTAGTGATGTATGCAGGATTTCTCCAATCAGTTTGTCTGCATAAACCCCGTCCCTTTCTTACAATTGACTGCAAGCTAACAAACAACGTACACTTATGTGACTGGTAGACAGTTGTTATTGTGGTGGGTTAAACCCTACTCTGAAGCAGGAGCTGATTTAGTTTCCCCAAAGGTGTTCCTATAACTAAAATTAGTCCCAGTTCTTGTGGTGCGAACAAAAAGCAGGTATTTTCACCAATAATTATAGTTACTATGAAAAAACTGTCCTCCAGTGCGAATGCCCCTAAAGTACTAGTAAAATGGACTACTTTTTGATACATTTGGTACTTTTTTGAGTTTGAAAACCATGGTCACTTTCATTCCATGACCTGTATAAGATTCAAAAGTATACTTTTGTGTTCTATGGAATAAACAACAGAATATAGGTTTGGAACAACATTGATTTTCATCCAGTGTCAGTGAGTTAACTAACAACACATTTTTTTCACATCTTTTTTTCTATCACTGGCCAGTATCATCTAAAATCAGTATTTAATATTCATATTCTTCTTTTCCTTAAATATCAACAATTATAATATATTTGTAGGGCAGATAGATATCAGTTATTCTATTCTATCTGCTCTTTTGTGCGTAACATTGATGCTCTTTTCTGTTAGACCAGGAGTAAAAAAAAAAAGAAAAAAAGTCAGCCGAACTCCTGAGATAATAAGTTAATATTTCTATAATTTAACGACACATTTGCGTGTTCATGGTTCTCTGATGTTGGTTAATGTTTACATTGCAAGCAAGTAAACAAAATATTTAATCTCTTTTTGTAAGTGTTTTATTTAGATTTTTTTATTTTAAAATTATTTATATATATAGGGCTGCACATACATAGGTCCCATCATCATTTTTATTATTATTATATAGTTGTTTTAACTTTAAAAATTAGTATAAAATATATTTCTGTTGTAAATAACAACTGTCCTGTAAAATAAAAAATGAATATAATGTAAATAAAGTGAACCTACTGCACAACGAATTGCCAAAATGCATGATAAACCCCTTTTGTAAACTCTGTTAGACTATGTCTGCAACTCCATGTCCGTGTCTTACGTTTCATTTTTTCAGAGTTATGTAATGCTGCTCTGTCAAATGCCCACAGGCAACCATCAGCTTTCCTGAATTACAATAAGCCAGTTGAAATAAGTTTGTGAGAGCGTGACCTCAACATGTTTGAAGAGCTCCCTAGATTGCCATCTGTTGTGCTCCACAGGTGCTGAGGCTAAATGAATGACTTATCACGCTTCCCCTTCTTCATAAACAAACATTTACATTTTCATTTGGCCTTCACTTTAACTACAACTCACAGTCCATTCAAGGGCTACTGTTAAAGTGTGTTTGTTCCCTGGGAATTAAACTCTTGACCTTGGCATTGCAAGCATCGGTTGAGGTACAGGAGCAAACAGAAAAAGACCTTTTGGAGGCCAAATTGGTATGTATATGGCAGGGTCCCCACAGGATGAGTCAACGCTGCACGTCAATTAAAGGAACAGTAGCTATGGAGATTGCCATATGAAAGCCAAGGTGACAAATGTTGTAGTCACGCTTCTCACGAGTGGACTGAGCACCCAGCACTGATCACATGGGTGGCCCATCACTGGCACATCAGGGGCATTTACAAAAACAGGCCGTGGTGTTGTGTAACAGCAGGCAGCAAAACTGACAGCCTGCAAATATAGGGCTGAAATGCAGGCTACATGTTTCCCCATGATCAATCACGGTAGGCAGCATGATCGTATATCATGGTGTGATTACATAATAGTTATTTTAGCTGGAAATGCATCGAAAAACTGTTTATATTTTAAATAATCATAACAGTGATTAAATAATAATATGTTTGAAAATGTAGTGAATTCAGTGCTTCATCTCATTTGATTAAAAATAGTTTAAATGATCATAATAACAATAATTTAATATTTCATATTTGATTGTTTTGTAAAAGACAAGTGCATAATCTAATTTGATTAAAAATAGTTATGTATTAAATAATAATAATTTTGGACAATGCATTGAATTAGACAATAAAAAGACAAGTACTTCACCCTTTTTATTTAAAAATAGTTTAATTATAATTATATAATTTGTATAATATATTATACAACATTAAATTAATACTATATACATAACTAAATTAATTAAAATATAATTATAAAAGAATATTTAAAAAAGCCAATAGGCTTAGTCGTATCACAGCAACAAACCATGATTTGCTACACTGTCTAAAGTGATATTAGGCGGAGGGGCATTCTCTTTCTAGAGAGCATTTGATTGGACAAAAAATATGTGTAGTGCAACATGGTTCATCAAAAGATGTTGGTCCTATTTTCAGATAAAGTGAATTTAGACGTCCACTTTTAACAGTCCACTAGAACACAGTACACAGGTGACCTCAAAGCTACAAGACATGCACTAATTGCTACATAGTCTTCATTGTATAAACTAAATATAAATGGAATCTTATTAAAGATACAAAAGTTATTCAGTCAAGAGCAGAGAGTGATTTTCAGGTCTTTTGTTCTGAGAGACGGCAACAGGTATATTAGGCTGCTGTCCCTTTAAGACCTCATGCAGGTATCAAATCTACTGACAAACATCCAGTTTTCACCCAACTGTTGTAGAGGTGGCTTTCTGTGGGCGTGCGCTTGGTAGTCAGTTAGCACAAGTATTGCATTGAGTTCTCATTCATGCATTTTTCCTTATCACTTTAAGTCTGTTGTTCACACTTGCAGTTCGGTTCTCTTGGTTTTTTTTGGGCTGGGCCAAAAAAGAAAATCACGTCGTCACACCTTATATTAGGGTCCAATTCTCATTATTAACTACGACTTCTGCCTCAATAAACTAGTTAAGGTAGTTGTTAAGTTTAGGTACTGGGTAGGATTGTAAAATATGGTCATGCAGAATAAGGCATTAATATGTGCTTCATAAGTACTAATAATCAGCCAATTTCCTAGTAATATGCATGCTAATAAGCCACTAGTTAATAGTGAGAATTGGACCCTAAACTAAAGTGTTACCGAAAATAAATTTCCTGGTTCGCTTAACATTCACACTGTCATTTTAAGACTGAACCTTAAGATACAAAACAAAAGGTGTTTTTTGCATCAGGTGTGTTTTGCTTTTTATGTTTTGAATTAATTCATGAAAGCACTCTGGGAACAGCCTATTTGTTCAGAAATTTCTTTCTGTCAATGATGGCCTTCTGGACAGCGGTCAGGTCGGCAGTCTTACCCATGATTGCGGTTTTGAGTAATGAAACAGGCTGGGAGTTTTTAAAAGCCTCAGGAATCTTTTGCAGGTGTTTAGAGTTAATTAGTTGATTCAGATGAATAGGTTAATAGCTCGTTTAGAGACCCTTTTCATGATATGCTAATTTTTTGAGACAGGAATTTTGGGTTTTCATGAGCTGTATGCCAAAATCATCAGTATTAAAACAATAAAAGACCTGAAATATTTCAGTTGGTGTGCAATGAATCTAAAATATATGAAAGTTTAATTTTTATCATTACATTATGGAAAATAATGAACTTTATCACAATATGCTAATTTTTTGAGAAGGACCTGTATATTACAATGCTATCATATTTTGTGCAGGCAATTCACTTAGAAAAGCCTGACAATATAATTGCGAAACACCTTTAAGTATTGTGGTATTCCGCCATGTTTCTCACTGACACGCCTACAACTCGCAAAGATCGGGGTTTAAAGAAAATCCAGAGCTTCCCACTCGTATTACAGACATTGTGGTGGCGTTAATGTGCATTCAACTCATAAATACGATCTTTCCGACATGACTTAAACGCACCATAAACTACAGTATGTAGGGCAAGATTTGAGGAACCCTAATCTACATTAAGGAGACGCCGTTTTCGACACCTCTACCGGACTGTAATGTGCAACGTAGCTCCTATGGTGTGAAAAAACAGGTATGATTGAGCATTCTGTCCTTTTTAGTCACATCTTGAGACATCACGTCCTGTTTTTGGTTCATTTAGATGTCTTTGGTCCGTGTTGCGTTCAGTCGAACCGCACGAGTTTGTTTGTTTCTATTTTGGTGCGCACCAGGGTTCGGATGGCAGCGTTCACACTTATTCAATGAACCGCACTAACAGAGCAATCGCACCAGAGTTTGTTTTAATCGAACCAAACCTGTCAAGTGTGAACACAACCTAAAGTGTCAATAACTTTAAGTTGTACAATCTGTGCTACACAAATATTTTTACATACCACAATATAAATCGCTGCCACAATGTATATCATCATACCGCCCAGTCCTGCTACCACTGTATAAATGGTACAGCAAAATCTCTGGCGGTTGACATATTCCAGGTGTCACGAAGCGCATACTGTCATATCGCCTCGAACCAGGTATCATATAAATTCCCTTGCCTCTGTCTGAGTCATTCATATATGAATGATTAGCAATGAGTGCTTGAGATACCTACACTGACGCAAAGCCCCAGTGGTGGCACCAGCCGCTGAAATCATAAAGAGCGTTTTTTATTATTTAATATAGATACGCAGGTGTTATTTTAAGAGGCTGAAATGCTGCGGAGATACTGCGGGTGAGTAATGAGGAAGAGATCAGGCTGACACGCAGGCAGAGGAACTTCACACGCTGCAGACAAAAGCTCTTATTGCCGTCATACAGCAGCGCCAATGAGTAACGCTGCTATTTAAAACATGCAGGCAGAGCTTACGAAATATAGCCTCAAGCCCAAAAGGAGGATGAGAGATTTCTCTCTGTGCAAGAAGAATCCATTTAATAACCCTTTTTCACTCTTTGTTTTGGTGCTCACTTCAGTTGAAACTTAACTGACCTTGGGAGTGGCCACGTCTTCCTCTATGAGCGTCTGATCTGTGGAAGCAGGGGTTTGTGGGAAGGTAAATGTGTCTGTGGTGGACTGCAACAGAACAGGTGAACGCAGGTGACGTGCTGCCTGAGGAGGGACGCACGCTTGGGAGGGAACCGCCATGGTCTGTAAAATACCAATAAATATAACGGTATTGTAACTATCATGGTTGTACCTATGTTACATGGACATGTACTTTTAAGTAGTCTTAGACTCTGTATATGTCAAAGAACCATCTGATACTGCATGAATATGTAATGAATATGCCGATGAATCCATAAAAAGGATCCAAAAAGGTCTCAATGTTTACAAGCAACCCAGCAAACCTTAAAAGCTTGTTTATATGGTTTACGGTCACAGAGGTTAAACTGAAAGAAGGGTGGCTGGAATACAGATTTTGTTTCTCATGATTCCAATATTTACATTTTTATACCAACGCCATTTCAATATGTCTGGGAAGACTTCACAGATGGGGTTACCTTGACAACAGTCTGCTCAGCGACGGTGCTAGGGCGGCGCTGGCTGGCGTGCAAACGCTGTTCCACAGGGAAACTGCTGCGATGCGCTTTCAACCGCTCCACAAGCAGGTAGTAGATAGCAGCAAAGTGGTTATAGCTTTTGTTCTGGAGAGACTGTGACAGGAAAGGCAAGGAGAGCAAGACAGACAAGGAAAGAGAACACTCGAAATGTCACATTTCTATCAGTACGGTTTGAAAAGGTCTACTCTACTTTGGAGAAATCAGATTTGGAATTCAGAGGAGAAATTATTTTTAGAACGAAAAAAAAAAACACTACTAGAGTTCAGAATTGGAGAATTGGCTCAGGATTGTCAATAGAATTAAATTGGGCTCACCCACAGGAATTTGAATTACAGAAATGTAATAAAAACAAGTTTTGTGGCAAAACATAAATAATAATATCATTGTTTTTGACTAATTATTCATGTTTATGTATAAGTACCCCCCCCCCCCCCCGCCCCAAAAAAATGTAAATCCAGTATTTTTTTTTTTATTAAAACAGATTTTTAATTTTGACATGCAGCACAACAAAATGTCTTCATAAACTTAATAAAAATAAATACTGAAATGGAAAATTTTATCTAATTATCAAAGAATATATTAAGCAAATTAGAGAATTTTGGTTCTCAATGAGTAATCTTCCATAATAGCACATACAATGAGACATTTAATTTATTAAATATAATGAAATGTATATAATTTAAATATAAATTCCTATAGCTGGCTATTTCAAACATAATTTAAGGTTTTTCATAACAGCCCATGTTTTGCGCATGAAAATTCTTTGAATTTTATATAATTCAAATACATTTTCAGTTTCATTGTACTTTCTTAAAGTCAAATTTGAATTACAGTTCTACATCCTGTTTGCAACCGTAATTCAAATGCAGTTTGATCTCAGGAATTGCACTGGAATTAATCACATTCCAAACCCTGGCCAAGTAAAAGCTGATCAACTGACCTCAATAGTCTTCTGCTGGTCGATGCCAAGGCTGTGCATGAGTCGCAGGACCTGCTCACTGTGCTCACCCAAGCCTGATTTGCTCTCGCAGAGCAAACCCTGTCTGTAGAGCACAGGCCGCTGGGACGGGACCTCCTGCACCATCCAGCGATGTTCTTTGATCTGACTCAGGGACAAACGCCTGGCTGGATCTAGAACCAACATCTTCCTGATCAGGTGCTCACAGTCTGAAATATTATACATTGAATACAATGAGCTCAAAAGAGATGCTGCCTCCTTCCAAAACTTTATCTTCTGGTGTAAGCAGCAATGTACTAATTATGCAGCATTTAATCCCCAACACAGTTTTTCAGTATTGATTCCAAATAATATAGATATTGGGGTGGTTGATAAATAACTACTGTATTCATGCCAACTCAAACATGCATGAACAGTCGTATAATTGTGTTATTGTGACTTCCTCACCCTCACTCATGAAGTAGGGGATGCGGAAACGACCCTCCAGGACCCTCTGTCTGAGAACAGGAAGGCTAGGGCCGTCAAATGGAAGAGCGCCACACACCAACACGTACAAAACCACCCCCATACTCTGCATGACACACACATACACAGAAAATCAATAAATAAACATAAATCTCTGCCTAGGAGCTAGCACAAAGGACCACCCACACACAATGCAGGAAATAATAATTATGTTTTCAATCAATTAAATTACCATTAGTTGTTGACGCAATTCTCCATACTGACTGAGATGACAAATCAACAATTTCATCAGCTGTCTAATACATACATATTAGTTTGATGCCCCCGAATATGGTATTACCATGCTTTTTTGAACATGGTACCATGGTAATAACATGGTTTTGTGGACATGATCCTTCCATGCTATTTTTTGGAGAACTATGTCAAGCCAAGTCAAATATACATGTAGCGTTATTAACAATACACAATGTAAAGCAGCTTTACAGAAATTCATGATGTTGATGTTTATAATCGCATTTAGCAGATTAGAGCTGGGGATACATTTTGCGGCAATACAAGCAATAAAACAGTTAAGATTTGCTATATCAGCCCCACGCAAGTATACTGTATGTATGAGAATAAAGTTGGACATACTTATACAACTTTATATAAAGGGCTGGTGATAATATAGTTACATTTTATGACTAAATAAATAAGGCAGTTGAGATTTGCTACACAGTATATTTCGCTTTACATGATTGTACTGCATGTATGGAGATAAATGTACAAATGTAGACCCTTTCATGACAATATAAACAATCACACAGCAGATATTTTCTATAGAGCCTATATTGCTGCTAAAAAAAACAGCTAAAACCAGCCAAATCTGGTTGGCTGGTCTTCCTGCCTGGTCATAACTGGTCTAACAGGCTGGCTTTAGAGGGTTTTTGACCACTTCTTTAGATGGTCAGGCTGGTCTCAGCTGGTCAGGCCAGGAGCTGACCAACCAGTTAAAACCAGCGGCACACCAGCTTGGCCAGGCTGGGAGACCAGCTTGACAAGCTTAAACCAGCTACATTCATCTTAAAAAAGCTAAGACCAACCAACCAGATCTGATTTTTAGCTTTTTTCCCCCAGCAGGGACTTTACGTTATTATGATGTAACCATGCAAATAACATGGTACATGAATATGGTACTCAGTTTTATATCAAATTACTATAGTATTTCCATCTGATATAGTCAGTGTATTGCCAAGCTCTTACCCAGATGTCCAGTTGCGGACCCTCATACTGTTGTCCTTCAAACACCTCTGGAGCTGCATATGGTGGGCTTCCACACCACGTGGTCAGGGGTTCCCCGGGACGGAAGAAGTTTCCAAAGCCAAAATCTGTAGCAGATAAAACGAAAAAGAAAAGTCAATGTCAGCATTGACTTTGTATATAGTATGCATTAGTATATTCGTTCTGCTTGGAAGTACATAAGAAAAAATGTACAGGCAAAAAAGGTCCGTTGTCTATTGTCAATAGTGTAGCAATGTATGAAGCTCAGCTCACACAGAAGTCACTTTCAAACTAAGTAGCTTTTTATTGGTCAACACAGCAAATCTGTGCGACCAACTTGAAACTGTTGCAATTATTATGCAAGTCAATATTCTGCACATTTTACCAATTCCAAACCACATTAATCTAAATAACTACTATTGATTTTGTATACAATAATTTATAAGTGACATATAATAGATAAAGGGGCTGGTAGTGAAAAATGTCTCGGATCACGACTGTAACCCTTGTTCCCTGAGAAGGGAATGAGACGCTGTGTCGAAGCTGACTCTTTGGGGAACGCTTCCAGTATGATAGTGTCTGGAGCACGTGTGGAATTAGTCCAATCTCGAGTGGTGTTGTGTCATGACATAATGTGACGGCATACACGGAAGCTACAAAGGGGAGCCGGCACACAACAGTGATAGCTTCTGATAGGTCGAAGCCAGTCATTATCAAGCACTCCGGAGGTGTGGCAAGGGACGCAGCACCTTGTTCTCTTCTCAGAGAACAAGGGTTAAAGTCGTTCCCTTAAGAGGGAACTTGCACTGCTTAGAAGACGACACGAAATACCCACTGTGCCACACTGACTAGTGCCTTTCCTGATGTGAAGCTTGTCTAGGCACAGCTCAGGACAAGAGGACTTGAGAACCCAGCGCGGAGGGCAGATCCAAGCTATAATATCTAATGATGGTGTGCGGGGAGGCCCAGCCAGCAATATCACAGACTTCTAGAGGGGAAGCCTCTGATAGCAAGGCTTTAGAGGATGCCACTCCTCTAGTTGAGTGGGCTCTTATCAGGAAAAGCGAGGGCAAACTGCGCGCCTCATATGCTGAGGAAATAGCCTCCCCAATCCAACTGCTAATTGTCTGCTTTGAGACAGGAGAACCCTTCTTAAGTGACCCAAAACACACTAATAGCTGGTCCGACTTCTTCCAAACGCAGGACCTACGTACATAGGCCTCCAGGGCATAATAAGTGTAGCCTTGATCAGCCGACACATGTGGTGAAGGATGAAAAGCCTGCACAATCACAGACGGTGGCACATTCAATGGCACCTTGGGCACATAGGGTGGCCTAGGGTGGAGAATGGCCTTTACCCTCCAAGGAGTGAACTCGAGGCAAGAGGGAGAAACAGAGAGAGCATGCAGGTCCCCAACTCTTTGAGGAACGTAATTACTAGCAGGTAAGCCATTTTAAGAGTCATAAACTTCCCTGACACCTCGTCAATGGGTTTGAAAGGTGCTAGGGATAATCCCTCTAGAATCACGGCCAGGTCCCAAACAAGAACCCTGGCCTGGATGACAGGCCTCATCCTTCTCCTTACGTTGGACGCTGCTGCCAAAAGCCCCAGCACTCTCTGAAAGTGTTTGAAAGTGATGGCTTGGCCTAGCTTGATGTTGGTGACTGTGGTCAAGATGGTCTCTATATGAGCAGGAGACAGCTGTGCCTGCATCATAGTAGAGTCCCACACTACCCCCCTCTGCTGGGGAGACAGTGAGGTTTTCTTGACATTAAGTCTCAACCCCAAGCACCTTATATGGTAAAGAACGACATCTCAATGCCGAACCGCCATTTCTCTTTCGACGGGGCTATGATGAGCCAGTTCTCGAAATATTAAGTTTACTTATGCCCTGGAGTCTCAGCAGAGCCAGTGCTGCATCCATACATTTGGTGAAGGTGCGAGGGGATAAGAACCAGGTATTGGTATGCTTTTCTTCTCGAAAGCGAACCGCAGGAACTTCCTGTGTTGAGGAAGGATGGAAATGTGGAAGTACCTTGAGATCTATCGTGACAAACCAGTCCTCGGACCTGATTTGACTCACGATAAAAGGGATAGTTAATATTATGAACCTGAATCTCCTCAGAGACCAATGGGGTGCAACCCTCTATCTTTCTTGGGAACTATGAAGTACCGGCTGTAGAACCCAGCCCCCCTCTGTCGAGGAGGGATACATTCTATGGCCTCCTTCACTGGATTGAACTTCTAGCTCCATTACCCGACCCTGTTGGGGTTGATGATGGTCCACACCACCCAACTGAATTTTCCCCACATTATGACTGCTTAATAATTATGTACAACTGAATATAAGGCGTTTTTCACTTCCAGCCCTCGTTAACAAAACCCCCCGAAAAAAAATATGAACAGAATATTGACTATATATTGAAATGACTGGATTTCACCAAGGAAAATTCACAGAACAGTAGTAAATGTGATCGCACCTTTATTTGCATATAAGTGAATGCATCCCTTCTTTTTTTTAAATAATAGAAGCTGTCATTTGACTTGTTGAACAGCACAAATAGTTTAAGAACCTAAGCCACAATGAAACTAAGTGTGTCTTTGTCAAGCTTCTTCAAATACATTTTTACACTTGCTGAAGAATATCTGAGTGGTTCTTGCCCATTTTGGTGTCATTAATGTGGGCGAATTAGCTCAAATCAATCGAAAGACCAAAGCTTAGGCAGCTGACTTGTTGCCTTGCTGCCGTATAAGCCATTGCCTTCTTAGGGAGCATTTGCGTTCGAAGTTACCTCACAAAATTGATTTAGTTCAGGTTTCTGAGGCGGAATATCGAGCAAATGATCTACAACAGAATAGAGAGAGAGAGAGTTGTAGTGATAACCAAGCAAATATTTAATTATCACAATACAATGTTTTAGCTAGAAATTAGTAAGTTGAGAGCCTGGTTGGTTTGGGATGAGCTATTCAACAAAGTTTGATACTTGGGGTTAGGCTTTTTTTTTTTTAAATCCCTAGTGCGAAGCAAGAAATAGTGTTATGCAGCCGATATGGAAACTAATTGCATTTTATCTGACAGATCTGGTCACTGGTGCAAACTAATATATAACACAATAAGTAATTTTACATATAAACTGTCTAGATGGCTAAATAGATTCCTGGCTGTGTGTCAGCTCGGGGAGGGTCTGTGTCTACTCATAGACAACCAGCGGTGACGCATTTCCCCTGATCTTTACTCCCGGCATATAATGGACAGGTTCAATTGTGTAATGTAATCTATATAATTTAAAGATTATTTGATGCACGTCACCGCTGATTGACGTAGAGTAATGATTGCATGGGGGCGGGAAGAAAAAACTAATATGCTGTGTGAGGGCGGACATAAAACAGGATATTGTGTTCTATGTCTACGTAATACAGAAATCAAATTCTAGAAGTAATGAAGACAAAAGCCTTGATTAGTCAGAGACTAATAAAAAAAAGTTATACCTGACTGTCACCCCGGGTCAAAATTGCATTGTTGAGAGAAAATGAGCAATGCGCTATACAAATAAACATGGGCTCACATATTACCACTTTCATTCGGCACAAATCCAAATGAATCTGCTTTGTGCATTTTTTTTTGTGCTTGATATTAAATGAAGTACCAAACGTAGGCTCGGGAGGAGCCTAAACATCCAGTCCTGTCAATCATCATTACAAGCGTACTATATAAGCACCAGACACTGCGTCATCCCATTGACAAATTCTTCCGGCAGCCCTCCTTCTCCCCCCTGTCTCCTACTCTAATTCTCTCTTTCCTCCTATGCACAGTACCGTTATATATGGGGTTTTAACTCTGAGCTCGAGCCGAGCCTCGGGTTCAAGCCTCCTCCAAAGACAGCAAGCCAAGTTAGTTTACTATTTACTTTTAAGGCTGAATGGGCAGGTGAACTCGTGACTTGCATTATATCACTTATATAATATTATTTTATATTTATAACTTATATCATATCACTTATTGAAATATAAGTCGCAGCACATTTGAGATGAAAAAAAAAATGTGTCTAATATTCCAGAAAATATGGTAGCAAAATTTCTATCATGTTCATCCTGCCCTTGTAGGCTAACAAAAAAACACTTAAGTACAGATATGTGACTTTATAAGTTTGATACATGTTTTGAACCACTGCACTGAATAAAACAAAATATTCACAAAGGTTTTAAAGCTTAAGTTCCAAAAGCAGCCACCACAAAATGTGAAATCTCCAAAACTATTTGTTGAGATTACATATCAATAACATTAGCAATAAAATCAGATAATGCATTTTATCTCAAATTGATCTAAAAACTGTATTTTCAAGCTGTCTCCATTGATTCACAGACGATTACTCTATAAGTAAGGTTGTAAAAGAGGTACCAACAGTATCTAAAACTGTGCTCAGATTTGCCAAGATAAAGTCTCCAATGAAAAGTTGGGTTTCAATATAATGAACTCAAACATTTCTTATTAACTTCTTCCCAGACCAAATTATCTGAGCTATGCTGTTCACATTCATTTTATATCTCTGCTCTTACTGTCTTAATGATTGTCTCAGTTTCTTAGGAGAGACATCAGAGAAAAAGTTGACATGCCAATGAAACACAACTGTGAACTCCAGCAACATCTGCAATAAAATTTCCCTTTGAAAAATAAATAAAAACCCTTTTAGAAATGACTCTGAAAGATGGAGGCGTGTTTTAAAAAGCCTCTGCTGTGATGAGAAGCACTTCACTTCTGTTATCTAAGTGCATGAGTGACACAATGGCAACGCCCTATAATGCATTTTCTGTGTCTCTCTCTCAGCTTGGTATGACATAAATACAGACAAACGGTCTGGCACAAGGATCTATTCTCTGCAGTGACTGGTACTTATGGAGCATAGCATGTGCCTCTCTGTCATCCTCCACCGCACCAGTATGTAACACAGTCATTATTTTACATCTCAACACTATGACTGCATGCTTGAAAAGGACAAAACAAAATGTATCAACGTTTGATAGTTTGGAAGAGACTGATTGGTTTAGAGATGGCACAGCTCAGGCAGTTGCTCGGCCGTATAAGTGATTCTTTCAAGATTCCCTAAT